GCAAGACGAGGCCCCACCCACGTTCGCATTTTGTCATCCTGAAGATGAAAATTCTCCAATGGAAAAAGTGGAGCTACATCTAAATTCCTCCAGGGAGGCGATTCATTATAGCCTTCCCTTTGTAGCTACTTCTCAGGCTAGTACAGTATTTACGTGCCCTAGAGCTCATGTAGCAAATGAAGGAGCAGGGGCGGTAAAAGAGCGCTCTGTCAACCAAGAGGCACATCATGACGGCCTCCCGCTGCAGCTCATTGCCAGCACCGAGATTGGGTGCTCTTGCCGCAATACTGACAAGCCTACATGGCTGACTCCTAAAATGGACCCAAGTGGTGTTACATCTGTTCTCAACAGCAGCAGTTCCCGCACTTTAGGTGCAGTAGAGCAAGCAGTAGCGTCTACCACGCCAGAGGCAGCAATCCTTAGTTTGGAGGCCTCTGGAGGCCCCAACCAAAGGTCTACAAGCACACCTGACCTAGGAACAAGGAAAGAATCAGGTGTAGGGACGCCCTAGAGTCATAGCCTGCTGCATAAAATTGGACAACATTTTGCGTAGACCAAAATGGCAATTCGTTTTGCATGGAAAGCAAAGGAGCAATTAAATAAGAAACTCATCTTTTCCTGAGGTGTATCTGCAGCACGCGCCAGCAGAAAGAAAAGTGATATCCCCTTGTTTCTTCGCCGCCAAGCCCCTGGAGAAAGTCCAAAGTAGCACTGCCAGTGGCAGCAGCAGTACCATCGACAGTAGCGATTTCAATCGCTTTCGTAGAGGTTCCCCCGGCAGCATCATTTGTATTACCAAAAGCAGTAGGCAAGAGTGCGACACATGCATTAGCAGCGAGGAAAAGACACTGAACTTGTTAACAAACCGCAACACAAATTGCAGCACGAGGAGGGGCTGCAGCAGCTGCTGCAGCAGCAACCGGTCCGAGGGGCCTTCGACCATTGGCGGTACTCAGTTAAGGCACTATGAAGTTGTGCGATCTCCTGTTGGTATGTCTACTGGCCAGTCCCTGATGGCTAACAGTACCAAGGCTGGTGACCTACAAACCCTAAACTTTCGTACTCCGTTACGTCTATAACAGTAACCCCTGTACTTTGTAAGCTCAAGCAGAAGGTCTATACATTCAGTGTTGCTGGTATTCTTCGTTTGTGCAGAAAGCTCCATGTTAAGTGAAGGTCCTTTGCACGAAAGTGAAGCTGCATTTGGTCGGCCAAACCCTAAAACGTGAACTCTAGACTGCAAAAGCGTAGCGGTGACTTTCTCTTCGCTAATTTAAACAGCCAGCTAACGTGATTCTATTTAATAGATCGATACACTTGGGCTTGGTACTAGGGCTTAGGACTTGTGTGTTTCAGTTGACTATGCGGAGATTGTCCGAGGTATAACTGAGAGTCTTGCGTTTTCTCTTCGGGGACTGAAAGCCAGCGAGAGGCAAACCAAAAACCCTATTTCCTAAATAAAGTGCATGTAGTACTACTGATTCGATGTTCAAAGTGCAAATTAGGGATGCGTAAGGCGTCTCCCCGAATCCAACCAAACTATATTTAATCCTACGAAATGTCTGATGCAGCGTCTTGCATGCAGGGCTTTGAAATAGGGCTTGAGGGGAGATACATAGTGTTAAAGTTTAGGTCTGGGGTCTCCGTTGTCCTGTTCGGTTCAGCTACTTCAAGAGTAATGAGCAGTCATTGGCGTTACTGCAAAAGAGCACTTGCAGCGACAAAGTTGCTCCTCGCCAAAACTCTTCCTCCTCAGGTTCTAAGTCCTCAGACATAAGACTGAGCAATAGTGGCTACTCGAAAACAGCGGGGGAAACAGTTGGTTTGCTCGGAGCCAGTGCTTCCATCCCTACAAAGGCTAGACAACAGTTCGGGATGCAGCGCAATGACGAGAAAGGCAGATGCGTCCCTAAGGTACTAACATCTTGGATTGTCGGTGCGAGAGTCAATATATGGAATGTATATTCCCAGGCTGAGGACTTGGGGCTTGTCCCCAGGTACGACGACACCCGTACCCTGAACAGCCCAGTTGTTTAGGCTCTTGCCTGCAGGAAGAAAGTGATTTAGGGCCCCACATCCTTGTAGAGGACCTGGAGTTGATGGAGGGAGCAGCAGAGACCTTATGCTGCCTCCTTGCGAAGTACCGAGGGTCTTCGCAAGCGCCACTCTGGAGGACCCTCCAGCTAACCTCGACTTCGCTCCACAGGCCCATGTTGGCAAGCAAAACCTCACAGACAGGTACATTTTAGCCCTGAAGCACTGCGTATGAAGCCTTCGGACGATTGACATTGGGCGTCACAGGAAAAGACATATTACGTCTGCTGTTCAAACCACCTCAGTAGCCGCGCGAACAGGGGAAGCAGCCAATTCAGTAGCATTGGCAGAAGCATCATCAGGAGTCGCACTCATGCTATCAGGCACTACTCTTGTATTTTGGCTCTGAGAATAGGCCCCGCGGTGGGTTGTGGGACCCGCCGCGTCTATGCTGCTACACCATGCAGAAAACTTCCAGCGGCAAGAGCCGGAAGACGAAGATCCCGCAGCAGCAAACGGAGGCTATCGGCCACTAAAGGGCCTCCTCTGGAACTTCCAGGTAATACTTCGAGATTCGTTTGCACGACTTTAGGCCAACCACGCTCACCACGAACGCTTGAGTTAAGTGCCGTCCTTGGGCAATAATGCGTGAGTGTTCGCGGCTAACCTATCTTCTAATGCTTTCTGGGCTGTTCGTCCCAAAAGCCTATATCCTCACTCCTTTCCGTTATTCACAGCAGGCATCCTGCCCAAGCATTCAGAGGCAGCCAATGAAGAACAATTGTCTTACCATGCTCGAAGGACCAGCGAGAGCAAAGATGGACCCGACATTAAGTCTCGTGGTTTTGATGCTACCCCTAGGCAACTGGGGAGCCCTTGTTGTCTTTGGGTTGCTTCTGATAGCGAAAAGCCCCTTTATAGCCACTACTCCAAGGTGCCACGGCTCTGGCCTCGTCCTTTAAAACATGGAGCAGCCACTAGTCGGTTGCAACGGCAAAAAAAGCTCCGCTCGTTTTCAGCAGGAGGGGGATCCCTTACTTCCCAAAGCAGCTGCTGCTGGAAGGCCTCTCTCCAGATGCACAGATGCAATTCCCATAAGGTTCCTGAGCTGCTCAGCAGGACTTGCGAGCGAATACACCCCTCCGCTCAGCATCGAAAGCGGCGAACACCTACTAAGATGGCACAGCATACAGTGCAGGAACATCAGAAGAGGCACCAGCAACAATGCAGGCAACAGCAGCTGCAAGAAGCAGACATTGGCACTTCACAGCGGAGACTAAAAGAGGAGGGTGCCTTCCAGTGCTCGAGTACCCAGGTGCCCTCTCATTCTGACCCTCAAAGAGCAACTGACGCCGCCAGCATCAGGGGCTATAATACAAGCAGCAGCAGCTCCACGGCACCTGCTACCGTTAAATCCATGAGCACAACCAGTAGACAGTCTTCTTGTGGTTCGTCGGCATCCGGCCGGAGCTTGGGAGCCCACGAATGTCCTAAAGAACAGTATAAAAGTGCCTCTGACCCCACTGATGGCCGCTCTTCGGGGGCCTGGGTGTTGCCTGTGGGCCACGGAAAAGGGCCTTGTGACAAACCTCTTGACTTGGCGGGGGCCCTCCACAAGGGCCCTTTCAAAGATCCATTTATCAGCAGCAACTGGGACAATAGCACAAGCTCCGTGAAGACACTACAAAAGGATGTTGGCAAGATTTGCCAGTGGGAGCCCTCTAGGGCCTGCGTCCGGTCTGCTTCAATAGGATTCCCAGACTACAGAGAAGGCGAAATCGTGTCCCTGCCGCTTAAACCCTTTCTCAGTGAACCAAATGAGGTGATCCAAGTGGAGGGTTCTGTGTTCTCTCGTAGTCAATGCAGCAGCAGTAGCAATCCATTAGACTCTTCGGCAGCTCTCCAACCGACAGAATGGTCCTCAGGCCAGGCAGCGGCATCCCAGGTAGACACCAACCAACAGCATGCCCAAACAAGCAAGCTTCGAGCAGCACCGTTCAAACACGGGGCACTGGCTCATTCTCAACCTATCGATGGCCCAATTCTTCACAGACTGAAGAACGTGGGTACCTTGGGGGCTTTGCCGACTTGTAATGCACTGAAAACCACTGAACACCATCTTGGAGGCCCCAAGAGAGCCTCTGTAAAGCTGCAGGAACCCTCCCAGCAAGGAGCGCTACCACGCATTTCTCGCCCTTCACATACCGAACAAGTTCCCGTCAAGAGCCCCTCGTACGGTCGTCAGTCTGGGCTTAAGAAAGAGACACCGGATGGACCTCCAGAAATGCGGTCACTGCAGGCTGTCGCCGAAAGGAAGCAGCAGCAGCACAGGGAAGAAAGAGAAAGAGGCTTCCTGCAGGGGCTCTCATGTGGCTCAACAGGAAATTTCCCCATCTCCGAGGCCTACTCCCCACAGGCCACCAAGTGGCTTCTCAGGGCCCCCCACCATTTGATAATAGAAGGAACATCAAAAAGAAATTCTAGGGGTGCTGGACACGGACAGCCCCAAATGTTTGAGTCATGCAGCAACAGCACCAACAGCGCGAGAATCACATCGGAGAGGATCGCCGGGTCCACATATAGCTGGGTTGAGTCCGCAGGGGGCTCCACTGTTACCAGCAACGTTGGAGCAGTGCAGCATGCTCTTCAGTGGGGCCTTCAGCTCGGTAGGTTGGTTGCATCGCACAGCTGGGTGTTTGCCTTTCCCCGATCCGAAATTGTCACCTATGTCATGCCAATCGATCAGTGGTAAGTGCCACCTTCAGTTTGCTTAACCCATCGCTGTGCTGACGCTTTTGCGATTCTGTTGCTGCTCTTTCTCTACCAAAAAGTGCGGTCGTTATTGCGTTTTATCTATTTTCTGCTACTGCTGTGTATCGTGCTGTCTCTTCCCTCTTTCATCGCTCCTTCCGGCTCTCTGCCCCTCCAGTGATGCTCTCGCTTCACTCTCCATGCCTCTCTCTGCCATGGACCGCCTCTGGACTGCGGAATTCTCCCTTGCTGCTGTTACTCCTAGTGTGTCTAGAACGGATGCTACCACAAGTGCAGATGCTGCTGCAGGCCCACGTCAGCTATACAAGGTATTGAAGGCGTTTCGCCTAGAATGGAGAGCGACCCGGCGTTTCGTGCTGGCACTAGAACCAAGGGGAGAGGTTCGAGTGCTAGGAGGGGGTAAAGGGCATCACCAGGGGGCTCCCAAAGAACACGGTGCATCAGAAAACGAAGCACAGAAGAGGGAGAGCGCAGGCAGATGGGCACTGGGAGCGATCTACGGGCTCCGAGAAGGGCAGTTTGAAGTGGTAATCTGTTTCATATGCTCCTCCTGCTAATCCTTTTGTTATCGTTGCTGCATTTGGAGCCGCTAGCGTTTACCGGGGGCAAATGCGGCTTTGGTTGGCGTGTACACATATGCTCCTTGACCTGCTGTTTTCGACAAATGCGCCTTAATTTACTCGGTTTATGGCCTGTGCTGTTGTTCCTCAGCGGTGCAGGAGGCGAGCTTCCCCCCCTGTGCTAGTGCCTGCGCTTATATCCGCCTACCTATCCTATAATCCCCTCTCTGTTTCTTTCAGTGTCATTCCTGCGGCAGGGGCTGCAGCTGCCGCCGCTGCCGCTTCAGGGGCTTCTCCTGCCGCAGCTGCAGTGGCCGCTGCTGATGCTGCGGTGGCGGAAGGCTTTGACGCCGTCCTCCTCACGCACTGGCGGGCAGGAGTCCCCCAAAACATCAACCCCGCAAGGATTTAGAGTCTTACACTATTTACTAATTTTACGTATACAGGCATCTGAAAGCACTACAGCTGCAGATACAACAAACTCTTGCTAACCTGCTCAGTAGCCACTTAATTATTTAGGGGTACTGTGTCGAGCTTGGGATTTGGACCGCATCCTCACGCCACACAGGGTTTATTTTCCTCTTAAGCCCCCCCCAAAATAGCCCTTTATTAACAGGAGATTCCATTTTGAGCTGGGAACCGAAGCAGCCGGGACTCTCGAAGAGCTGTTGCATTTCGGGCGAGTTACTCGTCGTAGGGGCCCTCGATAGGGGGCCCCGATATGCCGAAAGCCTACACAATTAAACCATCACGGAAAGAGCCAGGGATCTTTTCGAGATATTTCTGCGTTCTATTATCGATTCACTGCTTTTTAATCGCCTATGATCAGTTTTTCCTTTGACTACCTCCTATACACCAGAGGGCACACGCCCCCTGTTGGGGGCCCCCAGCACTGTGTAGGGTAAGTGGTAAGGGTTTTCAGGTAGCGTTTTCAGAAGGGCCCAAAAACCCTCAAGCAGGGGGCCCTCCCTCAGTGTACCATGACCTTGGAATCCGTAAGAAGGGCCGCTTGCTCATTCTAAACTGGTGTACCGGAAATTAGCCTGACGACCAAGAGAAACACTAATCAGAGGACAGTGCTGCCGCCTATGGTATGGTGAAAGAAGGCCAAAAGAAACACAAAATCAAGGATTAATACAGTCAGGGGTGAGAACGAGCGCAGGAAGCGAGGACGAGGGAAATGTTCCTATCGGTGTTCTCCATTACGCGATCAGCGGCCTTGAGCGTCCCCCCAGCCCGGGGACCTCCACCACCCAAAAAGAAGGCGACGCCACAACAAAAGAAAACAACACAGTAGGCTAAGCCAGCGGTTTTTAATTGGAAAGCGTACACATTTCGTAGTCTTTCTTTCAGCCCTATCAATTAAGCATCTCCAACTGATTTCCGCTTTGTTTGCAGGGTGGGGGATGTCCCCTTGCACCTGCGCCGCTATCGCCCTCATTTACCCGAGTCGCTTGTTGCTGAGACGACGGCGTTCCTGAAGAGCAGCAGCAAGCTTCGCTGCCTTTTAGACCTTATCTTCTCACCCAGGGAAGGCGATGAACAGGAGGCTGAGAGGAAGAGCCTCCAAGAAAGACTAGAGGAGTATCACCTTCTAAGACAGGTACTTAACGCTATTTACAGTGGAGTTTCCACCGATACACTCGAAAACAAACTAATAAAGCAGATTGCTCTCTACTAGCAAATCGAGCAGGCAGCAAACTAAAGTGGGATACACATGGGCCATTCGCTTCACGAGACGCAATCATAAGCCTCTAAATGGCAAGCCGACACTTAGTTTAGGGGAGCATCTATCACTATTTGAGTGCTAGGCCAGGGTCTCAATACGTGGGGCACGTATGACGGCAGTTGTTGATTCCTTGCCCAAGGCTTTCTGGTGCATTCTTTTTCTTTCCACAGCGTCACGACGCGCCGTTTGTGCTAAGGGAGGCGGCAGCGGCAGCTTCTGCGTTTCGTGCTCTAGGGTCACTTCCTGCTGATCTGCATGCAGAGGCTATTCAGAGCAGCTCCTGCTCCGCCTGTCGTGCTGGTATGGCTGCTACACCAGCAACAACCGCTCCGATTGCCGAGGCGAATGCGGCACAGCAATGGTTGCAGCAAAAAGCGGCAGCACGAGGCGCCGGGCAAGAAAGAGCGCCAGCGGCAGCTTCTTCAGCGGAGGAAATAGAAGACGAGAATGAAAAAGCAGAGGATTGGGATGCCTACAGGCATCAGGAGTTTCCAGAGGCACTAGCCTTTCACCAGATGTACAGGCAACAATTAATGGAAGGCCTCACTGCCACAGAAAAGCACAAACTCCAGGTGTTTCAGAACCTCATACATCTGAGGTTCCCTCATGCTGATTTGAAGAAGCGGCAGCCGGAGCTGTTCTGGATCTCAGAGAGGCACGCCATTGGGAGGCAGAAAGAACAAGCGCTAAAGAAGAAAAAGAAGTAGAACGCAAAATATTCTAAGGGAGAAGGTGCTTCATGATATATTCATAAGAGGATAAGGGAGCACATCCTGTACTTTTAGTTTGCCCCCGCCCAGCCTCCATTGACAGGAAAGAAGCAGGCTTCTGGAAGCCCCTCGCCTTTCCCACATCTACGAGAACTCTAGAGCAGCCCATGATTGCCCTTATACGCCTCAGTGTTGCTGGCTGCCAAGTGGGGTTCAGAGCCGTCTGCTCAGAAGATTGTCCAGACGCATAGATGAATACCCTTTGCCTCTTATTCTTTCTTTCTCTTCGTCGGACTCATCACTTGAATTATCGGACTGCGCCATTTCCCCTTCTCTCCGCAGCACGCCAAAGCGTTCTAAGCCAAACACACACACGCACAGACACAGACACAGACGTGAATCAAAGCACGCCTAGGGTTGAGTTTTGCGATATACATGAGCCAAACCATAAAAGCAGGAGCTTGAGAACATCGAGCTCCTCCTGGGGGATTGCTAAAGACTCTTACTCTGATGCTCTACAGTACACAAGTCCAATTTGTGTTTAAGAACGTGCATGCAATAAGGGTTCAGGGTGGCGCCGTTAAAGGCTTGTCTGACTCAGGGCTCGTTCAATGGTATTCTTGTTGATGTCTTTGCCTCCCCATTCATCCACTCCAACGATTTGCTTTTTACAGGTTCCTCCAAAATATAGAAGAACAGTCGGAAGCCTACTGTTGGGGTAGTCAGGCACGACATCGGTGCTTATCGCCTTCATGAACTTCACTTCTTTGTAGTTTGCCGCCAAAGTTGCCAAACAACGATTGATCAGCACGCAAGGGGAAGCACTTTCCTGGTACAGGTGCAATACCACCCAGGTCCCGCAATTTTGTTGCTCCAGTTGCTCATGCTGACTAGAGGAACCTGCTGATTCTGATGTTTCTTGGGCATCCGGGTCGACTGCGGATGCTTTTGTCACCTCGGTCAGAAAGTCGTCCTTCCCTAGGTGTAATAGCTCGCCAAACCTACAAGCACGCGCAGTAATGATGGTTCTGTGCTAAGCAGCCGGGGCTGTTACTTTTTCAGAGGAAGGGTGCATTTAGATTTTAAAAGGAGTGCAAGAAGACATCTCCCAGGCACCCAGCAATATGTTACTGCGGATGAGAATGTAGTTGCAGGTTCTCCTTATACTTTGCTGTTTGTACCTGTTTCTTCGCTGCTGCCTCTTCATCTCTTCTATCCGTTTGTTTCTGTATTTTGTGAGTGTATCTTCGTCTAATTCATCTTCAAGGGCATCTAGCTGATCCAGTGTTTTGCCTTCAAGTGTATCTACCTCCTCGAGGGCATTGACGAGTTCCTTGGTTTTCTGATCTTCTGTCTCTCTAGGAGGTTTGGGAGGAAGATTGCCGTATTTACGCTGGAGCTGGTCCCATTCTGTCTCAATTTGGTCTGGGTTAGTCGTAGACATATTCGAGAAAATAAAAATTTATCACAGACTGCTGTCAGCTGTTGCTATATACCCCAACTCTCGGTTGCACTACAACACACGCGAACCTTATGTCCTCGTCAAAAAAACATATTCTGTAAAGGCAAAAAAACAAGATATAGAAACAAAAGGAATCAAAACAAGGCCATGAACAACAGTTGGCAGCCGTCAAAAAGGGGCTTCGCAAGGGGCCCCCAAGGAAACCGACAGGTCCTAGCGCCAAAGCATTACTTCCAAACCCCAAAACAGAGGCCTCGGCTTATCTCAGTTAATTTGCGTATATTTATTTGTATTCTGGAACCTTCCTGGTCTAGTTCACACCGGGTAACACCAAGATCATCCCATGCATTTAAAACACAAAGGCGTATACTGCGAGCTTTAAACGTGTGCTTAATGGGTGGTCTGTTTTGCTGAGGCGGGCGTCCGATTGACCCCGCAAAATGCATCGAATTTGTCTTCGTTCCGCCTCACGCTCCACATGGATTACTTGGGCCCCCTCGAGCATAGGGGGCCTCCCGGGGGGGCCCCCTCAACGAGCCTCTCTCTTTTCGCGGCCTTCGCAGCTGCAGCAGGAGCGGCAGCGGACTGCACTCTCTGGCCTACTGGATACCATACGTGAGCGCTTAGGTAGGCCTTCCAAAAAGTTGGGCGCCCTCAGAAAAGCACCGCAGAGGAAAGGGACACAACTGGCGAATGCAGGGATGAACACGTTTTCGGAAAACTGGCTCCAGTGCCCCCGAGGAGAGGCATCACAAAGTAGTGTGGCTATTCAGCAACACTTGATGAAGATTTACAGGAACCCAACGCCCGATGAACTAAGGAAAGCTAAGAAGAACCAAACAACGAAACCTGTCGTAAGAAACTCCAAACCTGAGTTCTCATTTGGTGGGGGCCCTAAGTCTTCCTCTGATCCGTGTAACTCGCCCCAAAGCCTAAATCCTAAATCATCGGCGAATGCATTACACTCATTGGCGAAGTGCAAGAACAGCCACCCAAAGGCTTGTGCATCCACGAACGTTAAACGGTGCATTTTTAGGTGTGGCTACTTTGTATGCAGTTTTTTCGGAAGCTTCACCCGGAAGAGTTTCATGACTACCAGCTGGAAAGTCGGGTGCTCCTAAGTGATAAAACGCTGTGCTTTATCAGCCCGAGGCAGTCTGCCGAAAGAGAGCTCCCCCTGCAAAAGCACATGCGAGCACCCCTTCAGGAAGCCATATACAGAGTTTTCTCGTAAGGCTTATAGCTCAGAAATTATAGCATCGGGTCCATCAATATTTTCCTTCTGACTTTTTACCAGCAGAGGCGCGAAGTGCGTCTAGTGGGATGCATGGCAAAGAGTTTGGATTGTATTTTGCATTCAGGCGACACCAGGAGTATCCGCAGATTGCTTGGCAGATGATTCACATCATCCTCGAACGCGTGGAGAATGAGCAATTGAACAGGAGTTCGTGAACTCCCAATTCATATGCGATTTCAGAACTCTTTTGTACTTTCATTTAGGGGCATCGCACTGCTGCTGCTGATTTTCCCTATCGCCACCCTAGGGGAGGTCTTCCTGCAATAGCAGGCCAACGGGCTGCTCCTGCTGCCGTCGCTGTCGCGGGGGCAGACTGGCGCCTCATTCCATGAGCACCGTTTAAGCGTGCGCTTGCGTACAGCATTTGCAATTCCCAAGGGATTCAATGGATCGTTTTACGTGTACATCCTTCATCTTTGGCTGCTCCATTGCCGCTTGATGCAGAGCAGTAAAGGGAAGAAGAGTGCGTTCTTTGAAAACCCGCTGCTGGCGCTCGCACCGTCCGCAGCCGGCAGCAATAGCAGCCGTAGCTGTAATGGCAACATTGTACAGAAGCTTCTCTTCTCTTTGCTTCCGGAAAAAGTAACCCCAGCGTCTCCAGAGCAAGTCAAGGAGGCGCTCTTGCGCCGAGTGTATTTCCGTCGGATGATGCACTTTGCGAACGGCAGCCATGATGTGAATATTTTCCAACTCACTGGGGATCTGAAGGCCCTGCCACCTTCTCCTAAAACCCCGTCTGGCCCTCACACTCACCAAGCCACAAGGGGGGGCAAGGGAAGTTTTCCTTCGGAAGACTCTATCCAGGAACCTGGAGAAAGTTCAAGGGACAGGCGGATACCTCCAGAGATCCCTGAGGGATTGGCCTTGGCAGTGCGGGTCGCGGCATTGAGAGCTGAAGTGTCTGGGGAACTGCTTAATGATTTTGTGTTTAAGCAAACATGGGAAGTTTTGAAGGACTGGCTGAAACTGAAAAAGGTAAGGGGCGACAAAAAGTCAGGAAAAGTGTTTAAAGGGGAGGACACAGGGAGGATGGCATTGCAAGGAAGTAGTGCAGGGCAGAGAGGGGTGATCTTGAACCGAGGCCTGGTTATCAAGATGCATTTGCTTGCTTGTTTCGGGATATCTCCGAAAGCTTTTGCATCCTTGTTGAGCTATGCATATAGGGAATTTTCCTCACTCGGGAAAAAGCATGTAACTCAGCTAGTATGCTCGCGGTTGCCTATATTTCTTCATTTGTACTTCTTACGTGAACACGTGTCTATTTGTTCTACAGTATCCATATCTTCAAGTATCATCAGCGTGACATTCCCATGGTGTCGCAGGTGTTTGAGTCTTCCCAGACTGAAGAAGCCTCCTTCGCAAATCTGGGTGCACAAAATTCGAGCTATTGTCCGTTGCTCTAGTTCGCTAACTTTTTGCGATTTTCTTTGTCGCGCTTCTCAGGTCGGAGAGTTCCAGTTCCAAGCGGAACTTAAGAACTGTCAAGCATATGCCTTCGGGGTACGAACATTCCAAAACCATGGGTATAGTAATGCGACGACCTCAAGGCCAAGCCGTGCACGGGTCTGCTTTTATTCGCGCTTTCAGTTGATTTTATTTGCTGGGTAGGTTTTGAATATGGCCCTCTTTATGGGTGGGAGTGTTTTATTCCTGTATATATGCGTGCAGCTGATGGTCTCGCTGGATCAGGCAATGACGGAGGGCGAAATCTGTCCTGCGAGAATCAAGGAGGCCCTTTGGGGGTGAGCTTTGGCGTTGTGGCCTCTCCAGCATCATCAATATGCTTGCATATCTAGGCATGCGCCAGTGCATGCACGCAGAATTTTTCATTTGCAAGTGGTCCCTTTGCTTCTGGTCTCTAAAACCGTGTCTCTGCTGTCTTTTCTGAGTCCTGCAATTTCCTCTTTGACTCTACTAAGTGAACGCACTTTATTATTCAAAATATTTATCGCTGTGGCTCAGGAATGTTTACGGAGGCGCGATTCCTTATGGAGACCCGGCTCTGTCTCTTCTAACAAAATATGTTTTAAGGCAGCTCACGCATGTCATGCAGATCGCAGATGACCATTTTTTTCAGGCAAAGTTCAGCTGGTGTGTTCTACAGAGAGAAACATATAGCGAGTTACTGAACTGAGAGGCTAGGGGTAACGGGTTGGATGACGTAGCAAGTGTAATTGTGCCTTCGTATTATTTGTGGTGGGTGGGTTCGATTCTAGATTGACTGTTAAGCTTATCAATTCCATACTTCATTGGTAGATCCGCCTCTTTTGTTGGATGCCCTCTGTGATTGTCTACATCCTCCGGTCTGGGTCTCCCGTAGTGTCTCTCTGACTTTTATATCCCCCACGCCTGCCTTGTTCTCTCGTTCTTGCCAAGGACTCCAAAGCATTTACCTTGCTTCTTCTATGTATTTATAGCTCCGTGCTCACATAAAACAAGGCAAAAACAGAACATTCGTTCCGATTTGTGTCTTCTCTGTTGTGCTTCCACCTTCTATCTTTCCTCAGGGCCGACTTCCCGCTGTCTCCGAACTTCCTTGCTCCTCCTTTGCTACCCCCGCTCTCCCTTCCTGTCTCCTATGGAGGATACAGTCCAGAGAGATCTCCCTCAGACAGCCTTGCAGAACCCGGGATCCTCCGTTCAAAACTAATCTCCACATAACCTAAAATTCAGGGTAGACAACGCCCAGTAAAATCCGAAGCCCTTGTGCTTCGGGTTTCGCCTTAGTAGTTGGGGAGAACTTCTCCTTCAGGAGGCTGAAGCACCAAGGACACAATGCGCAAACGGATTCCATACGTTTTTATTGCGCTGCAAATGGTTTGGTTTTCTCTATCCCCTTTGCAAGTGTACACGCCCTCCATGCCTCTCCTTCCATCTCCGCCCTGTTCTACCGCTCAGCGGCTGCTAAGTTGTGAAGGAAACCCCCCTTGTTTCGTCGTTTACATCCTGGCGGTACTTTTGCGCTGTACTCACCACCTGTCTCCTCCGGAAAACAATGCTAATCACTCCCGCTCCCATGAACAGTAGCCCTGCAGCACAGAGCCTCAAAACCAGAAATCCTCGCTGCAGACAGAGCACCGACGCCTGCGAGATGAAATCCTTAAAAACATATGGCCTCCAGAAAAGGGTATGACCACAGGTTTCTGGTTACCTGTAAAGTAGCAGAGGTAAGTCAAGTGGCCCAGAGTCATGCACGAGAGCCCTGAGTGCACACAATGGTCGATGCTTCAGGCTTCCGCATTTCAGAGTACCAACTAAATGACTATCTGTTCACGCCAATGAGCTGCTCGCGGATAGCTTATAGCCTCTTCCAACCAGGGCTTGTGTCGGTTTAGATCTATACCGAGGTAGAAGTAAATGATGGCACGAGACGTGACATTGGAGAAGAAACCGAAGCGCGTCTCCATACACTGGTCCATGGAGCTTAGATGCAACACGCGGCCCGCCTCAGCGGTTATCAGCAACAAACATAAGAGGCTGCATACATAGAAAACAGAGACAACAGGGTTGGGATTTCAAGCAGAACACAGGCATACCAGACCGGACAAGGAAAAATGCGTACTTCTATGTCTACCGCTTCTGCCAGCACTATCCAATCTCAAAGAGTCCCTAAGGGCTTAAGATTTTGGCGATTTACAGCTGTCCGAGGTTTAAGAAGAGCAGAACGCTGCTGAGCCACTGCCGAATAACGACTCCAATGCATGCAACTGAAGTGGCGAAGCCCAATATAGCTGTAAGGAGGCAAGCAAGGGATGCTAGGCGTGGAACTGCACGCACAAATATGATGCAGAAAAGAAAGAACTCAGAGCTGCCTATCATCGTTTGAAGACGCTTACATGACTTTCAAGCGGAAAATTGGAGCCCCTTTTAGGACTAGAGCATAGTTCTCTATGCTTATAAATTTGTAGTGTAGTTCTATGGTTTAGGTCTCGCAGCTTACTGTCGTGTCTTGCGTTGTAGAGCGCATCGGCGACGCGTAGGCAGTCATCAGAGAGGGACTGAAAGGTGGGGATCTCCATCTTGCTTTATCCTCTGGAGCACTGTGTGTAAATTGGCAAAAGAGAACGAAGTTGGAAGCTGAGAGTGAAGGGTGTAACGTCCAGATTGAAGGATTTAACCTTCAAGGTATTGTGTTTCTATGGTCCCTCTCAATTGCCGGAGGCAGCGGAGGACACACTGCGAAGTCTCAGAGTTCCCAAGGATTTAGCGTAATGACTAATATTTATGAGGTGATCCTTAGCATTTGGGCACAGGGCTTAGGTTTTGCGATGTAGGGTTCCAGATGCTAAGCGATCTGACCGTGGGGCCTGCGGCTGACCGGTCGGTTGACCCTCAATCGACCAGACAACCAGATGATGATTTCGAGCGGCACCTCGATCGCTAAACTCTTTACTTTTACTTTTGGTAGTAAATCATCGAACAAAAATCTTACATCAGATAGGTCTTCCCATGCAGTCATGTGACTTGCTTGATTTCATCCCTGTAACTTACCGAGTGTCTGCGGGCCGAGTTATTTGACCATTAAACCATAGTCCCTAAATTCCCATCCAAAATCTCAACGTTTAAACATAAGCACAAAATTGTAGCTTCAGCGTGTTGTTTCATTGTGAAACGCACCGTAAGCTCTTTTATTCCTGTGCCAGGAATATTACCACTCCTGCGCTTGGAAGGTGCCTTTACTTCGGTGTCGACGAGCTAAAAATGGAAATTCGCATCGAAATTCATCATGATTTGGCCATAATAACGGCAACCAGCCCCATAAAACTTGTTAACCGGCAACAGCCGATGCAATGCATGAAGTGACAGCAAACTGTAAAAGCAGGCATGGGTGCACGAGGAATGACTATGACGACCACACATGGACGAGAATGTATATTACTTATGACTGCCCAGATCAAAACAAATAATCATACTTCTGTGTCCTAGAAATCGTTGCTATGGCTGTCACGCTCAATTTAAGACCTCCACAGAAAGACAACTCTAGACTCGACAAAAACCCTGTAAAATGTAAGTGAGTATTTCTTCAGAAAACTAGTGCATTCTCGTGCCTGCGCCTCTCAGATCTCACGGCATGATGACAGAGGGGCAGTTACGCTCTGCGTTGCTGGACCCTCCATTCACTCGCTTGTTGCACAAGTGAACAGGCATTCACCAACGCGTCTTACTGTACCCGGCTAACGCCAGGCTGCAATAAACAGGATAAGATATGCGACCAGGCACACCAATCAGACAAATACTTACCAATATTCAATTTAGTCCAACTAGGGTACTAACACGTGCCAAAGCTTACCTCAGTCCGTCACAACCATAGCAACCGAGCGCCAGACCCTTTGCTTCACGCTTTCGCTTTCAGTCGCAAGAATTATTAGAGGGAAACAGGAGGTGGGAAAGCGTGAATAGGCAAGGGTATGCAAAAATTTACTAGAGTGCATTTACGCTAGAGCGTCAGTTGGCATTATAGCCGCTAAAATAAGATCTTGACAAAGCAGTACAAAGACGCAAAGCTGATTCCTCTCAGGATTCGCCTCTAACTGGCCCAAAGTGAGTGACTCTTCCCCGACTGGCTTGCGTCTTGAGGGAGGTCAGCTTTGATAATGTATTCTACCCGCAGGAAGCGAAAACCATGAGTATTAGATAGTAAACATTGCTGCAGAGCTTGGAGTGGCGATGGAATGTAACCTGGTGTCTAACAGCCGGTGAAAGTAATGTTCTATGTATATATCTGGTGATGCTTTGTACATTGAAGAAGAAGATGCTACAAGTAGCACTTGGATACTGTCCAAGCAGCAACCAAGGCAAATTCTAAGGCTTAGAGGAGAGAACATGGTAGGTCGTTTCTTCTAATCGTGCCCGGGAGTGGTTATTGCCAGTTAGGCAATGTAAATGAAAAGGCTAAAGAATAATTGTATTAAAAGGACATTTCAGGCTTTCTCATTCTATGAGTTCTCTCACTTTTTGGCTTTTCTTCATGGCCCTCTGACAGCCCCGAGGTAAGATTCAGCTAGTCGTAGCTGCCACCATCAGCACCGTGCAATGCGCGTATTCTCTTCACCAGACGTATAAATGCGTGCCTGTCCCAGCAGCTTCATTACTTATCGCTTTTTGCGTCTGACATTAGAGTAGAGGGAAGGTCAAGCATTCGTTCAAATTCAACCCACTACCAGCTTCATTTTCGCTGCTCCAAGATCGATAAACGCAACCTAGAGACCCTCCTAAAATACAGAACCCTGTACTATGAACACGCCTGCAAGACCATTGCGACCAAAGCCTCTTTTAGCACCATGTGCCCTGATAGTATCGTATTATACTCATTCCACTAGGGCAAAATGTCGTAGCTAGAGTGTTGATACGGTGCAGCCTTCGGGGGGTATGCCTGAAGTGTACCCTGTGAGCAATTGTTTTGTGCACCCGTGTTGCAAATAACAGTGGGAGAGGATGCTGGGGCTGCTCCTGCACCAAGCTGCGCTCCTTCGTTGTGAGTTCAGGACTCACTGGGCCCAGAAAAAAGACATACATTGGGGTTATCAGCTCTGCTTTCAGATGCAGTTGCTGAAACTTTATCCAAGTAGCATTGATTTGGTTTTCGGGTCGCAGATACCTTTGAGAGGACTTAATAAGGGACATTTCACCGTCTTGTCTGCTGTCTCACGCACTGGGATACTGCCCCAGAATATGGCTACAGACCTTTTGAAATATGTACGCAAGTGCACTTAAGAATTTAAGGAGGCGATGAAAAAAATCAATGTAATGTAATAATAGCATTATCCTCTCCTATCTCGGCTTATCCTATACTGTTGTGATGTACGTTCACGGTAGCACAGAGCCTGCAAGGGAGGGAAGGCAAATTGAAATATGCTAGAAATACCCCGTCTAAGAGCAGATAAAGATTTAGAGAGCCTTTAAAAGCAGTTCTCTCCCACTTCGTCTTAATGCTGATAGCGGCTCTATCTTCTGCAGCCGCCCGGTGCTGTGTGGGGAGCCGAATGTGCTCCATGCTTTTTCGGTCATCTCTGTGCTATTTTTTCTGTCCTTTAAGATGAAATATGTATTCATGGTGCATGTTCTTGAGTTATTGCCCTGATGACTCTTCAAGGAGCACTACAGTCTGTTGTTCCGCCATTTGCCGTCCAGCTGCCAGCTAGGCACTCAAAACCAGACAGCGAGACAGGGGGAAGCTTTGTCTTCTTTCTTCTGATTTCAATGAATTAAGCTGTTTTAACAAGTAGGGGACCGCCAATAATCCGATGCTGAGACACTGAAACCTTCTTTTCCCGATTTCTGGAGAGTCCCTTGCAGAGGCAGCTGTGAGCGCCCAGAGTTTTGGTTCATCTCCTCTTTGCTTCTTTGTTTTATGCCTTTTGGGACTCTAATTCGGGCTTTTCATGATATTACTCTGTCATTTCCGTCTTGAAGGTACACAAAGAGTTTCCATAAGGCTCTTTCGTGCACAGAAGCCTGTCGGGGGGACCGAACAACGCAAATCCAGCTTCCCTCCCCTGCCGCTCTACCTAGACTTCTTGCAAGTCCAATGAGGGCTTTATGGATGTCACAGTAACTCCAACGTACATGGCACTACCTACTGGTTGTGGTGGAGTTGCACCTAGCGTGATATTTTTCAGGGAGTCAACAGAAGCCAAGGAATGAGATGTGGGGCCCTTCGCTTCTCCTTCAGGCCCAAGGCTAAGGGTCTCGCCAAGCGTACAGGCTTTACTTCTTCAGTCTTCTGCTTCTACCAGTACCAGAGACGCGTGTCTACACAAGTAAAAACCCACAAACAGCGGGGTGAGGAAACAGCACGAGGGGACAAAGAAGCAAGATATTCAAGAAGGCCCTGGCAATTGTACTACTAGCAATGAAAAATAGTCACACTGCACCTTCTCTTCCCCTTCTGCATCTGGAGGCTTCACGAGGACCTTCCACCGGGGCTCCAACATCTTCCGCATCTTCCCGCCGCAGCAAGCATCTTTTTTCGTCTTTGCTGCAGCACGGCAGCAGCAGTAACAGCGGTCCCAATACTATATCATCTAAACGAGTGTCTAGAGCTCTTCGTAGCAAAACAGAGAGCCTCTGTTTCTCTCGTCGCGGTTGGGGCGGAGGGCCTCCTTGGTCACAGTGTGGGATTGGTGAGGGTGCCTCCTTAAGTGCCCCCTCTCGAGCAGGCTACTCGGACGGAGGCCCCACAGCAGATGGACTATTGGCGTTGGGAGCGGCTCTGTGCTCTAGGCGACAGGGATGCCACTTGGCTATTCCCTGTTCTCCTGAGCCCCCCTTGTTGAAGGGAGCTGCACCGCAAGGGTCCCCAAGAGATACCCCAGCCTTCTTAGGTACGAGTCCGCAAAATAATCGACCTATTTCCTGGCTAAGGAAGGCCTTTCGTGCGGCTGTGCATCGGCGCAAAACCAGGGCCCCCTTCGAAGAAGGCCGTCAAGAAGCACCAGGGGTCTCTGAGGCCCCTGAGGACCTACTTCCACGAGAAAGGTCCGTCAAGGGCGTTTCCCGGCAGCGGAGTAGCAACAGCACTGCCACCCCACCTCAGAGTATTCCATTAGCCGGCGCAAGAGGGAATGAGACGCCTGTGTGTAATAAGACACCTGGGAGCGTTGACTACACAGGGGCCCACAAAGACACCCTTGTGGGAGAAGGAAAAGGCCCCGAACCCAGGCAATTTACGCCGGTGGCCCTGACTGCTTCCTCACGAGAAGGTATTCATACAAAAAAGGAGCCCTCAAAAATACGGAAGGAAGGACGCAACTTACAAGAGGACCCAGATGGGCTCCCAAGGCCAGCATCAAGGGGAGATTCAAAGGGGGAGACTTGTCCGAAGGGTCTCACAAGTGGTGCTGTGGAAGATGATTACAGCAGCGGGATGGTTAAAGGGCTACTAGAAGGCTCCCCACTAGGTGGCATGCACGCCTGTTGTCTGCTGGAGAAGCAGCAACAGCAGCAGAGGCCGTGCCAACCCTTCCTCCAGCCGGTAGACCCACTTGGGGGACCCTCAATTGAGGAACAGAAGGCATTTTTTGCTGCTTGTTCGTGGGCTCCCGAAGACTTTACTTTCATCAGAACTGTTGGTATGCCTGATGCCCTAAAACTGCCTTTCGAAGAAAAGCTAGCCTGTTTAGGGGCTAGGACATTAGGTGCTCTTTTAGAGCAGTGGCGCCTTTGGGACCTGCAGTGGCTCTCTTATGTTTCGCTGGTAGGGGAGGCCGGGCAGAGTCTACAGCTCTTTCCCTTAATTATCTCCCCTTGTTCCTAATATCCGAGACGCTAAGTTTTGCGCTTTCAGGAACCGGCACTCTGGGTCGAGTCTTCATAAGCCGTTTGAAGCCACGCCAAGTTTCTTCTTTAAGCTCCCTCCGGAGGGGGCTCCCAGGAGATGAAGCTGCTTGGGCTCCACCTGAGGGGTCCTTCAGCTGCTGCAGGTTTAGGAAAGCCCTGGAGGCACGGCCTTACGCCATTAAGAGATTGCGAAAATACCAGATCTTGCAGGTCAAGCAACAAACCCATGTTCTGAATGAAAGGAGAATACTCCGAGGAATGAACCACCCTCTCGTCGTTAACCTGTACGTATTCGATGGGCTCTTAACCGTTCATACCAAAGCCCGAACCTAAAACTCAAGGCACGAATCGTAGCACTGCTTATTATTAAGGCGTGAAGAGACAGATGGGGTGGCAGAGGCACAGCCACTTTCTGGGAACTGGATATGATTGTACAACGCAAAGGGGCAGAGTGCATGGTGTTTGCTTGTAGGTTCACTACGTTTCAGACGCGTACACACTTATTTTTGCTCATGGAATTCGTCGGAGGTGGCGAACTTTTCTCTCTTTTGAAGTAAAAGCTGTTCAACCACACACAGTAACTGCCTCGCTAAGCTGCACAAATATTTGTTTTCCTGCCACACTTTCAACCCTGTCCCGGCACTCGCCGAAACCGCAGCATCACCTGCTGCAAATACGAAAGTAGCAGCACCGCCGCTACGCACTGTTCCCTTCATCTCAGTATAGCCGTTCTTCTTTCCTCTTTACAGCGTTACCCAGAGTTTGTTGGAATTTCATATGCAGAAGATGTGATGCTTCTTTTGGCTTATCAATTGTTTAGCTGTGGGCCGTTACGTGGGTAGCTGCCATTTGCTTTCTCTCAACTCCCTACAATCCAGACCTTGCTGTCGTCCAACCTCATGACTATCCCTGATTGTCTCTGCATGTGCTCCTCTACTTTTTCCCGACTATCTGGGCTACTGCTTCATCCTGTAACATCTCATCCTCCTTGATTTCACTATCCCTCCCCAGGTGTCCACTGTGTGTCATGTGGCTTTCTTGAGGTTGACGCCTATCCTTTTTAATCGAACAACCGGCCTCACTGACATCAAACTCTAAAGGTGCCAACCCCCCTAACTATCTTGTATGTCTGGTTGAATGCAGTCGAAAAGGGTCCCTCCGTCTGGAGGCGGCTCGATTCTATGCGGCGGAGGTATTGGTTGCTTTACTATATGTTCACAGTAAGCTGTTTCTTTCCTTTTTCGTTTTCCCCTGAACTCTCCGTATCTCTGTTAGCTGATGTCTTTCGATGTCAGAAAGTTTCTTTCGGTAGCCTCACATGTTTCTCTGCTTCCTCTAAGTGCCCAACGGCTACAGGCCACACTGTGTAGCAAGGTTCTAACTTTTTGTGCCGACCCGTCTTCGCTTCTTTTCTCTAGCTCTGCTCCGCTGCATACTCCCCCGCATGCGTCTCCTACTTTGCCTTCCTTGATATCCTTCCCTCTCGCTGATTCTGTTGCCCCCCTCCTCCGTGACTGCCTTCGTTTGCCTTGTTTACGTCGCTGCCTGTCTTGCTACCTCTGTGTGCATATCTGCCTGTGCATCTTTCTCCATTATAAATAGGTTTAGGAGTCATCTACAGAGATTTAAAGCCAGAAAACATTTTAATAGGGAATGACGGCCATATCAAAATCGTAGACTTTGGATTCTCCAAGCAAATAGAAAAGCCGAGGCCATTCATCTTGGGGGCAGCTCAGGGAAGGTGCGAGGGCTCCCAGGGTCTCCCACAATGGAGGCACTTGACTTCATGGGGTACCCTCAGCTGTTGCCATCCAGCATGCGAGGCTGCAAGGCATAAGTATGGCGTCTTCTCAGCCCTGCAGAGGGGTTCCACCGACGCAGCGGAGACACTTGGAGGTGGAGGGCCTCCTTTGAATGGCATAGAAGCAGTTGAAACTCAGCACCGGCCATCCTTGCATGCGACAACACCCCTAAACTCCTTAGATATGTTTGCGACCTCCTCGTTTGGGGCAGACGGGCCCTTCGAAACTCCGAAGGCCACCGATAAGGAAGGCTGCGTGAGGGGAGAAGCTACAAGCTGCGAAGAAGGTACACTGGCAGTTCACGGCAGCTAATAATACTACTGCCCCTTGTGATGCTGCTTATGGTGCAAATGATATTGACACAAAACTTTTAGCCCATCCTCCTGGAAATGCTACTGCATCTTGTTTTGATATTGCAGTAGCAACGAGTCCTGCTGTTGCCTCAACACGTTGTGCTTGCTCCCTGCAGGCTTGCTGCCCTATTGGTCTCTAAAGAAGGCCCAGTCAATGGGCCTTCGTTCTTCCAGGCAATTGAACGGGGGACCTCTTGTGGACTCTACCACGAGGGCCACCACTCCTTTGGGCTGGTTAGACTCGGGCTCATTTGCATCTCTCAACACAGCAGAGGCTGCCACTGTAGAGAGTTACCTGGCATCGGTGACGCAACACACCCCAAACTCGGAGGGAACCTTCATTGGCGTCCTGGGGGCCTCCCAAAATAGCAGCTCTGAAGAGAGCCTCACACATGGAAACACTGGAGCGCATATGCATGGACCCACACCAAACGAGGCGGAGGGGTTTCAAAGGCTTGAAGGAACCCCAATGGATCCTTTGAAAGTGACCCCTATTTCTACTTCTGCACCAGAAGAAAGCCACTGGGAGAGAGACACTCAGGAATATCCATGTACTCCGGTTCGCTCAAAACTAGTCCACGCCGGGGACCCTCCAGCATGGGGGTTAGGGGCTCCCCCACTGCAGCAGCCTATTGTGGGACCGCCGCTTCCTCGTTGTCTCTCACTAGGAGATTATGGAGTGATAGATGGAGCCCAGTCCCAACACCACGCGCTGCAGCAGCAGCTGCAGCGAGAGCACAAACGGCTTTACAACGCAGCAAACAGTTGGCGCGGAAGTCCTTTGAAAGGAACTCCTGGAACTGAATTGGGGCCGCTGCCCTCCAGTTTTCATCAGAATGACCGCTTCTCTGAAGGACTTGCAAAGAGTTCTCCAGATCCTTCGGAGTCTTTTGGACCACTGTGGCTTTCTGGCGGTAATACCGTCAGCCGGGGGCCTTTCCGTGGGGCTTCGGATAAGGAGAGTTGCTTTGGCGAGGGGGCCCTTCAAAGAGAGAGCTGGGTGTCAATCCTGCTGGAGGAACCAACCAAGGATAATGAAGAACAGGATGAAGGACATTCTTCAGGTACAAAGGTTTACAACGCAGGGGGATTAGGAACCTATGCCGACACACAGGGATCTAAGGGAACTGTAGAGTAGAAGCAACTTCTTGAGCATTCCGCAACTTAGAGGCTCTCGTTGTCGAGAACAGTCGCACATTTGAGCACATAGGCATGAAGAGAAGCCCGAACAGAACGGATCTAATGCTGTTTAGAAGAAAGCGACAGACACCAAGAAAGGGGAGAGGGATATAAGAGCCTGTGAAAATGAGGGGCTACGTAGTGGGTACAAGTGTATGCATGTAGGCCGGGAAGCATGAGACAGGCCAGCGTAGCGAAATTTGATGTACATTAATTGAGAGAAACCAAAGGCACTAACCAGGAAAGTGAAGCGGGAGCTGAGACGTAAAGGGAGCTTAGGTACCTTATCCAGGCGAGGTGCAAGCCATGGAAAGACTGAATCACAGATAAAGAAAGAGAAGTAGATGGGTGAGGGGGAACAGTAAGGGAGCACGTCTTCGAGTGTTGCGTGGTGCTGCAGGCTCTAAAGAGAAAACTGTTGACCAGTTGGAGCAGCTCAAAGGTATCTCTTCATCGAACCCTAGTCCCTGTCAACCCTGCGCTTAATGATGGTGAAGCCATACGAGGAGAAACACTTGTGGCAGCAGCGGCTTGAAAATAGGGGGAACAATAGGAGTGTTAACCGGGAACACAGGAGATAGCGCTGTCGCGATTTACGAAAATATTGCACGGGCTCAAGCAGACGAAAGAGCCCAAGTTGCAGCAAAAGTAGTACCTCTCCTTAAGAGCACCCGCAGCACTAAGAGCAACCTAGGCACCGGTTGCCATTGTTCTACTTGCTGCCCGTGTGTCCTTAAGCTTAGTTATTGCAGCTGGTGCTCCTGCAACCACTATGTAGCCGCCACCATCTGCATCTCAAATGTCTGACCATTGTTACTGCACTTGATTCACCCCATGAATCCCCTGAGAGCTTATTTTTATTTGAAACTACCCCACGCTTGAAATGCACGGATACTTCTACTTGCTTGTTGAGGTCTTTCTCTTTTTGTTTATCTTCCCTTGTATAGAGCTGGTGCTCTCTGTCGCTCTGTGCCTCTCTGCGTACCAGCATGGCTGTAGTTCTGCCCCTCCATGTATCAACACGGCGCTGATAATTTTGGTGCCTCTTTCCGCTGCCTCCGCTGTCCATGCCTCCTCAGCAGATCATTCGGAACCTCCTAAATCTTCCTCACCAGCTCCAGCTGGTTTAGCGGCAGCAACTGCAGTCGCAGTTGCACATGTCGTAGCAGGATCCAAGCTAGCAGGGACAGCAGGTCAAGAGGCCATAGTGGGAAGAACACATTTCGATAAACTTCCAACAGGTGACCCGGCTCCTACTGGAGTGCCTTTGCAGCCTTCATTTCCTTTGGAGGCCACATACGGTGGGGAGATTGGAAACGTTCCCTGGCCAGAAGAGGAGAGAGAGCTCAATAGGAGCTGTACCCTCTGTGGCACGAGCGAGTACATGCCGCCGGAGACACTGCTAAGGAGAGGACAACATTTCTGCAGCGATGCCTGGGCTTTTGGGATTCTTCTTTACGAGCTTGTCTTCTGGTGAGGTGGCATACTACTGTGGTTGCTGCTGTAGGCTGCGTGCTTGATTGCCATGGCAAGGCGCAGCTGGGAACCCTTCTGGAGCAGCAATGCAGGGAGAGATACTTGCTGGAAGCTGCGGCACAAATCCGCCTTGATCGGTGGCTGGAATAGCTACAGAGATGTTAGCTTAGAGGAGTAGAAAAAATAAAGATTGACACAGCGGCTCTGTGTACAAAGTATACTTATGTATGTGGGTGCGTGTGCATTGCATCTCGTTGTTTGCGAGCGCCTCCACAGGAAAACACCTTTTTACAGTGAAGACCCTGCGGCGATGTATGATGACATCCTCAATAAACCTCTTACAGTACCACAAGGTGTTCCGCCTTCACTGGAGGTACGTGCATGCTGAGCGGCAGGAAAGAGCCGTTGTAGTCAGGGGCACTTAAGTGGGGGTGAGTTAGAGGGGAAAAACTACAACAAAAGCAAGAGACAGGTGAAGTAAGTGGGTATGAAAATCAACTATTCTCTATTTTCCTCGTAGCCCCTTTTGCAGGGGCGGGCTTTTGAGAAATTACATGTCAGGTCGCAAAGCAGAGAATCAGTTTTTCACGTCTGGTCTCTCCATAGATGTGCGTTACCTTCTGGGCAGCAATTGCTGCTTCGCTTGCTGGAAAAGAACAGCCGCATCCGTCTCTCTCTTCCTGCGGCAGCGCGTTCCGCTTTTTTCTCTTGCTTCTTTTCCTTCCCGCCCGGCTGCCTCTACGGCCATACGGTGTCCCCTCCATTTATACCTAAAATAAAGGGGCCCTTCGACTGTGAGGCGTTCGACGCATATCCGGAAAGCTCTGAGGATGCAGTGTTGACCCCTGGTGAGAGAAATTGCATTTTGTGCAGATGTGCCCCTCTCTCAGTCACTGGATTCCGTTACTGTCTGCTGCGTTATGTTCTGCACACGCCCTTTGCCCCCCTCGACCCCGAAGGCCTCCCTGGTTGCCAGTGTCTCCCTGTCGTGATATCCATCCCTCGACGCTGCTTTGCTGCGTGCCGCTTACTGTTTTATTCTCTCATCAAAGGGCTGTTCCTGTCTCTAGTACCCGCGAGCGCTTCTGTTAATCATCCCCTTCCCTCCGTATGCCGTCTGTAATGCACCATTCGATTGAATCTCCTTCCTTCTGTTCCCTCAGAGCAGCAGAGCCTGTGCGATAGTTGGCTCCACGACTTCTGATTAAACCACATCAACTGAAACACCAAGCAGCTGACAACGACAAAAACACCAGTGGCCAAAAACACGTGCACGTTCAGGAGCAACTCAAAAGAAGGGGACCCGTCGAAGAAGTCAATTCAACTAAGCAAGAAAGTATGGGCTTCCAGGCTATTTACCAAAGCACAGTCGGTGCAAGAGTTCAAACACAGCCAAACACGCACACAGGCCCCCAGGCGGAGCAGCCAAAGACATGCACCACCGAGCAAACAAGCACAATTGCAAGCACGCTAGAAAGAATTCGGCAAGTTCAAACAAAGCACAATCCATGTCCAACGTGTCCGCACCACTCGGTGGTGTTTTGAAATACACGCTTCCTTGGATGCAGCATAAAGAAGGCTCCTATACCTTCTGCAGTGGACCCTTTTGAGGTCTCCAAGGGGCCTCTCCCCGTAAGGGGCTCTTCAAAGGAGGGCACCCGGGTTCCTTGGGCCCCACCGGGCAGTTCTCGTTTCTTTGCTGATGCACAGACAGCCTGAATAACGGGGGCCCTCGACAGCTATCCAGGGGCCCGTGCCTTTCTGGGGAAACCCAAATAAGCTTCTGGGGGCCTCCTTTGGCAGTGTCCTCATACCCAGTAGATCCCCAGGTGAGTGTATTTTTAATCTTCAAGTTCAGGTGTACAGGCACCTTACGGTGTACCTACAGTCTACTGTTTTTTCTCATCTTACTCTCTCGTGCAGCACCAGTGGCGGCAACAGGTGTTGTTGCCCCTCTGCGAATGTGGTTGTTGCTGCGGCAACCGTTGCTAAGGCGTACACCCAAATTGCGGGTCGCTCTCTTTGGGAGCAGCAGCGACCTACAGCAACGTTCTACAAAGGGAATAGAACTCTCTAAATTTCCTGTTCGTCTTAGTCACTGGATGATTGGCAATATAATGGTGTATGCACCGCACACGATCTCTTTCGTGTTCATTTGCTTTGGCTCTGATTCCTTCCCTAAGCGCTTTCCCTTTCACGCGTTGGTTTAACGTAATTGTCAATCTCTCTACTGAAAAGTCTGTCTACGTGCCAATCTTATTCTGTGACCCCCTTCAGCATCTTACCGCCTACGTGTGTGTGTGCTACTTTCTTCACCTTTCTTGCTTGCTGATTCTAACCCCAACAAAGCCATCCAGTCTGTTGAGACCTAGTAACACAGCCCGAACGAAAAAGAGGCTGCACGAACGCGCAAAGGCCCCGGTTAGCCTGCTAGTGCCCAATGGTCTGGGTGACACGTAAGAGCCGATCAAACGCCGCAAGGACTTTTTTTTGCTCTCTAAAAAGTGCTTTCTCCCCCTGCAAATGTGGCTATTCTGCTAGGGACTGCTAACTTTGTATGCGCTGTAAAACACTGAGCCAATGGGCTTCTAGGGAGTCCCCAAAGCGGCGGATTCCCCCTGACAGGAGACGCCTGGGGGAAATTCAGCCCACCTATTGGGCCTCCGTGGTCTTGCAGCTGGAGTGACCCGCGTAATACTAAGGCTGTTAGCGGACAAGGCACTCTCCAAACCAACAAAGCCTCTCCTGGGGCCTTCTTCCTCCCATGGGCCCCAAGCGTTAAGTTGTGCCCTCGAAGCGGCAACAAAAGACCTGTTGCAATTGGATGGGAAGGCAGCAGAAGCGGGAAGTACAGAGGTGCCTAAGTTGCTGGTGGCTCTTCGAAGGATCCGCTTGCTGCACCCTTGGTTAATGATCCCTTCAGGCCTTTGGCGCTCGTACGGGGACCCTAGGGAAAAATATGAAGGTGCGGAGCACGAACCCAACAGGCTCTCCTTAGGTGCTGAGGAGTTTGTCATTTCAGCGCTTTCCTCGAGCTTACTGGAGAAGCAGCGAGGTCCCCCGCCATTGCAACGAGCAGACGTCCCCGGTGCCTTACCAGTAGAAGAAGCCCTTAGAGGGGATTCTGAAGCCTGGGAAACTCCCAATCCGCCTGTTGATCCCGTGCTGCTTGCTGTGGGAATTCCGCATTTTGAGCGCCCTTGGAGGAGGCTTTCCCCCGGATGAGTGCCATTCAAGTGGGTTTCCGCTGCTCTAATATGGGTGCCCCAGCGCTTCCGGTGACCCTTAGGGCGTGTTTTTTTCTCTGCCTGCATGCTTCGATGCTGCCGGCGCTGCATTGAAGACCTTGGCATGGAGCAGGCAATGTCCAGCTGGCCTGTTACCACGTGCGACATTTGAAGGTCGTTCATATTATTTGGAGAAGAGGACGGGTGGTGGGCTTCGACCGAGGTCCTGTGGAGCGGAATTGCGACAAGTTTAGGATCAATGTGTCCAATTTCACAGCATTTCTTAGGGCAACTGCTGAAGGCCGCTTGAACGGATTCGTCTGAAGTGTTGTATAAAGTACTTTTACAAATCCATGGATCTTCTTTTTGCCGCAGACGTAGCCGCAGCCTAGCTGCTGAGGCTTTGCTATACCCACGGAATCCCAGAGCCCCCTTCCGCACAAATTGAGTGGGTCCCTTTGGCGCTCCAAGGCCTGTTGAGGTTTTAAGGCCGTCACTGGAAAAGGTGTCCCTGTTGTTGCCATTGCGAGCGCTGCCTGTTACTGCTGATGATGCGCTTTCTTCATAGGGTGAGGTACATGGCCGTTGTTCCGCTGCTCTGGTTCTGTGCGGTGCTACTTCTTCTCCCTTTGAGAATATTTGTAAAGGCTCGCCGTGAGTGTTTAAAAATTCATCAGTGTCCAGCCTAACCATTCCATTTGTAAGCCTGGGAGGAAGCTTTTGTCGAGGCCATCCAGAGAGGATATCATGGGGTATATCTTCCGCAGGAGATGCCTTTGCAGCAAAAACCTTAAGGGATCTTCTAACCGCGCTCATCGCTTTTCTCGCTGCTTCTCCTGCTGTTGGCAGTGGTCGCAACCCTTTAGTGGCTGCTTCCCCTTCACAGAGGTCTCCCTCAACAAATGATCCACATTCAGAGGAAGGTCCGATAAAGCTTCTCACTGAATTTTCGTAAGAGTGGTAGGGGACCCCTACCAGTAATGCATCCCGTGAAGACTCCCACACCTCACATCTACGTAATGCAGCTGAGACGTGTCTCCTACTAGAAGGCCCCCGATGTCTGATCCCCCCTAGGCCTCTGCAGCCGTTGCCGGGGGAAGCAGCTTTGCAAGAGCCCCTATTTCGTACTAGCGCACAGCGCGGGCACGCAGGGAGCAAACCCCGCGATGGGCACCCTTTCTCTCCAGCAGGGGCTGCTCGCCCTGGCTGTAACAGTTCGGGGGCACCCTTTGCTAGCTGAAGAGACCAGTCATAAAGTGCCAGGCCCACGGTCAGCCCTGTAAGCAAGAGAGAACCAGCTTCAAAGTGCATCAGTGGTGAGGCTCCTTCTACGAGGCGCCCTGCTGGAGCGGCGTCGGGAGGAGCTTCTCGGCTAGTCCCCGCTGGGGGGCACCCAGGGAGCTGTTCCTTTGGGGTGCGCGTAGTTCCACTGTCGGCCTGTGAATAGCGAGGCTTCTGCAAACATCGATGGTTACCTTCTTCTATGTGCTGAGGAGCGCAACGAGTTTCGGGGCTGCCTGCAAGCAGTCAGTGCCAGAAGCACAGACCACAGCCGTTTAACTAGCGAGAGCACACCATGAGAAACGATAAAAAACAGCGGGAAGCTGGCTTACTATCACTAGCAGCATAAACAAGAGACTCAGTGTGATTATGGTTCTACCGACGTTGTAGGGTTAAAGAGTGAAAGGAGCTCGCTTCCTTAGGGGCCCTAGGATCTCCGTCTCCCTTGTATTCCTTATCAGAAGACACGCCTTCATTTCCTCTGGGCCCCTTCAGACAACGTGGATACATTTGCAGAACCACACCTTCTTACTTTTCAATCTGCACTCTAGACGGCGAATGTCTGAGGGTATTGATTTGGGTATGTTGTTCTACTGGGCGTGTCTGGGGTTTATGCCTGCCCAAGTTGAATTTTTTCGTGATGTGGCTTGACCCTTCATGTCAAGGGGTCTATGGACTGGAGAGTGCACCGAGCTTGTTTGAGGGCCTTCGTTTCTGCTTTCGTTGGTCTCTTATGATCGGGAGAGCACCGTTTTCCCCCTGTGCTTACACGGCTGAGGGCAGCTGCCCATTGCTTGGGGCTTGCTTGTGCGTGGCCAAAAACAGAGGCTTCGAGAGTGTAGGAGCAGGCAATTCCCAATTCTCTGAATCCTACAACGCGGCCCGTTCCCTCCTTGCATTTTTGTATCTTTGTGATGCATGCTAAACCGCACGCCGCACACCACCACATAGAATGCCACAGAGTTTATTGCAATCTGCAATGCCGAAACACGCTAGCGGCCCGCTAAGTGCTTTCTTGCCCACGCTCCGATCAATACTGGTGGACACGGTCGGCACAGCACCACTGTGTATCGACCCTTTGCACATTTATGACACCCTAATGCTCTTTCTTTGAAGCTACAAAGTTCCTCAGACTGACCCGTCATGTCGAACCATGGACATCGCTCCTCTAGAGCTTTAAGTAGAGTGCTGCTGGTAGGCGGAAGGACCTCAGGCGGTCCCAGGGCGCTCAAACCGCTGGGAGGTCCCTTCTGTTGAGGTGAAGAGGACAGTCCTAGGAGTCCATCCCCCGCAGAGAACCCCTCTGGATTCAATTGCTGATCCGCGCTGTTTGCATAGCTGCAAATCGTATACGAGGAGTATGTGGAGGCTAGCTAGTTGAAGCATACATTGCTACGCTTCTTAGAAGCCCTCTAGAGACGGAGTGCGGCTGCCTCATGAGTAGCTGTCCCGTGAGGGTCACTATCCCCGTCGTTTGTGGTGGACACTTGCATGATGACTTTACTCTTACATAAATACGTCTTTTTTGCTGGAATGTGCGTGAAGATCGAGGAAGAGAAGTGGTGGGGTTGCTGTTCTCCTTAATTCCGCAAGAATTTGCTTTAAAAAAAAAATAGAGGGATGCAGCACCGGACAGGGGGCCTCCCACACCCTATTCAGATCCGTTCCGTGCAGTCCGCAGCGGCTCATACCCCCAATAACTCCATCTGGATTGAGCATGGGAACCACGACGATGGAAAAGAGGCGCCGGATGAGAGAGGCCTCAGGAGACTCAGACAACAAAAAACACAGCAAACCTAGCAGCAAATAGCTGGCATTACTCTCGCTGGGGTGGACGCGGCATGATATGCACAAAAGCGGCTTTGAAGAGCGCATGCACTCAACGCACATAAATGAATGATTTTCTGCCGAGAAGGGCCACAAAGAGGAAGGACTTCCTGGCAGAGGCTGCTGCACGGGCGAAGCCTTGACTGAGGCATGAACGGAGCTGCGGCACGCAGAGGCGCTGCTGTTGCTGCAGAGATGGTGATTCAAACTACTGTTGCTGCAGAGATGGTGATTCAAACTACTGTTGCTGCATTTGCTAGCGCTGATGCCTGATGCAGCTACACTGGCGCTCCTTGGCGGTTGGGGACCCCCCATATGGCGTTGATGCCCTTCTGACGCCGATATTGCCTCTGCTGTTGTCGGTGCCGATACTGCCGTCGCTGCTCGGTGTCTGCAGCCTGAAGTTGAACTGGCGATATTTTGGGGTGACCCCTTGTTCCTTTCAGATTTAGAGAGCTTAGTGGCACCTTCCTCTGCACTAGCTGGGTCAAAACGAAACGCTGAAGCGTCAAACACGAAAGGGTGCACCTTCGGTGATTTGTGCTGTTGAAGAAGCGGGCTTTCCGGGGGATCCCCAATGAGGAACACGGGGCATGGAATATTTCCCGGAGTCTTACAAAGGGTTCCAACTGAGCAGTACTAAGAAGACCATATCCAAACACGCAGAGGCGGGAAATAAGAAATAGTGAGGAAGCCAGAAATGCGCAAGCAGGGGACCAGGGAACAAAGCACCAAAAAATGGACGATTGAGGATGCGGAAACAAAAACAACTGAAAGCGACGTCGGCACTGATTTTATCGCAACCAGGCTCTGAATTTCTCCCCTTCGCTTTAGTTGAAGGTCCCAAGTGTACCGCAAGGCACCTTCGTCGCCCAACGCTACCGTCCGGGCAATATTTTAATCGAATTTCCGTACGTCGTCTTGTAGGTTTGTGACAGGTTTCTGTCTATTACTGTAGGGAATCTCTTTTTCTGTGGCCTCATTCTTAGTTCACGAATTGGTATTATATTTGCATGAGCTAACTTTCGCTGGTGCCTCATGTTTACTCACTCGCTTGGCATGCGGCATTGTTTGCATAGCGGCAGTCAAATCGAGGAGATCTGAGTAAGTGTAGGGAAGGGCGCTTGCGAAGAAGATGCGGTCGCCTGTCTCCTCCGTGAACGTAAAATCAAACTCAAGAGAAAAATAGCTTCGACGCAAGTCTGTCACTGGCGAATTTACGTCGTAGGACCAGTGCAGCACTCCAGGTCGTGCTGCCGCTGCAGAAGGCGGAGGGGAAGCAGGAGCAGCGGCCTCTGCCGCGTGCCCTGGCGTTGCTAATCCAGAACACGGGTCTGCTGTTGATACTGCGTCTGCAGTAGAGATTCTCTTAGGAACAGACACAAAGGGAGCTGCAGAAGGTGGTGAGCATCCCTCGAAGATATAATTGACTGCGGCTGCGGCTCTGTTTTTGTAAAATCGAACTGGACAGTCAATTCTTCTCCAGCCCTCCCTTCTCTCCCGAAATGCCTTAGGAGAAAAGACAAGTGGAGCCCCATGCCCCTGACAGTAAAATGGATTCTCCTTGACGAGATTCAAAATTTTGAATCTGAGAAAATAAGCAATAAGGGGCTTACAAAAACCCGCTATAGGCGTTTAGGGTTATAAGAGTCCATCGAACTGACATCAGCGATATGGCAAGCTTAGCAGATGTTCCTTTCGATCTTTGATAACAATTCAATTCTGCTTGGTTTGTGACACTTTGTGCCTTTTTTTGGAAGATAACAGCTACGATGTATTCAAAGCTGTAAAAGGTTTCCATCGGAATAAGACAGGTCACTTTGCGAAGAGCCTGTCTGCCTATATTGACTGCAGTTTAGGATGTATAGCTTTCTAGCCCGAAATTTGGAATTGATCATGCACCCTACGTGACAGTGAGGGGTCTGGCTCCTTGCTTGGGCTCGGCTGTTCTCTCAGCAGAAAAAAAAAACCAAAAGGTTTTGTTGTTTTTCTTTGTGTCTGGGCGTAGGAGCAGGAGATAAATATTGGGCTCGTAGATGCCCTTTACTGCAGCCAATAGATTCCCTACAGCCAGCACATAGACTCAGAGAGTGCTTCGATAAGTTGCTCTGTGGCGTGCACATCTAGCTTTCCAGCGAAAGAGAACTACAAAGCAGAATAGTGGGTGGCGAAAAAACTAGGCCCAACTGCGAGACATGCAAGAGACCAAGACCAAAGGGCAGCTACCAAGGCAGATAGAAGTGGAATCGCGTAAAAGTCCGAGTTATTCTTGCGGGAAAATTGAAATAGCCAGCAAAAGTTTACGGATGCACAGAGAGGGCAACAGAAAAAGGCACGGACAGGGCTGTTACCACTTAGGAGGTTGTCTCACGGATGGAGAGTCATAGACACAAAGCAGCAACTCGCTTTCCTCACATGAAACAATGGAGCAAAAAACGAAGTAGTAAACAGACACACAAATCATATGCACAGGAAATCCACAGTAGAGAAATTCAGCCTAAGCAAGAATACAGGGAAAGAGTTAGAGACAAATAGGCATGGAGCACAGGGAGGGCATAAAGACAACCCGACACAGAGAGATAGACAGGGAGGGGCTCACACACACAAAATCACTCACACCCTATTTCCTTACCAGATTCAAATCGGGACTCAAATATGAGAGAGTCTAGTGGCACCACTAGCTGCACGCACACGCATGAGCCCCATGCATGCTGCTGTAATTGGTGTGCTATCGGCAATGTGCAACTGGAGAGGGCTGTACGTCTGCAGCGGCGGCAATAAGGGTCACAGCTCAGTCGCTGCTGGAAAATTTGTGTTTCCTTATCTTTGTTGAGCGTATTTGCCGTTCTCTCCCTTCCCTGTGCAGTTTACTGAGAGCGTTTATCTCCTGCAGTTAGGCGCCTTGCCTTTGTATCTGCAGGCTTCCACGCCGTCTCCACAAGCTGTTCAGCGCACGGTGGTGCAGGAAGAGGCAACTGCTGCAGCAGCTGCAGCAGCGATGAGTCTACCTCCGGGGTAGCGTGCAACAAGCTGTTCAGGGGACGCTCCCTAGTCTCGTTTTGCACCCCTTCACCTTCCTCTGCACAATACCCGTGCTTTCGGCTGTGCGATTCTCGCATTGAGCCTCGCATCTCTCCTCTCTGTGCCTTAGCGCCTGTTTTCTTAGCTGCTATACCCTTTTCTGTTTCTTGCTTCCCAACTGGTTCCATCTCTCTGCTCCGGTCAGACTCCCCGCATTGCCCTTCTAGCTGCCTCTGTACATGCTGCAGATGTTCACGCCAATTCTGCTGCACTGGCTTGCCCTCTACACTAGGGTCACTTTCCTCCCCAAGGGCTCTTGCCAGACACTGGGAAAGTGGAACTCTACAGTCCCTGTAGGGGCAGCAGCAGCAGCAACGATTCAAGCCTCTACGCCTCACTATCTCCTGTTGAGAGGAGCAACAAAAACAAACGCCTCCTTCATGTGGCTTCCCTTTCCTAGGTGCTTCTCTGCGCTGCGCTATGTCCCTCCGTGCTTCTAAGACGTTCTGTCCCCCCGTTTCTCTTTTTCCTATATCCTCTGATCTTTCTGCGTGTGCATGACTACTGCCTGGTCGCTCAGTAGCAGCTTCGCGTTTAAGAAATCCTCTGGGAGACTCTTGGGTGGCAGAGCACCGTCGGGTGTCTTTACAGTAGGGATCTGAAGCGCTGGAGGAATTTGGGGTTGCCCAGGGGCATCTGAGGCAACAGCAGCAACCCTCCCGCCGTTTCCTCACAGGCACACTGGGTACCCTTGCGGGATCAGCAGTTTCATTCTTTCTGCTGGTCTGGGGCACGCTGCTGCTGTCTGTCCACTGGTCTCTACTCATGCTGCTCGCATAGCATGGCACAGAAAAATCAGGAGCATATCTTTAGCAGCAACCCTTGAGAGCTAGCATCTGCAGAAGTTCGAATTAGTTCTTTTCTACCTACCCTGTGGCTCTCTCAGCTCCACAGCCCTCATAGTAAACCAAAATTCCTCCGAGGGCATATCGATATCCAGCACTCTCCCCCAAAATACCAGGGATTTGGGATTCCTCTTCGCTTGGCCTCCTCTCGCCACACTCCTCGTTCTTGTTCTCCGGTTGTCTAACGGACGGAGCAGACTGCCCACTCCTCCAAGCGCAGCAGTAATGAGATTCCTCTTTTTTCTCATTTTTGTTTACACCACCTCTATCATTGTCAGTAGGTTGGGGCAGAGAGTCGTGAGACGTCTCGTTGAGCCTGCATAGATAATCCTGTAATCTCCTCCTTTGGGAGTCGTCATGAAGGCCATCTAAGGACCCGCCATGCTGCCCAACCGTCTTTGATGCGGCAGGTGGGGAGCATGATATCAGGGGCGATTGGTTTGGAAGAGTCCTTGCGCTGTGCGGGCATTCTATTGTCCCTACAAACGCGGGCATGGGCAGCAACTGAAAATCAGGCGGTTATCCAGAGGGAGGAATCCACGACACTAACAATGGATTTTACCAGCCTGGCAAAGCCATTGAGTTTTAACGCTTTCCAAGGCCTCTGGCAAAGACTGGCACGGGGCATGGGGAAAAGAGAGGGCCCACTGTAGCTGGCGCAGGCGCCTCCCATGAGGGTAAAAAGCTGTTTCTTCAGCTAAGAGCAAAAGCAGAATCCTAGCCATGAAAGAGAGTATGTATTTTCAAAATTAACAGCTACAAAAAGGTAATGCGCTTGAAAAGTCACCGATACACTAGACGGTGCCGGGGACGGGGTAGATGCAGCAACAAGAGAAGCTGATAAAGAACATCTCCCCTCCCCTTTGGCTCGTTTACATGAAAATATTTAGGGCAGTGGAAGGTAAGAGGGCTGAAAACTAGTGCCACTTTCCTTTCCCCCAATCCCCCATGGGGTCACTTGGGTCTCAAGGTAATTGTAAGGGACCAACGGATAGGTCTTTCACGTTTGCTACTGGTAATGAATAACTGAAGGCATTCTAACAATTAAAATGAATATTCTTTCTCCAGAATTTTGCCATTATATCTGCTTCTGGCTTCGTTTTCCCACGCGGTCACCGTTGCTACCATGATGCTCTCCTGTGGCCATTCACTCTAGCCTCCACTTCCTCGAAAGTTTATTGTAAACCAGAGGACAAAAACTGGAGGCCGTCATTAAATAAGGTTTGATATGGAAGTAATAAGAAACGACAAGGCGATGTGACACCGTAAGAGAAGGTTTTGCTGGCTCTACCGTTTGTAACGAAACAGAGTTAAATAGTAAGCGTATACTAGACATCGAACGAGAATCTCATGGGAGAAGGTGGCTTCTTAAGAGACATACAAGTTTAAAGTATATAGAGGCACGAATCTGGATGATGTAATAACAATTTGAAGATACCGCAAGTCGATTGAGGCGCCCTAATATCTCATTAAGCACTTGTTGCCGAACGTCCTTACAGGGGCTGCAAACAGAAATACGATCATACTTCATCAAGTATACTTACTTCATTTGTTTGCAAAAGTTAAGCTGCACTCTTCCACTTGTGCGCCGTGCCCAATAAGCAAGAGCGTAGCGCGACGCTCCGACGTATCTTAGCAATTCTACCAGCCTCTCCTGCGCGTACTCAATACAAACGTGCGGGGCACAAATACTCACCAAACATGCATTCGCCACCACCGAAGGACGCTGTAAATAAACAATCTACCAACCCAAACCAGCCACGGTAAACCCTGCTGAGTACAAACTGGCTTATCAGCAGGGATTTTGCGTCCATTTCGCCTGCTATACCCCCGTTTTCTCTCACACGGTAAACATATAAAAGCAGGCGTAGGATTTCGGCCATCAGCCCAGTTGAAAGAGCATGTGGCTACGGACCACGTGAGCGTGGATTCAATGTCTCTTTGATCTTGTCTTTTACATGAATCCCGAGCACTAGGTCCTTTGATTTCATCTATCTCTCCCTGGTCCACTAGACCTGGCAACCCACTGAGCCACCTGTTTCACGATAGCGCTACCTAAATGCCAGCCCCAAATGTGTCATGACACACAGATATTCTGCTCGCTGCTTTCGTAATGTGAGACTACTCAGGGTAGTGTAGCCTTACCTTTATAATTGTCAACCTGCTGGGTCGGTGATATGCTGCCACATAGACTGAAGCCTCCAGTTTTTAGGTGTGGGTGTAGTGCACCAGCACTGTAATCACAAGTCTAGATACTTTCTTCACAGTCGCTAGTGCTCTCTAAGCCCTGATACTTAAAGAATTGAGGCCTCTAGAAGTTTATATTCTATCAAGCAGCCCCCAAACAACGTAAAAGCAGACGCATGATCGTCTATAACATGTGCAAACCACAATTACCAAGGGAAAGGAAGCTATTTCATGTTTCGTCACAATTTCATGCTATTCCCCCACAATGAGGCTTAACAAGGAAGGTAAGCTTGACTATGGTCGGGCTTGAACAGTGAGCAAATAGCAAAAACATAGTTTGAGCTCGGTGGCTTGCGCAAAACATTGTGTACAGGGATAAGCTCGGCTACAGAGCAGTTTTTGAATAATGATTCTAAGCAACACTTGCTGTCTTCTTTATCACCAAATTGTTTGTCTAACCACCGTGTGTGTGGGTGGTGCTGGGGTCTGAGCTTCGAGCGTCAGAGGGCGGCCTAATTAGCAAACTTGCGGAAACCGAGATTCAATCAACGGCGCCTTTATGAAAAATGCACATTGTTACATACATGGAACGCATTGCGTCTTGAAACCGACTTTGTGTGGGTCTTTCTGGGGCTTAAGTAGAGTGGTCATGGAGCTTGAGATCTCAACAGGCGTGCCCACAGTTCGCAGCGCGACTCCGTAGCAACAAGGAGGCTCGGCGGGGCACCAGGTCTCGTCTATAGGATTCTTTTCACGGAATGTCTATCTTCAAGCATACATTCCTGCTGATCCAGGTACTATGATAGAAAAGGAGCTACTTGCGCGAGGAGTATGAGGTTCCAGTACACCCCTGGCAAAAGCCTCAGCTCTCGCCGTCCAGGCTCCGGTAAAGCTCTAATCTACTACATTAGTAGTCTAGAAAGCAGCACACGACTGGCCGATTGACTTTTGCGTTTATATGACTTAGGAATTGCAGACTTATGTTTCCTCGATACAAGAAAACGCAATCCTGTGTGTGTATGCTCTAGTTGCTATGCATAGCTAGCTGCGACTGGTCATGGGTGCAACTATAAGCATCCTAGCCGTCCCTCTGACCTCCTCTCGAAAACGCCAGCAAGCTCGATGAATGGTGAAGCTTTCTTGATAAAGGTTCACTGCCGTCTTATTGATGTTGATGTTGGCCAGGGGCTGAGGGTTTTTATCGGCACATGTTTTGAGTGGGCATTAGAGTTGGCAGCACTGCACGATTCGAATGCAACCGTTCCTTATCAGCCACTGCCTGTAAAATGCAGTATTGGCTTAGATTCTCATGCAACAATTGTCTGGTTTCCCTCATTGCGGTAAGTCAGCAACTTTTTTTCTTTGGTAGCAGGCTGGGAAAACCCTCCGAGAAGGAAGTATACAGTGGCAAAACGCCTGTCCTTGTGACAACAGCCGGTCCTCATGCACTGGCTTCAAAATGTGTAGAGGCCTGGCGTTTGCCTAGAAAATGATCGTGGATGTGCCTACGTGGTTGTGCCAACTAGGAAAGATTGACGGGCATAAGGATGGGCTCGCACCTGAAAATTCCATCAGCGGTCAGAAATGTGCCTTGCGTACTACCCCGAAATATAGAGAACCTCGTGCTTATTAAACCTGGCTTCTTGAGGGGAAAATAATCTCGATGGTGGCTGTATTGAAGTAGACAAAATCGTTTGCATGCAAGAAATATTACAGCTCAAGCTTTTTATAGAAGCCCTGATTCATCGGATTATGCGGGTATCAGCTTAGCAGCAAGCTTTGAAGGAGTCTTATCCATCAATACACTGATATTTTCAGAACTTCTTTGTTTGAGAAAGCCACAACTTAGACGAGTGAGAACTACGGGTAAATTTAAGAAAGCTAGAACAGCTTAGCCTATCAATAAATCGACATATCACGTCCTATGAATTTTTCAATCGCGAAAGCCACGACTGAGACAAGCAGCTGGCTTCCCACTGCGATTCTACACGAAATGGTGCGTCAGGTGGTCTCAGAGTGAGCAGCAACTAGGGGCTGTAACAACTTCCTGGCGGGGCTTCAATATACGATGGAACACTTGGCGTTTCAGGAACAATTAAACGCAGTTCCTGCGCATTTGGTTTCTTTGGCAGGGCCAAGTTGGGATAGGGAAGCTATGAAGGTCGGAGCTTTGTCAGCCGGGCCCAAGCCACAGTCCAAGGAGAACAAGAAAGAAATCGGAGGGACTTGAGCTCCTAGGCAGCCACTTAGATCCATCCCACCAACACACCTGCGTCGACTAAGAGAGGTAAAGTCGTGCAATCCCGAGCTGAAAACACATTCAAAAAGCCAAAGAAACTCAGAAGAGAAAAGCAGGGTCCTACCAGCAATGTTCGTGAACTCTTTAATGATCCCCTGCATCATGCCAGAATCCTAGGTGTGCCATGGGCGACCCGAAGAAAGAGGCGCATTTGGCCACAGCTGCAAGCTGTGGAGGCCAATGCCGAGAAGCACTATAAAAAAGCAACTTCTGGTTTCCTCACTATTGCGGATATCAACTACGGGGAGCGTAACACAATTAATGCTCCAAGAACGTGAGTCAGCTTCTTCGTGCGGAGTTCAGCAGAGCAGTAAGAGAAGATGGCTCTGAAGTCGGGTCCCGTCATACAAACGCCTTAAGTCGCTCTTTCCAGCGAGCGCTGCTGAGGACTCGGTAAAGTAAGAAAAGGAATGGGCAAATCTACGGGAAGAGCTCGCGGATGTGCCAAATAATCGCAAACTTCCAACACGGTGGTCACCTGCTGGTGATCTAGCTAATCGTACCGAGGCCGTTTGCAGTCGATCCCGAGATATGTTTCGTGATATTGAAAGCCTACACGGCATGAAGAGGAGACTGAGAGGCAATAGGATGCTTTGTTGAGAACAGGCAAACTACAGAAAAGGACCAGCGCCTCTGGGTACAGCCCCGTACTGGTGACGAAAAAGACTGGAAAGTGGCACAGAGCGCGGCATTTTAGTCGTTGAACAGGTTTGCTGAGGAACCGAAGCTTTCGATGCCTCATATTGGCCAATCACCTGACAAGCCACCCTGTTCAACAGTCTACCTGATTTTCAAGTTCAAACACGCTTTCTTATGTATATACATTTACGCTAATTACATTCCCAAATTGGCGAATCAAAATCGCACTCGCGAAGTGGAGTGTACCTGTATGGCGTTTGGACATATTGGTGGCCGAGGTGAAATGCAACGCTAATTTTCTTGGGCTTTCTATGAGCCCACCTCAGACTGCGAGACTGCTTAAAGGTCGTCTTAGTCTTCAAGGAATATTTCAAGAGCACCTACAGCACCTACAACCAGCGCTTCAGCTGTTGCGGGCAAGCAGTGGTATGCGAAGGCATGCAAATTTTCATTTTCACGAAAAAAGATTCCTGGGCTTCCGCGTTTTTGATTGCAGGAGTTACGCCGGATCTGAAAAAAATCAGAATAGTAGGCCTGGTGCATACCCCTACATCTGCAACGGTATTGCGAACCCACATGAACATCCAGCTTTCACCAAAACTTGTTTAAAGTTGATTGGATTTTTGTATCTTTGGATGATATACTTATCAACGCAATCTACAATGCGGACCGAGGAGGCTGATCCCAACGCAAGAATGCTTGTCTGCCGTCGCGCAATATTATAGGCACTGGCCCTGCCCCATTATGAGCGTCGTTTCTTCGTAACAACCAACAATAGTGGTGGATCCCTGGGTCAAATATTCTCCTAACTGCGTGTGAATTTACCGAAGCTCTAAAGCTTTGCTAGGCATTATCATCGCTGCACCGGAACTGAGCAGCAGTATCCATGTCTGTAGAAGAAATTCTGTGTAGCTTTACGGGAGAAAAAGATGCCGGCACTATTTCTATTGGTGCCTTTTTGTTGTCTAGACAATAATCAAAAGATTTCGCAGGGCTGTGAGAGCCTGACATTTGTTCGCTGGCTTGTTACAGTAAAGTATCGTTAGTTGCGGACGCTCTATCGCGAAGCCCCAGCAATTCATCATTGTTCAGCGCAACCGCTCAAGCCAGTGGAAATTCACAGCTCGTATCGACATTCTCTGCGTTTCATGCCTTTGACACCCATGAATCTGCCAATATTGAGAAACACCAGAATGATAAAAGGCGAAGCACCACCACGTGGACGACGGCCTGCGGTAGATCGAAACAGTGCTGGGACTACGTGGCTTGTGCAAGCCGGATTCGCACCGCATACCGTTTTGCACGCGGTATATACGAGTGTTTGTGTCATGATGAAATTCGTGCTACAGTGAACTAGTTCTTGCGGTACTTCTAGTGCCCTGGGATGCGTTCACGGTAGACGAGGGTTGTGCCCAGCTTTGAGAAGCTGAAGCCGCTCAATTGTCTGGAACCTAGCTTTTTGCAAGAGGTTTCCAGCTCCTGGAGGTGTTTCGACTAAACTGGCTATGGTCGTGTCTGTTGAGCTGCCAGAGGCCCAGAATCAAGAGAGCATCTACATGGTTTGCAATGCCCATCTCACCCCTTACCCCTGTTCTCCAATGGTTCAGGAAGGAGATCAATTGTTCTTAACTTATATCTGGAGGCATCACGAACTCCCGAGGAATATTACTAAGGATAGACAACCGAAACTTGTTAGTGCGTTCCGTCTTCCCTGTATGGCCCGCTTACACCTTGACATTACTATGAGCACTGCCAACCACCCAATAGCAGGTGGACAGACAGAGCGCACCAAACACATTCTGCAATACTTGCGAATCTACTGTCACTAGCACCCCGCTGCATAGTTTGAGTTTGTTCCGGTTTCTAAGTGAGTTTATATCACGACAGTACACTGATGTACCCGCAGCAAAAGATCTGGGCTTGCATTGGCGTCCGGTGTGTAAAGGCACTCTTAGTAGCAAAAGCTTTCGACGGACAGCTGGCTAGTGCACGCAGCTACATTGACAAAGTCCAAGAGAGACAGGCACGGGATTATTGTAAGCCGTGGTCGTGTGCGTGTTTCGAACCTGGGGAGTTGGATCTAGTGGATTTGTAGATTGTTCGCAGTGGACAGTATGCGTGCCTTTCTTCTAGTCTATTTCTCTATGGCGGTTGATGCATGCAGGGGTTTTTCATTTTGTACAGCCTTAGCTTTTATGCCTGCCTGGAGGCTGGCAGTAGGGGGAGAACTCTTACACTGTCCTGCGTGCACCTGATCAAGACGGACAACAGCTACGGAACACGAAGGCAAGTGTTTTGATACGAGGGGAATATGTAGCGGGCTGAGCTAGAACTAAGCACTTTCTACCATATTGGGTTTAGTCAACTAAGCATTTTAAAGAATTGACTAGCTAGCTTGTTGGGTTGTCTATCTGTTGCAGGATACTGCTACCTCGATACGAGGAGCCGCAATCCTGGGTGAGCTTGTGCTAGTTTCAGAGTGTAACTAGCTCCGAATGAAAGGTCCCGCCTTTGGAATGCTTGATAAATGTTCAATTGTCCTTGTAGGTGTGTTGGGTACTTGGTAGGATAGTAAAGAGATGGTGGGTTGTGTTCTAACGGCCCGCTTTTTGAAGGAAAAGCATAGACCAAGCACGCCTTCAGCTCTCTCCTGTATGATTAGGGCTGTATAAGCATACCTTTTGATGCTTGACGATTGTAGTATCATGCTCCACATTGCGTCATTTGGTCACCTAAGGGGCCTCTCAGATTGCCACCTTGGGGGCCATACAAGTGGCAGGAGACCCTGGGGAAACGGCAGTGGCAATGAGAACTTGCTAAAAGAGCCAGTTACTCATGTTTTATATATGCGGATAAAATTGAAGGTTAGGATAAACCCTAAATCTGTATCATCGAATTTGAATCCTATGGTTTCAGTAGTCCCTGTACACTCAAGGGCTCGGCAGGCTGCTAAGGCCCATGCATGATCGGATAATGAGTTCAAATAATTAGAAACATATAGCTTTTGCACAAAGGTTGCATTGCTTGGAATTAATTAGTGGATTCCTGCTGAAGCAAACAAATATGGTCAGCAGAATACGTATCTGCAGCAGCCTTGTTTATTCACCCCTTGCGGCGGTCAGTGGCGGTTATGTTGCAGCAAAGTGAACCACATGGGCCGATCAACATGATACCCTGAGCTTTAATCCCCCCGGTCATATTCTTTGATAATTTAAAGTGAATTATTTTATTTTAAAGGTGATTCCAGGCGGCAGAAGACCCAGAAGTAGCCCTCCATCAGGGCCTCTGCCGACCGGTCTGGTTCTTGTTCGGCTGCATGTTGACTTTTGTCTCGTGTACGCTTTCCTGCTGTGTATTCGGCGTTTTAACGTGCATGTAGCCTTAGTCCCCACGGTTAGCCCTGATTGTCTCCAGGAGATGCAGACAGAGCAGCAGACACTCGTGGCTCTGGGGGCCCTCCCTGAACCGCAGCTCTTGCAAACACTAAAGGGCCTGCGAACTACAAAACAAGGTAGGGGCCTCCCTCTCTTTCATCACTTCATGTGACAATCCGTAAGAGCTCAAGAGCAGCGCGCAGCACTAAATCCCGAACAGACACCACACCCCTGATCAATCTTCTGCCTTCTTCTCCCCCGATGGTTGTCCTGAAAAGCAGGAATAAGCCCACAATTCTGCTCAGCACCTCCACAAAGTACCCACGCTTTGTGGACCCCCAGTGGTGTCACACGCATGCCAGATGGGCCCTGCTACTGCCGACCTATTTGGTAGTTTTGGCAACAAGGAAAATACAATCCCTTTGTCCTCATCTGCTGCGAGGAACAGGGCACACGTATTGCACTGCTATTCCTGCACTAAAAGCACATTTTCTGTTTTTTCAAGTGTATCTTTTTGCTACCGACGATTCCTCAAGGGTTTTTGCTGCTCTCACTGAAGCTGCTGCTGGCCTGTTTTCATCCTGCTCTGTTTAATGCTTTGAGTTGCTCAGGGCTGCAGCAGCTGCTAAGAGATCTGACAGAGGAAAGGGAGACCCTGTGCAGACAGAGAAAAGAGCTTAGGCAAGAAGAGAGAGAGATGCAGGAGCAACTAGAGTATGTGCCGAAATTCAGCTTCAGCAGACCAAACTATAGGGTTTACGGTTGAAAATTGCCTGACAGGTGTGCTGTGATTGTCTAATAGGCATGCGGGCAAGGGCCTTAGTCTCTTCCAGACTGTTTTACTCGAGTGAGCAATGACTAGACACTGAATACGATCCGGCGAACAGAGCGGCACGAAGTATACAATGCCAAGCAAAGACACGCAGAGCCTTTCAGAAGGCCTAGAATATGTGGGAGCCTGATGATCTTAATTATAATTCTTAAATCTTTTCTTAAGTTGGTTTTGCACTGAGGTGTTTCCTCAGCTTGGGAGTCTCTGGCCTCCAAGGTCTTTTACCGCAGCAAAACGGCAAGGGGGAATCCACCACACAGACTTCTGCTCCCTCGGCATCACCGTCTTCACAGTGTCTCGCCGCTGTGCCGCTTGAAGCAGTAACACCACACACATGTATCCTTTCCTTGGCCTTCCCTTGGCCAGTCTTTGACCTTGTGGGGTTCCTTTGAGACAAAGAGAATGAATAGGCACCTGGTTGATATTTGCTAGAATCCCAGTGCAAGGCATACCGCGCCTTTTCTAATCGAGACTCGCTCTTGCATGTGCTATCTCCCGCATTAGAGCATTTGTGCTTTCTCCCTGCAGGCTCCCGAGCAGGCGGGGGGAAGCACTCCCCGCTTGGCTCGTTCCCTCCTACAAGCGGCTCAGGGGCTTAAAGCTCCTGCGAAAGAAGGTCTTCAACTCCTCAGCAAGCCCCTCTCCTGGCTGAGGGAAGGGGGCCTTGCCTCAGAGCCCGCAGAAGCTAAAGAACTTTCAGATAAGACTTCCCACCAAGAAGTGTCACTCCTCCAACAAGCGGCGGAAGTGCACGAGCCGACCGCCATTTTGGGGGACGTTCCCTTTAAAACTGGCAAGGAGGAACCGTACATGTGTAGAGAATTCTCTCATACCCCCGCATGCAGACAGTCTGAGGGGCGCCTATCCTTGGAAGGCCTAGATCTAGAGGCCTTGACACGACGGCCTTCTAAGATTCAGGCGGGGAGCAGGCCTCCTAAGGATTCAGCACCGTCTCTAGAGACTCCCCACGCGGTTTCAGCGGCAGAAGAAGATATCAGGAAAGGCTGCTCCGGCAGTAAGACTCAAAACAGCATCAGTATCAGCAGGAAGCAGCAAGAGTGGAATTGCAGAAGCCGTCTCTTGGCGCTGCAGATTAGTGAGGCCTTGGGCCTAGAGGGGCCCTCCGGGGCATTTGCTGCAGCTGCAGCATCAGCTGCAGCATCTGCTGGAGCTCATGATGCGTTAGATAGTGCTGAAGATGATTCCGAAGACGAGGAAGCAGGAAAAATGTGCAATGGCGTTCAGCGTGATGCTGGTGCCGCCACTCCTGGAGCACCAACACAGCAGACACCAGAAATATCGCCCACACGAGATACTCATGGGGCTCTTCCCGCTTCTGAGGCTGCTGTAATCAAACAGGAAGAGTCTTCCTGCGCTCTCCCTTACTCTCAGCAACAGCAACAGCAAGAACAATCGCAGGAGCGACAGCATTTTGTTCCTGCAGATCCTGTGCATGAAGCAAAAGCTGCTAGTGCAGCAAAACCGGGCCCTTCCGCTGTAACCGCCATAGCACTAGGTGACGTTAGGACTAGCTGCTCTCCTCAAAAAACGCAGCATGTAGACCAATACGGGCCTACTGTGTCGGTCTCATCGCCACATGCAGGGCCCCCTGATGCAGCACAGCACGATCTGCGGCACCCCAAAATAGCAGTCACACCGTTGATATGTGAGCTGGGGGAGTCCCAAACTCTCGAGAAAACGCCAGAGAGGGCTGCCCACTCAGGCGAAATGCCTTGTGTAGATATGGCCGGCAGAAGTAACGACCGCAGCCCTACCTGCAGCAGCACAAGCAGCAGCAACAATAGAAGCAGCAGCACTGGCAGCAGGCGTACTGCAGCAGAGCCCCTTACACTCGAAGCATCAGGATTCAGCAGCAGCAGAATCAGCAGCACCAGCAACAACAGTAGCGATAGCAGCAGGAGCAGCAGCAGCAAACGGTCCGATATTGCGGGGCCGAACAGGCGGCAAGGAGCCCAAGCCAGTGGTAGCAGGGACGGCGGCACGAGCACCAGCAAACGAGAACCTGCTGCTGCGCTCTTGGCAGAGCAGGGTCAGGTAGCAGTGGACACATTCCGTTCGCGAAGGCTCCCTGGAGGGGGGCCCTCTGTTGATGGGGGCTTGAAAGGCCACTGCGGGAAAGAGGGCGTGGCACCAAAGACTCTGTGGGGTGTCCAGACGACCCAACCTCAGGCGAGCCGCAGTACATCCCGAGCACCAGCACCAAAAACATTGGAACCAGCTCAGACTGCTGCTGCGGCGGGGCCCTTTGAAGGGGCCCACGCAGAGAACAGTGAAGCCCCGAGCTTAGATGCTGAGGTAGGCCTTTCAGAGTCGGGGGCCCTCCAAGTCAAGTGGAACGTGCGGGGGGCCCCCACAGGGCTTCTAGAGCTACAGGCGTGTGTACTTGACTGCAGCAGAGGCACTCAGCATCAGGAGCTACTGCATTCCACACGGAGCCCACTTGTGCTTCCTGCGCTCCCCAGCAGCGGAGAGTATCACATCACCCTCCTAGTCCGACAGCAGCAGCAGCAACAGCAGAAGCCCCTATGTGGGCTATCTGTACAGCTGTGCCTCGACGGCGGGAAAATCAAGAGCAAACGAATCCGGGCTCTCGCGGTCCAGAGGCTGTCCATTATGGGGCCTCCCATCACCCCAGTAGGGGCCCTCACCCCCCGGGGGCCCCCCTCTCCTGCTGGAACAAGGGCCTCCACTAACAGTCCTGAGTACGTGTCCAGGGTCTCTCAGCGGGAGGGCCCCGACGCATTGGACGGTGCACTGAGCATCTCGGAGTTGCAGGAGGAGCAGCAGCCATCTCATGCCTCCGACCATCCTGACAAGGGGCCCATGGAGCAGCAGCTCGCTGCCAAGGGGGCGGCCACTGAAAGTTCGCCCTCACTATCGAAGTGTCGAGCATTCTTGTATGACAGTCACACGGCAAAGTCTGCAGCGAAAGCAACAACCCCACCAACCCTGCCGCATCCAGCAGCACAAGCTGGGCAGGCAGCCCACGCTGTCAATGCAGCGCCTGGCTTCCCGTTTAAAGCAGCCGACCCGAGCTGTAGTGCAGCACGTGAGTTTCCCACAACGCCCCAGTCTGTTGCAGGGGCGACATCGGGGAGAGCACCCTCGGCGTCTCCTCATCCAGCAGCAGCAGCAAAAGCTGCAGTTCTGTTAAGAGGCCCAATTACATCCGAGGCTTCCCCAATACTGTCTACGACCATGGGGGCTCACCCTGTTTTTCGGGCAAATCCTTTTCTTCAAGGAATGCCTCAGAGGTCCCTCAGCCTTCAGTCTTTAACGGCTCACTCTATGCCACAGACGAGCACCAAGCGATCTGAAAGTCCAGAAGCGCCAGCCCGCGAGATCGCCTTCCTTCCTCCACCTGCAGCAGTTGCAGCGCAGGGAGACTCCGGGCACATGAGACAGGTCGCCTGGGGGCCCCCCAAGGCTCTCTTCACCCCCAGGCACCTCGCGGGATACGCTTCACAAGGTGCCACTGCATTAAACGCTCCCGGGCAGCGGGAACGCCAGATGAAGAGAGGACCCCTAGGAGGAGTCCCTCCATCGTACAGTCTTGGAAGCCAACTGGGGTACCGCCACGCAGGAGTAGCAACAAGCGCATGCATAGGAACCTCTCAGTGGAGCCCTCCATCTTGGGCGCCTTTAGGGGCTCCGCAAGGGGCTCAAAACGGTCTAGGACGCCTAACAGAAACACCAGCAATAGCAGCAACACCTGCAGGCCCTCCCTCCACAATCACACCGCTTGAGCTGACGAATACAGCTGGGCCCCTTCCACGCGGATTACTGCCTCGTACAACACCAGAGCACACCGGCTATCCTCAGCAGCTAACTTCCCATGGATCTTTGAGCTATGGGGGCGGCTGCGGTGCAAACACTCAACTGTACATGCACCCCAGGAGTGGCATGCATGCAGATCGCGTGGCCTCGCATACCGCAGTACCACGGTCTGGGGGGGACCCTCTAGGAGCGTTTCGAACGGGAGAACAGACGCTTGGTGCTCAACCACTTCCGCGGGCGGCTCCCACACTACCTCACACCCTCGGCCACGGCAGTCGGGGGCGCAGTATAACACCCACATACAAGCCAACCCCGTTCTTCAGAGAAGCCCTCAGCAATAACAACACTCTTAGAGGCCTTCAAGGAGAGCCTCACGAGGGGGTCCACGGGACTACCCCACGAACCTCCGTGAGGCCGCAGCAGACCCAATCAATGACTCCACGGAGAGAAGCTCTCGCACTAGGTGCACCTGAAGGGAGTTTGCGGCCTCTTGGAGGCACGTCCCTCATTTACACATGCGGATACCCAGTGGGCGCCCCGGCGATGAGGAGAAGCGTCAGCCTCTCGAGGTCGCTTGGGCCGTCCTCTGGAATGTCATGGGCGGTTCCTCAGGTGCATGTACACCCCGCAAGAATTGGCGCTCGCAACAGCCTAGTTGGAACGGTCGCTCCCGTGAACCTTTGTGGCCCCCTTGGAGATCCTCCAACTGCCCCTCAACACCAACGGGCAGTGCCGCAGCACCAACTACACCAGTGGCAGCAGCAACAGCAACAGCAGCAACAACAGCAGCAGCAGCTCTTGCTGCTGCATGAGTGGCACAGGCAGCAACTAGATCAGAAGCAAAAGCTGATGCTGCAGCATCAACTGCACCAACAGCTGCAACGGGGCAGCTCACCCAGAGGGGCAACTCTGCGCCTCGTACACGCAGCCCCTACTGGACACGGCCACCACACACCCCTGTGCAACAACGCACCCAAAGGAGGAAGAGAAAAACAAACTATGCAGCCTACTCCAGAGCAGATGAAGACGCAAGAACAGCTGCATCCGCAGCAAAAACCGCAGTCTACTCCACTACGGCATGTTAGGGGCCAAGATCCACCTCCACATGAAGAAAAGCTCACGCAATGGGTCTTCCTCTCTCAAGAAGAAAAGCAGGCCAGAGGCCCAGCTAGAGCCCTTCTAACGACCCCGTAGCTTCTCTCAACCCCACCCCTGATGCTGTGTAGAATAGCCCGTAACGTTTCATTGAAAAAAGGCGCCACCTCTGGACTGTCGGGCAGCCCACTTTTACCCCCACTAGCTCTAAATACAGTTTGATGCATATTGTTAAAGCCGGGCAAACGTGGCCCGAATAGGAGTGCCCTTGGGTTTGCAGCACTGCAAAACCCGCATTGACGAGCATACACACCGAAAGGCCTGCCGAATTTTAGCAGACTATGCCGTGTGTACCAACAACTTCGGAGACGGAAGTGGTAGGTAACGAAGAAACCAACGTTCTCTGAAGACACCAACCAGATAGGCTTAAGGTCTAATAGAGCATCACTGTAGATGCTCTCCAGTTTGTACATTTAGTCACCTCATTCAAACGTTGGACTTCAGACATATGAATGCCCAGGCAGTCTGCGTGTGTCGGCCGGCCAGATGTCATGCTGGAAGAATCGGTAGCAGATATTCTGTTTTCTTTTCCTTTTCAATGTACATCCTCACGATAACGCCCTCCGGACGATCCCAAACCTCCTTAGACTCCTCGATCTCCTCCTCTGTGGCATCTCCACAGGGCCCCTGATGTGGTTCGAAACCTTTGCCGATTCCCAACTCCTCTAGAGTCCACATCCTCGTAGAAATTTGATCTGTGTTTCCAAGGTAGCATGTCTCGGGAATCCGCAAAAGAAAGATATCTTGCTTGGGGAAGGGCTTCTACGTATCGTTGGAACCCGTCAGGAACTGCATGCTTTCACGCCTTGGGGTTAGAAAGCCCCCTTTGGGCTCGACAAGAATTGTTTGTGTTTACGTTTACTTTGATAGAGGCTTCTTGGGATTGTTGCAGGAGCACATGCCAAATGCACTTGTCCCCTGTCTTCGTAACACCGATGGGTCGACGTGCCTGGGCTTCTTGCTCTTTGCTGCTTCCCATTGATGCCTCCCCGGTGGGTCTGTTCATTATGAGCCCGCTGCGAATCGGATGCACGAAATAATCGACCTGGGACATGAAGGTAGCAGAAGGGGGTGGCGGTATTTGTCGTCCTGCTGGCTGTTCCCACCCACGGGCAGGTGCGAAGCGTAGCGCCACGCTTATTTTCTCCTTTGTTTTGTCATCCCCTTGTTGATGTTCCCTCAAGCCAATCAACTCAAGGTCTTTCTCAATCTACGAAGGGGCTGGAGCATAGCAGACCGCCCTGGGGAGGTCTAGGGTCTCCTGCACTTGTATTGGTTTCCCCATAAGGGCAGAGAGAGGAGAGCGAGAGACAGAGGCCCTCCTGGCGTACGATATGACTACTTGTTGCTCCACGATACTGACCGAGGCATTAAAGGAAGAGCGAATAATGCCAGAGTAGAGATCGGTGGGATCTTTTGCGTGATACACATCCAATGCTAGAATACATGATTGTATTTCCCATTCGGCGTACGAAGGAGAAAGGAGGCGATAACTTTTCCCCTGTACTAGCCGACTTCTATAAAGTCCGAATACAGCTGTAGACACTACAAAAATTGCCCCAAAAAGCACTAACAACCCAAGGCTCCGTGACTCGCCCGTGGATAAAGCACTTTCCATGGGCAATTCACTGTTCCAATCTTGTTTGGTCGGTTCCCAGGTCTTGCTCCCCTCAGTAAGACTATGGCATATGTTCCGATGCAATGAAAACGCTGAATCAAGCGAATTTCCGTCATCTGTGATTGACTTTTGGCTGCGCCACATTTCGAACAGCTCAGGCGCTATCACATACAACAGCCTTAATGAATTTGATTCTCTCTGGAAGTCTTTAGAAGCTTGCATGGCCCTGAACACCGGTACTAGCGATGTGAAATCTCTCCAACGGCGCCTGTGGGGCAGCAATTCCATCGATGAGGTGGGGTTTCGAAACACCCCAACGTGCTCATCACTTGTAGCAGCATCGAATAAGTTATGCACGCCCGTGATATTCTCACGCGGAAAAAGGCTTTCAATGAGACTATACTTTAGCGTCCAGAGAGGACGTTCGATCTGCACCAAATAATTTTTCTCCTGGGTGTTTTGGAGACTTTTACCATTGAAACGGATTCGCTTCGCTTGATCAGAATGGGTCTTCAAGCTTATCGCATCAAAATCATTTACACAATCGATTGATGCTACATTAGTGGTGGTGAAGCGATTTAGGGTGTACGGATGAGCACCAATATGCTTGGTGAGAGAGGATGACGGCAATTCTTCAGCAAAAGGAGTTTTATGGGGTTTTAGTTTTATCATCCTTGGAGGAGAATAATCATGCTGACGGCGCCTTATAAGTGCATAAAAGGATCAGGTTTCTCTGTATCTTGGAAAAACATCTTATTGGGCCCATTCCATTCATCATTATCGGAGGTGGAGGCTGGACTTAATCCATCTACTTCCGGTCTGTGCGCCCTCGGAGGAGTTCGAAACCTGCTGTCCTTTGTTGCTGCGAAACTTTTACCCTTAGAAAAAATTTAACTCCATTTAAACGAGGATGAAAGCGTGAGGTCAGAGGCATTCACGAATGAACCGGAGTGCCTGCTGAAGGTGCAGTCTGAGTCATCGTGAGTAGCACCCTTCATGATTATATGGTTCTCTTGTTCCAGGTATTTGAAACGCTGTCCGAGGTATGCAGCACCTGAGAGATACGTTCACTGTAAATACGTAATGAGGACGATCTGGAAAAGTATATAGAGCAGTGTATGTAAGGGACAATCACCATAAGACACTCTCTACGGAACCCGAGAAGCGTCGTAGGGTTCATGTTAAAGCCTCGCTCGAAAAAACAGGAAACTAGTTTAAATGCCAACATGTTGAAACTACTTGAAAGATCTAGTAGCACGAGAGGCGATAAATGGCTAAGTGTTTAGGGTTATTTGCAGATTGCTGTAGAAACTACATCCGCAAGGTAAGTCTGCACCAAAATTTGCGGCCCTTAAGACTCTGTCTGCGATATTTTGGAGCATTTGGGGGGCGACTGACCATCAGGTGGAACCTTTACGTCTCCAAATGACAAGACACATTCGACAATGGGGTCTTGCGAAACAGTATATCGCACCACGTGCGCAAGGAAGTAGGCGAGGAAGGCGGTGAGGATAATGAGTAAGGCATAGCTAAAGCGATTGTTGGTGGAGTTTCTAGATATATTGTTAGTACGGGGGACAATGACGAGCTCGGAATGTGGATGGCTCTCTTCAATTAACGTTTCCGTGTCTATGTCTTCTCCCTCGTGCGATGTCTCTTCTCGGGCTCGTTGCAGTTCCCTTCTTACAATTTTGATAAATCGCTCCTCCACATCAAGACTTGAGTCACTGGTTTCTGCATCTGGAATAGGCAGGGCGACAAAAGGGTGCTCTAATGTGAAGGCAGAGCTCTCTGGCGACGGGTTCGTCGCATTCGCTGATCCCAACGAGTTCGTGCTGCCGGTAGCTGCAATGAAGTGGGGTGTCCCTCCACCCCAAATAGAGAGGAAGATAGTCCCAGAATATAGCTGCTTACAGTAGTTCATGGTATGCTCAAGAAGATTCAGGCGACTGTGTTTCTAACGCGATGAGGCATGCACGCTGAGTGGACGCAGCCATCGACAACGCCGGAGAGAAAACTTGAAGGCTACAAGGAACACAGCGAAAGTTGGGAAAAGACATGAAAGAGTTAATATGCAGAACCTCCATGCAAACACACCAAAACTACTGCATATAGGCTTGAAGTAAGCGTTTTCCTCGGCGATTTCTGCGACGCCACGATTGCCGTAAGTGATGTTGGATGTGTGAGTGTGCTAAGCTGGCAGGCGAAGGGGCATGGGTAAGAAATCAAAAGTAATTCTAAAGCACATAAAAGCCGTAAAGCAATGGATTAGGTGTATAACTACATTTCTGGGCGGGATGCTCATGAACTGCGAGGAAGCGAATGAATATCCATAGTGGTCTCATAGAGATGTGCACTGGTTCTAGAAGATATTGCCCCTCAAGATGTAGACCCCACCGGATCAAGCGGCAGCGCTAGCGAAACTCTTGGTCAAAATAGGCATTGAGCTTGAGTTGCTACGAAGGACATTAGAGGCTAAGGACAGCTAAAGGCAAGAGGAAAGATCGCCTCCAATGGATCCCGTGACCTCGCTGACTTGTCGAATCGCGTAGGAGGGTATTTTCATCCACTGCTTTTTGCGAGCTTCCCTCTGAAGCCCTTAGCAATCCCGGTCGCTCTCAGGTACTGAGATCCATTTGGGACAAACAATAGGAAAGCATACTCCTTGATTGTTCTACAATCGCCACGCACTCGTGTAAATTCGAGCAAATCGTAGAGAAGTCAACTGAGCCTCCTCAACAAAATGCTTTCTAGCAAGCCTTTATCCAATTTTCCAGCGCTTAAATTTGCCTTCTCCATTGTGCACGATTTCCCTAGTCCAATTTATATCCCGTAATCTATAGGTGGCAGTCAACAGCCCCCACAGTGACAGCTGGAGTAATATCAGGATCGCATTTTTCGGGTCATGCTATGCATGGAGTGATTTAGCACCGGTAACTCACGAGAATGTCGCAGTGATTATTCTATAGGAAAACAATTGACGCCCTGCCATGTCTGAACCACCGTCCCCTGCCGCGTGGTTCCAGGTTAATGTACAACTAGAAGCAGTGCGGTTACCGTGTGTTAGACATAGAAATTGCAGGTGCATCTTCTGTATGCACGCCTCCTTACTCCTCTTGGGCTCGCAGTCTTATAATGTTCTTCGGTTCTATGACCTAAAACAGTGTGCCGCGTAAGGACGTGTTCGGAGTCGCTCAGCACTTTCTACCCCCTAAGACGCCTCACGAGGTTTCGTGCATGTACGGCCTAAAGTCTAAGGTTATAGTCTACAGTTTTCGGCTGAAGCGTTTGTTCTTAGCCCTGCTCGGACACTGGCGCGGCGCAAACATAATTGCTACAAGGATGCGAGTCTTGTGTGTGTAAAAAAACAGGCAGAATGGGGTGTAACCAGTCCGCAGATGCTGCAGCCGATCGTGTTCGGGGTCTGCATACACCTCAACGCATATGCCGAGATCCCATGAGGCTGCGGAGGGAAAAAGTTCCAGTAAATCCCTCCCCCGGCCCGATAGGTCTCGACATTCCAATTCGAACTGGTGTGGTCGTTTCTGGCGCTGTTGGTGCTGGTGCTGCTGCTACCGTTGGCGTTGATGCTGCTCTTACATCCGCCATTTGGTTTTTCCTTAGTGACAACCCTTCAAGCGTACGGTCCACGCCTTGTATTTGAGGCTGCTCGAAGAGACACGCTGTTTCCTGTGTACGCGAATGTATGGTCCTGGCTTCCCGGGCGGCATCCTGGGGGGTGTCAGCCTCTAGGGGCCTCTCTTGGGGAGCCACCGGCAGAGATTCCTCTAAAGGGCCTTCAGCAAGCGTCCCTTCTGGGGGAGTCGTTGCCTTAAGACTTGAAGGAGAGTCATTCAAAAGGGAACTTAGAGAAAATCTAAAATCCTCTTGAGAGTGTGGATATGAAGCGGTGAAAAGAGAACAATCCGAGAGACGGCACTCAAGAGAACTGCGGCGAGGCGCCCTTACGGAGCCTCCAAACCCTCCCCTACCTCTGCTGCGTTGAGCGCCATTGACTTCGTTCTCCACCTCATCCACTGGAATTCGCTCAGCATGTAACTGGAACTGCAAGACAGACAACCATCGCCCTTAGCAGCCCTCAAAATCCTGAAATCTCGAGGTGACAAAGATACTCATCAGTTAGGGGATTTTTGTGTCCGTGGTACGACACTACCCACAAACAGGCGAAAGACTTGCAATTCCTGTGCATTCAATTCCTAAACCATCTATGCGGAGACCCCTCCGCGTGTGTCTTACCTTTTGCAGTCTGCTCAGGACTGTTTTTTCATCCGTCTCGGGCATAACACAACGATGGAAGAGTGCTGCTGAGCCTAACTGTACGAACGCCCCAAACATCAAACCGTCGACAAAAAGCCCTAAAACTCATTGAGAAGGAGGTAGATAGGTCGCAAAAAAGTAGTGAACCTGAAAATGAAGAAGATCCGGAAATTACAAAGGGACGCGAAAGGATGTGGCAACATAAATATCAGCGGAAGACCACCAATTCTACCAGCTGGCGCTTCTTTTGTTCCAGAACCTCCAACAACCTCAGTGCCTGATTGGCCCGCAATACCATCTGCACCCTCGCAAAAGCAACACAAGCCTAGATATAAGCCATTCATTCTTAGTCCCTCAGCGAATAACAAAGCACGTAAACGTCTTATCGAGGAAGTTTCGCACTGAATTGCAACAGGGAACTTTTGAACGTCGCACTGCCAGCCTAGAAATCTGAAATTCCCCACTCTCTCCCCTCATAAAACTGACTTGGGACTCTATTTTTCTTAGCTGCTTTCTGTGGGTAGCCAAGGCGGACTGGCTGACGATGCTGAGCTGTCCGGTGGCTTCTGCCGCAGCGATACAGTCGGCCTGCAACAGCGAGATGACAAATTAGCCACAAGCTCTGAAGCCTACATCAACAGCCTTTATTAATAATACCGAATGCCAGATCAGACGCAAAAGATGGTAGAAAACTAAATGGAAAGCCATGTCCCACTCCCCGACTGCGCACCTGCAGCTGCTGCACCGTCCTGGGTGCCACCCGAATTTCTGCTTCTTCCTGACGACCTTCACCTGATTGCGAAAACAGACGAACACGCCGGTGATATTGCATGCATATGAAGTATTCTAGGACAGTACGTTTTGCTTCAGATCTATATCCCTTCCTTCCTCAAAAGTTCACACACACACACACACACACACACACACACACACACACACACACACACACACACACACACACACACACACACACACTCACACTCAGGCGACCTACTTTGGGGAACCACGACATTCTTTTCAGAGGAATCAGCATCTGCCGAGAGCGAGCGGAGCATCTTCTCGGCGGCCGCAAGATCACGCAGTCGCCTGCAGCAAAATTACAGAGGCAGGAAACCGTAAGCCACTCAGTTCGCTGCATCACAGATCCTGGCTTGAGTCTCTCGGTCCCTCTGCCGCAGTCCACGGGGCGCTTGCGCAGTGCCTTCTCCTCAGAATAGGCGTAGAAGGCGAAGCCGTAAGGAATCAGAGAGAGGCAAAAGAACGGGCGAGTAGGAAGCAACGGAGGCAGGAGTCGGGCATGCATGCTCACGCGCAAGTTGCTCCATGAAGGGCACGCCAGTGCAGGCACCATCGCTCGGTTCGGCGCTGAGAGCAGAAGGGAAGGATCGCGCATGGATGCAAGCCGTTTAACGGTGCGCAGACGCAAGGAGAAAAGCCGAGGCAATCCAATAAAGAAGAACAGGGTGATGCCCAGGCAGCTGCGAGCAGCGGCAGCTCTGAGGCCTGTGGCCGCCTTGGAGTCCACACGCGGTGAGCTACACAGAAAGCGGTGGTAAAACATGCGTCCTACTCGCGCACAGGTGTGCGTTGGAATGGCGCGCGTGTGTGCAAAAAGCAAATAGAACAAGGGCATGGGGCTGCCCTGGAAGCAAGGAGGGCAGATCGGCGGTTCTCGGAGGCTCACGCAGAACCGGAGAGGGCTCAAAGGTGTCAGAAAGACGGCAGATAATACACAGGGATGCACACGTTATACCGTCTGGCAAGCTTACACTGAGGAAGGCTGTGAGGGCAGCGCCTTTCGACTCCTGAGCAAGGCGTTCGTTCCGTTGCCTCTCTGTATTCTCTAGACGAGTTCTTTGCGTATCCTCGAAGGCCATTCGGAGCGAACGGCTGCGTTTCTGCAGCTGCTCGAGAGCCAGGCCTGCTGCGACTTCAGCTGCATGATTTGTACGCACATCCGGGAAGGCAGGCAACGACGCCTACAAACAATGCGCCTCCATAGCTCAAGGTCCCAGCCATCCCTCTGCTTCTCCCCACCTGCTAGCCTTCCCGCCTTTCTGCGCGTTTCGAGCAGCAGCATGCCTACAGGAGCAACAGCAACTGCAATTCGACCTCGTGAAACCCACCGATCGCCCCCAGAGCGTCTGCCTTTGCAGGGGAGATCTGGTGGCTGTTCCGCTTCTCTAGGAGGGACAGGCGCCAGGCGTCGAGTGTAGCAGCAAGCACCTGGGTAGGAGGGGTGCATGCACACACGAACACACAAAGCCAGAAAGGGACTTGGTGAGGAAGGTGGAGTGAGACAGCCTGGGAAGCCAAGGCTGCAGCAGTAGGCAGCGCGGCAAAGGCAGAACGCAGGAGGGGGCTTGCTCAGTCTGACCTGGCCAAGGAAGTCTGCCGCTGCCGTTACAGCCTCCCCGGCAGTAGCTATTGTGCTTTCTCTCTCTCCTGCTGCAGTGGGAGCAAAGGACGCTTTCCTCAGGGCAGCAGCAGCTGCTGCTGCTGCTGAACCCGCAGCAGCAGCAGCTCGACTTGCCGGGGTGACTCGTACAATGGCAAGAGCAGACGCAGCAGCGTCTATCTCTACGGGAGGTCCATAAGGGCCGCCTGAGCTCTCGAGTTCGTTAAGTGGGCCTACTAGGGCAGCCACACCTGAGGCGAGAGGATGCGGGAAAGAAGCGAGCCGATTGTCGTAGGGGTTCGCCACAGACGCAAGCGGCGACTAGGGAGGGGGAAGCCGCACACTTAGCAACACATACAGGCATTCGAAGGGGGTGACTGCTGCTGGAGTGAGACGGACGCCAAGCCACTCGCAGGAAGGGCTTCAAGGAGAGGGGCAGACGGGAGGATGCAGAGATAGACAGACAGCTTGGCAGAGCCCGTGAGGAGCAGCCATGGGGGCAGCGAGAAGTCGCCCGAAGTAAAGGGATTATGGCGTATATATAGGCGGATCGGCAAGGAAGGAAAGTGGTTCCTCTCACTTCGTCTTAGGCTTTCCGGAGTATGCTGAGGGGTTGGGGGGGGAGGGACGCCTACTGGTGCCTTGGGGTCCTTGTTCACCGCACAAGTTCGATTTGCAATATCTGCTGCTTGGGGGGTTTTCTCGCTTGGAGAGCTCCCTCCTTCTGCCCATGGTAGCCGCAGCACAATCCTGCCTCCTTTCTTGAGCGCCTCCAGAGTATCTTTGGCCGCTGCTGAAGCAACAGCAAGAAGGGCTTGGCGGGGGGGACCGTGCCGTTCCAAAGGGATCGTCTGGAAGTCTGCAGGAGGGGTTCTCGCCGCGGGGAATGCAGCGTCAAGAAACACCCCAGACACGGATACGCGTCCCTTCGTCTTAAGGTCCTTGTTCCTTGCAGCACTGCTGTCTCTTGAGGGCCCCCGATCTTCCGGCGGGGGAGGCGCAAGCACCGCTGCAAGAGCATCGAAGGTGGGTAGGGCCATTCGCAATCCCGAGGCAGCTCCAGAAGTGGCACCATTCATCATCCCGCGCTGGAAAGGTAGCGAGGAGCTTGAGGTCAGTTCTCTCGAGATGTCGTTCTCTCTGGGGGGTTCCCCAGAAGCGAGCAAGCCGGAGGTGGCTTGAGGCCGTTGTCGGAGCTCCAGCGCCATCTCCGCGGACGCTGCCTGGCGTGAGGCAGTTGTGGGGGGCCCTTCCAGGTGGAGCACTGCTGCGGCAGCGGGGGTATCAGGGGGGTCTCTTAAGGCGCCGAAGTGGGGGGCAGGGGCCCTCAAGGCTTGCCTTTCGGGTTCTCTCCACTGTGGTCTAGGGGGCCCTCCCAGGGGGCCCTGCTCCCGAAAGCAGTATGAGGAGACCCCCTTCTGAGGCACGTCTACAGGGGCTTTCGGGATAGCGCCGGCTGCATCCGTCTGAGGATTGTCATCATCCCTGAGGCTGCGCACGCGCAGTGAAGCGTCATGGAGGGCATCCCCTCCTGTCGGACCCAGTCCTCCAGGCCTCCCCACAGTCAAGCCTCCAGCGTCCATCCTCTGGGTGTGGAAGTTGGCGAGTTGCTGATTGGTGAGAGCGCTCACAGTGTAGGATCTGCCTTCTGCCGCTAGATGCTCGTGGAGCCTCTCGGGCGTGCGAGGGCCAGCTGTCCCCTGGGGCCCCCGCGGGGGCCCCCCAGCGAGCCTGTAATAGAGTTGGTCTTTCAGAGAGGGAAGGGGCCCTGTGTGACCCGTTAGAGAAGAGCCGCATGCGAAAGGGTCATCGCTGCTTCTTCTGCCTGGAAGACGAAGAGGGTAAGGGCCTCCTCGGGAGGCCCCCCCCCCGCCCTGAGGTCCTCTGCTCAGAGCAGGGGGCCCCTCGACGTGCTGCTGAAGATGGCGAGCGGGGTGGTCCTTTGCAGGGAAACCCTGGGGGAAGCTCGCCACACGGGGGGGTACTGCAGGATCTACGACTGGGTGGCCTCCGTGGCTTAGCGTGGGTAGGCGGCTTGCAGGGAGGGAAGCGAGCGCCATCGAGGGATGCCTTTGAACACACACACAGCAGGGCAGCGAAGGCAAGGATAAGAGGGGGTCGCCATCACATCCCACTTCGGGAAAGGCACCCTTGTAGGCTCCGTGAAAAGGCGATAGGGAAGCAGACAAAGATTGATTTTAAAGGGCTGCGAGATCTGCATGCGCACCGAAAAGGATGTGTTGAGCTGTGCGGGGGCCTCAGCGCGACGATGGTCTCTGCATGAGGAGACTCCACGGGAGGCACTTCTCCTCCAATGTCTTCAAAATGAGGAGGCCCCCAGGGGCCCCTGCCTCCAGTCGCACAGTACCTGTTCTGTGGAGCCACCTGGGGAAGGGGTTTTGCTGCTGCTGCCGCCAGCTGGATTGCAGCGGGAGACGCAGACGCAAGGAGGGCCCTCGCCTGCTTCAAGGGTACCAAGACGCAGGCCTCGTCTCCTGTTTCTGCTCCTGAAGCTGCAACTGTGGGAGCTAGAGCGCTTAGAGGTGAAGAGGCTGGCTCGAATGCTTGCCCTGAAGTGGGAGCAGTCGACACAGGCCCCCCTGCGTGTCTGCCAGGAATGCTGAGCGAAAGGGTTCCCCCCCAAGGGTCCTCTGCTGTGACTCCACGGCTATCTTCTCTGCGTGGCCTCCGAGACGAAGGCTTTGAAGAGGCTAGGCCTCTGGGGGCCCCTCGCTTCTTATGTCGCTGCTGTGGCTTCCCGCCGTCACTGTGCTCCTGCAGCTCCTGCTGTTGCGGGTGCTGCTTTTTGCCGATGCGGTGGTGGTTGTGGTGGAGTGGGTCTGCCACAAGCGAAATAATTTCATCCGCAGAGTAGTCAGGGGGACTTTTATCTCTTAGCCTCCTGCTACGTCTCCTGCTGGCTCTAGGGGCCCCTTCATCGTGAGACGATCCCCCATTTTCCATCTGACGCGGGGCCCCAGGGGCGGATGGCCCCCAGAAAAGGTTTTTCTGTGGGATGGAAGAAGCCGCATCCGTGGTTAGAGCGGAGGGAGGGGCCCCCTTTTGCTTATCCTTGCGCTTTGCTTTGGGGATCATTCTGCACACTCCGGTACCACACACCCTAAGTCGCTGAGAAGCGAACCTGTGAAGGGTGGTGGCCGTTATGTTTGTATTTCGCAGGCAGATTGGCGTGTATGGTCCAATGAGAGCAAGGAATTAGCGGCAGCAAGCAGAGAAAGAGAAAGAGGGGCCCCCCAGACAGGCCATACCCTCTCTTTTGAAGGGGGGGAGCGCGTGCCGATCTGTCCGGGGTTTTGCAGGGGATGAGAAAGAATGAAAGACCAAAGATAATGAGTTCTTGCTGGAAGAATCAGGCATATATCAAGCCTCTCTTGAGTATACTGTGTAGGGCTTTGAGTTCCGGAGGAGGGTGGTGCGGGGTCTCCGGGTCGGTGGTTTGGGGCTGTTGGCCACAAACCACCCCAAATATAAGTATTTCGTCGTTAATGCCATTTGCTTGCTTTTCTTTAGTGTATCCAGACTCAAGCCTTAGCTTCAAGGATCTAGAGCTCCCGTATTTAGGCTTTAAAGCCAGTGCTTTGTGCGTCTTTCTCAGAGGTTGGGTCTCGAACGGCGGTTCAAATGATTTCTACAGCAGAGGCGCTTGAATCCCGCATCCCGTCATGCTGGCTGTTCTCACGGATGTAGACCTACGGCTGAGATGCGTAATAGTATCAACCTTTTGCTTAGCTGTGCAGTTGATGCTATCATTAGATTCTATCTGCTTCTTCCCTAGTCCAGGCCTTCAAATGGCTAGCCTTCCTTATTCTAGACTTTTCCTTTAAATGTGTAAATGTAGAACTCCTTTTCCTAATAAGATATTTCAAGGCATGGTGATTTGCAAGGAAGTCTAACGTTCCATCTAAGACTGCGGCAGGGAGTCACTTGACTCCGGACTCAATACAAATTTGATGGAATGTTGTTGCGTATTCACCAAAAGAAGTTGTGCCTTCCCCTGCCTGCAACCTTAATGTTCCCGACTCAAGGGAAGCGGGTCAGCTACTATGCGCGTAGCTGCATCCTCAAATTTCCGACCTTTAGCAATCAGTTGCGTGTAGCATCTAGCGCACACACATATACCATTACATCTTCTCGTATTGAGATAACAGTACTCTGCACTAAACAAGCTATACGGATAGTCAAATGAGTAAGTCACTTCTCTGGTAATTCTCCGTTAACTACAACCCTGGTGTAGTGGAAGGTGTTCACGCGTAGCTTGACCCGGGATATCTTTCCCTACCCATCTCAAAGCACACGGCCCACCTTTTCGGTAACTGTCCGTCCGTACCAACTGTGCGCAGGGCAGTGTAAGAGTTCTCACCCTACCACCACTTCCCAGGCAGGCACAAATGCGAAAACAGCAAAAGCAAATATGCATCAACTGCATAGGGAATTTGACATGCACACCCTACAGAAGAACAAACGAGGGGCGAAACTACCACTACCGACGCGGCGTAAGAGTTTGGTGTCATTGGAGCGCTGACGTGTGTAAGCCTGCTACCATGAGAAAACAGAAAACAAGTAAAATATGTCAAAGGAACCAATTTATAAAGTAGTTTAGCAGTGGCTCTGTGCCGCATAGAGCAATGCTAGAGTGCGAATACATCCCAAAGAAGGCATAAGGAAGTATGTGGGGAAACCACAGCTGTGCGTACCTCTACTTTAAACTCATGTGCAGTGAGCAGCTTAACAAAAGTAACCGGGAATGTTTTAATCAAGGCTTATAGACGGAAGTAGCTAGTTTTAGCAGAGCAAGCGCTGGGATAGGGCAATCACCAACCAACGAGAGGAAGACCCCCATGGCCACTAGCGCTGTTAAGTAAACAAAGCCAAACTGTCTTCAGCAGCCGCTGGAAGTCACAAATGTTCCTGTATCAATTACTGAGGTTCGCATTTCCCACCATGTTTCACCAAAAACTCCCGTCTACTGTGTCGTTAGCGCTCAATAGTTCTGAAGTCCAGCACTTCCACAGCTTCTTGTCATTTTTCCTCCATACGGGTTACCAGCGTGCGCGAAATGGTCTGCATTAACAATCGGAGATTTTTGAAGCTTCTTTAGGAGACCATTATTATACTTCTGCAACACCTCCCCTTCAAGGTAGGTAGCCAAAGAAAGAATACTGATTCTTCAAAAGTCATCAAGGAATCTAGACACCTGGCCGCACAGTTCTTCCTATGGTCGCCCTCTGCCGCTCCTTGAAAAGCCTGCCTACCCACCAATGTCAAACCTCCAGGCTCAAAACACCCACCGCCGCTTACTCTAAAACTCAGGCTCTTCCCTCGTGAACGCTGTGCCTATGTTCGCATGCGCTAGCCAGCTGTCCTCCCAAATTTTCTGCTGTTAAAGGAGCAGGCATACACCAGTTCACCAAAACCAGGCCTGAGTCTGAGAAAGACTCCTCAGTGTTAACCAGGTAGACGGTAGAGCAATCGGCAGACAGAGTACAGTCGTACTCACTAAACTCATGGGTGAAACTCGAACCAGCCAATCAAATCTTTTGTTGGCATATAGATTTAAATGTTTCGAAAAACGGTAGGATCGGTGTATCCACCTGCCTACGGGTGTTTTGCATGGCGCATAATGTGAGTAATGGGTAGGCGGGCCTTACCGGCACGCCATAAAGCAATAACAAGTCCCGGGCCCCTATTGGTAGGGGAACTTCTAGGAAATCCGTGGAGATTCCAGAAATTATTAAGCATAGATGAGCGCCTTGCTGAGCAGTGACTAAGCTACAGCAAGGGATGACATGGGCAAATTTGCTAAGCCTGTCGAAAGAGACGTAAATACTACCCTGCTATTTGTCCTTCGATATTCCAGCAACAATGTCAGTAGTGAAATGAGCTCATATTTACTCATAAGCAGGTGTGCTTCGCAAAACACCGGTTTTTCGAGAATTGCGGGGCTTCGGCTCCTGACAATGGGGGACGACAGTACATGCTTCTCGGCCGTGGGATGCATTCCAGGCAACTACAAGTATTGAACGAGCTCTGCCACTGTGTCATGAAGTCTGTCAGGGCCTGGTTGAACATGATTATCTGCGGTGCGCAAAATGTTGCTGCGAAGCAAATCGAGATGTACAACTGACGTAGTTTGCCTTTGTTTCGAAGCACTTCAGGCTAGCCTCAACGTGGCCGTGCCCCACAACTCTTTTGTTCTGAATTTTGAAAGCAGTTGCGCATGCATAAGTGCCAAAAGCAGAAAAGGCACGCAGTTAAAGAAAAGTCATGTAGCATCACAGATTGTAGCGGTTGCACTGCAGAGCACGCGATCGGTGGGCGTTGCGAAAAAGCGTCCGCAACCACTTTGGTGGAGCCCGAAAGATACCTTAGTGTGTAGTGGTGCTGCAGGAGACGCCCAAGCCTACAAACAGCTTTACTATTATCGACTGACCTGAAACTTCTGGCGAGTTTTAAGTACATCTGTCTGGACGGTCAAACTACCCATATAAATAGTGCTGGCACTTTTACACGTCCGTCGCGCCGCATAAAGTTGCTTTGTATGATTGAATACCGCTGCTCGATCTCAGGAAATGGATGAGAAAAACAAGCAAGAATTTGGTGTTTCAAAGAACCCTTAGCCCGTTGACAAGGAAGAGTGCCCACAGATATGTCACTAGCATCCTCTGCTTTGCAGAACTGACAGTCAAAATGGAGCAGCGGAAGTGCCAGAAGAGTTGTGAGCTTGCTGATAAAGGTACTTGCTTCGACATCAGCTTTCTTCGGCCAAGTCAGAGACTGCGAGTTTCAGAGATGATCATTCGAGTAGGTATATATCCGAGCAAATATAGGACTATGATTTTGGCAACATGGTGTAAGCCCACAGAACTTTGCAGCGTTCTTACACGTACATAATTGAAGGCTAGGGCCATGATTGCTGCAATTTTTCTCGGGGCTGGAACAACGTCTGCAGCCGAAATATGAAATTCCAGAAAATTGGTTTCTTGAAAAAAACACTTGCGTGCATTTGCACACCACTGCTTGCCTCCCAATTGTTGAATGCCCCTCACTGCTACTGCAGGCGCTCTCAAAGATTCAAGATAGATACAACCACTTCGTCCATCTGGACAGTCGTCGTTCACTTTATGATAGGCGCATGAAAATCCCAGGCGATTCGGCGTTACGACTCATTTGGAACATTAGAAGGCTTAGGTGACGTACAGGTACACTTGAGCTTGCGAATGCGCGTGTGGAACGCTGTTTCATGTCTGTTCTGAGGGTGGATTGGGATTTGTAAGCGCTCGTGAACTTAATTGTCGAGTAGACTTTGGGTTCGAGTATCTTGTATATTAATTCGGCAACATGAGGCATGGAAAACTTGTGATTCCGCAACCATTGAAATACCTGAATATCAAAGCACATCAGCCAATTCTATTCTTCTCGCAGCACAAGCACCGAGGTATTCTAAAGGCGTTGCTTGATCCCTGCACTTATGCCTTTTCTCAACAAATCATCCACCTGCCACTCAGCCTACTTTATTTTGCTGGGGTGGCTTCCAGCGCCTAGGAACATAGCATGAGGCTGGACGGCGGAATAGCTCAGTAATTTGCGCTAGATATCCGCAGGTGGCCAGCCTGCTCGCCGCTTGTCCTTCGTACACATCCATAAACGCCCTCTTTATATCTGCCCACTCTTTCTGTTGCACGGCTAAAATTTCAATCAAGGTCCCTGGTAAAGAAACAATTATAGAGCCTCTCTAACTAGATGAATGCTCAGAACCGTTTTCCCTCACAGGGTGGCTGAGTTGTACGCAAGAAGACCCTGCCTCCTCTTGAAGAGGCATCATGTTTACCGTGCTCCCAATAAGTGAAGAGTGGATTGATGAGGGGAACAAGAGCTACCTTTTCCTAGCGCTTCCCGATACATTAGCTTCCCCAACACGCAGCTATGGTCGCATGCGCCTTTCATGGAGTCACTAGTGACAAACTTACGTTGACGTTCTAATCCATGAACCCAAAATGGAAGTCACCAACCATGCAAATACGCTACAACTTGTTATTTGAAGATGAATTTTGCTACCTTAGTCATGTCACTGCTAGCGCTCTGCCACCCGTCAGCGAAACCGTGTCTCAGACAGTGGGCTAACGAGTGACCAGGTGGTGCACTTCTGCGTGGGTAAAGGACCCACTTCGCGCCCAATGTCAACTAACACTTGCAGTTTTGGGCAATCAAAGTAAGCTTGTTAGAGAGCAGAATTGACCAGTGCTTGGTCCGCAACTGTTGCTTTATTCTCTGTAGCCCCCTAAAGCGCGCCGTAGTCTGCGTTGGGGCTTTTCCATTTCTCTTATGCGCCTCCGTTGCTCGTTACGCAGCGTGCTCCCGCTAGACTCAGTCCCGTTGCTAAAGTTCTTCGCCTTGTTGCATGCGCTTGCAGCCCTGGATCATTTGGCCCAATTTTATTAAAATAGAAGCAAATGCGGTGTTGGAGGGTTGTTTAGGGCTGAATTCGAGAGCGAATTTGCTCTATTTTGTCAAGCAGAACTTGGATTATGAATAGGGCTTGGTTGTCAAAGCGCCGAAATTCATAGGTTCTATGTCCCGATCTAAGCTCTCCTCAGGCGAAGCCGCACGGGCTGCGCGTACTTGCTCCTGAAACCTCAATAGTTCTTCACTTCAGAGAGCCCCACCGGTCGATTGCTTGATTGCTCTTTTTTGCAGCCCACCATGATATCATAAGTCATGACATTTTTAGGAGACGAGTAGTAAACCATGATTTAACAGCTCTTTGTCTACATAATGACTTATGCAAGCCAAAGTGTCATTTCTCAAGGTTCTGACCGAATTACGGCGTCCCATGCTTAAGCAGGCTCAGTCCTCTCAAGGCGTGGAAGGGCCTTTCTAAGGCATCACTCGATGCCTTGATTCAGCATTCTGGCGTGGTTTGGGATTGATGGCCTCCATATAGAAATCTTGGTGGTAATGCATGAAGAGGCTTTGGTCCTAGCTGGCCACCCGGGGCACATCAACTTGCTTACCCCAGTCTACTCTGGCACTGGCTATTCACCCAGTTCGCACTGCTGGCTTGAGGAAAGCGCGAGTAGGCGATATCGAGATTGCCCAAAACAGCCGATTGCGCGGGGACAGCGTTTTCAGCGGCTCTTTGTACAACTGCACCGGCGTTGGGCACCTAGAAGGGCTACCGTCCGACACTGTACTCCGCAGTTGTCCTCAGCTAGCTACCTGGCTCGCGCTACTCACATGCCATGACGATAGAGGCAGGTGGCCACTCACACTGGTGTCCCCCAGTTGCGGAATTCGTAGCTTCTACCTGCGGCTACGCAATACTCCGTTCTCTTCTACGGCAGTCTATCAGAGGCTGTTTTCGTGCATTGCACTGCCACGTGACACGAAAACATTCACTCTGGCCACCATGCGAAGCTACCAGGAGAATAAGTGCACGGCTTTAAGCCATGCATCCGCAATAGACTGATCTATATATTCAGATAGATGAACAACCCTTGTTGCCCCGAGACCCCGATCCACCAATGATGGATTTATTTGTAGATGATGCAACTAGAACCGTTTTAGTCCAGAAGGGCCACTGTCGGCCTTAGTTCGCTCTCAGCATAGCGGGGTGCCTGGCTCTCTGTACGGCCCAATTAGCTACGCCTCACCACGTCTGTTGAGTCTATCGCAACAGTAGTGCACAAACTATCAAACCCACTTGGAATATAAACAACCATAAGAATCATACTGAGCTGTTATGACACACCAGTCACCCAGTCCAGATACATCCCTGCCTAGAAGACTAATCCCTGACCCCCAATGGACCTTGTAGGGGCCCAACACACTCCCCGGGAGACACGTTCTGCAAAAGCACCTCGGAACCTCTAGGCTCCTTGACAGAAAGAACTGCCAAAATCTTATATTCGCCACTTGAAGGCGAGGCTCTCCAGTGAGCCACTTTCCACCGGGTAATCCTCGCTATCGGCGCCCTTAGGGGCGCCTCGATGGCCCTCAGCTCCTTTTTTGACGCACAGCCTCACTAGCTAGAGTTGCACCCAGTCCCATATCGGAGCAGAATAAAGAATAGTCCTTTCGCTAGCGAGCCTGACTAATTTTTCGAGTTGTGCCACTCCTTAATCAGAGCTGAATAGAAGACATCTCCATTCGCTAGCGCGAATTCGATTACTGGGATGACGCCGTTGTTCTTGCAGCAGCAGCAACAACTGGTGGCGTCGGTGCTACTGCTGTAGGGATCGAAGGCAGCAGCAAACCAACCTTCCTGCAGCTCCGGCGCCTCTGGAATGATAAACGTTTCCTCTGTAGGGGCCTCGTCCTCAAAACTTGAAGTGTTCCCGCTGCTATCGTGGCTTTGTGGCAGATCGGGAGGGGGCGTTGAAGGAACCTCCTCTTCTTCTCCAGGGGGCGTCCAGTCCACCGGCACTTTATTCGTTCGGTATTCCTCCACCGCAGCAAGAAAGCCCTTAACTATGGCTGATGCTACGCCCATCGGGTCGGCATTCCCTAGGAACGCTCCTCCAGACACTAAAGGCATCCGCAGTTGCTGCAGGGGTAGGCCTTCAGGGATTTGCACTTCCTTCGTATTGTAGAGAATAATGAGCCGCAGCAAATTGCGAGAGAGAACAAATACTGCACAGGAAAACACACACATGGTGCAACGACGCCCTGCGAACAGCGCAGGTAATACCGTGGACGGCCGCACCCCGAGCAAAAACTGTTGCTACACCCGGGTGCAGGAAGGCCCCTCCTGCAGAAACGACGCCTCTACAAAAAACCGTAACATCAGCCTCCACACCACCAACAGCGGCGCCGGTACGCACAAGTGTGGTAGAAGTCCTTCTCAGAGTACTCCCACGCTTTGGGACCGACGACGTATGCCATGGCGACGTTCTTGTCGTCTCGAGGTCTCAGCTCATCTCTAAGGAAGTCTAGGAAAACGTATGCATCGCCTTTCTTCAGCTTGAGTGCTGCTGCCTCCTTTGTTGATGGCGTCATCGCGTAGATGGCCTTAAAGGGTGTCCTCCAAAGGCCTTCTTTCCCCGCAGGGCCGTCGCACCGCAAGGCAGCAACTTTAAAAGGGGATCCTCTCGCAATTTCCATAGCGGCGTTGTGGACTCTTTCCATTCTAGTGCCCCAATCCACGGCGAGATCTCTTCGGGGGTCCCATCGAGAGTGCTGGCGAGATGCGGCCTCGCCTTCACGATCGGCCGCTGCTTTCGCATCAGAGGGGCCTTGTAGTTCGTCTATTTTCGACTGGACCCAGTCATTGATGGCAGTGCTGAAAGCTTGATTGATTGTGCCGCCGCCTACGTACAGTTTGGGATTCCCTGCGTTTACAGAAACGAGGTTCCGTTGAGAGTTGCTATCAAACACGGGCGTGAAGCGCTGGCCACAAGGAGAATGGGGGGCCTTCCGTGATCGAGGCTCCTTCGATTCTCTCTCATGAGCTTCCCGGCAACAGTTACACCTGGTAGTGCCCGACGAGCCACCAGACGCAAACGAAGTGCGCTGGCGGTGCGAAAGTGGGTGCTCGTGTTGCAGTTTTCCTTCGGCAGCAGAGGCGACACGAAGTCTCTTATTCCTTTCAAAAGGGCCCTCCGCTTCAGTTCCTATATCGCCTGCTTCGCTATCGTGTGGCTGCTCCTGCAGCTGCTCTTCACGCTGCTGCAAGCAGCATGCGGGGATAGTGTTCTCCGGGGGTGCGGGGGCTCCCTCGCTCACGTGCAGCAGAAACTGGATGTCACTAAGCAGCATACATCTGCGGTTGTGCATAGTACAACAACATCGAGCATCCACCTGTTTCGAGGTCTCTTTTTGCATCCCGGAAGCTCCTACCGAAGCTACCACACTTGCAATAACAGCACCATATAGCAGATTAACCATGGTAGAAAACAGGTAGAGCCCTTTAAAAAAACCTTTTCGACTCTGGGGGCCCGCGAACAGTTCACGCTTGGTTTAAGGGACCCCTGTAGCCAATGAACTCGGGTTGAATTTGACAATCACTGAGAAGAGTGACCGCAAGCCAACACGGCGTCGTTCTGTATTTTATCCAGAAAAAGACAGTCAAGACACGTGTGTACGAAAACATATTGCAGATTGGCGGCTAAAACTGGGGAGAACGTTTGTCTTTGGCCTTCTGTAGGATACGCTTGTGTGGGGCTGGCCGCTACTGGGTGGTACCGGTGTTCTAGCGTTTAGCAGACTGTATTGCACCACTGTCTAAAAATTCTTCGTATGACTTATGAGAAAAGGACTCTCTAGTTGGCAGAGAGCTGGGGCGTGTTGCCAGCGTGTTCCTAACAGCCACCCTCTTAACCGCATCTCAGGTGTCTGTCTGTGTACCAATCCTCGCTTCCCTTTTGCATGACTCCATTAGAAAAGTAGGCAGCACACGGAGACGACGAAAATAACTTGTAGCGCGACAATTCATATTCCCGGGACGCCACTGAATCTCTGCTCCTTCTGGTGCTTTGACCACCAAAACTGGCCTGCGGCTATGCATAAGCCCTAACCTCCAAACCGCAAGCCGCAAGCCACTACTGCTAAGCCCTTCCCCGTATATTTCGTTGCAACAGGGCCACCAAGGCAGCAGTGCAATAGGGCGCTCTACCCGCCCGCCTGATACAAACACATCATCTTCAGGAGCAACAAGCACAGCTACCTCGCTGCATCTACATCGTCTGCAACACCAGCAACACCAGCAAAATGGAGGTTGACGGCAGTGATTCTGTGCCCTCCTGGGCCTCTTCTTTGCTGGAGACCCCAAGGCAGCCCTTCGAAGCTGAGCTACAAGAGGAACGGCAGCGAAACAGCAATGGCGCCGTGGCTCTGGATCATATTCAGAGTCTGCACGCGCGCAAGTCAGTCCAGAAGATCACGGTTTGGGGTTTGCCATGTATATTATGGAATATAAGGACCTGAGATGCAGCTTGTGAAGGAGAAGTGGCAGGCAGACGAGCTATTTTGTATCTATGTTGATTTTACACATCACCACGCTGAGGTGAGGCGCTCCGAAAAGTCCTTTCCTTTTGACACTGCTGTTATTGCTTGCCTTCAGGCTCTACCATGAGCTGACGGATGCGTTTGCCGCATATTTGAATACGGATGCGTCTTGCGATTCCTCTGCCGCCGTGGTCGATCGGGAGGGTGCCCCTTCAGAAGGCGGCCAGCAGGGGCCGCAGTCCCCTCAGGCGCAGCTGCAGTTTCTATGGAGTGTTGTAGCAGGGGTCCAAAAGCACTTGGATTCCATCCGGCTCCTCAAAATATGCAGCGGAGTTCTGGAAAATATTCGTGCGCTGTTGATTTCTTCACGGGTTGTTTCTCGTCTTCTTGCTGGCCGCTGCTTGAGTTCCTCGCAGCGCGACTGCCTGCTGTTGGCTGTTGGTTTCTTCACGTGTAGCTGCTCCTGCTACTGTTAGGGAGTTGTCGGTGGCATGCCTGCCTGCAGTTTTGTGTGTGGCTGGCTCCAAAATCTTGAGTGGTTTGAAGCTTCAGTCGTGGTGTGCTAGAGCCTTTTTGCGGCGTCCGATCCATTTGTTGTTTTCGCAGCTCCGCGAACAGCGCTGCTCTTCTTGGATCGGCTGGAGAAGGAGGCGGAAGAGACTAGGCTTGGGGGGGGCCCATCGGGGGCAACGAGAGCTCCAGGGTTTGGCCTGATGGGCGGAACAGGTAGCGCTTTAGCCTCCGGAAATCCTGCTCCGCGAGCCTTTTTGCTGTCGCTGCGAGCTTTCCACTTGGCGTTGGCTGGGGAGCTGACGGAGGCGGAGGAGCTCCTTGAAGATACCAAGAAAGAAATGGAAAAAGTGCTGGGACTAGACCCTGCCGTAAGGGCGGCTGCGCACAGGGCTAGGGCCGAGCTCGCACGGGTAAGAGGCGATACGGAATGCTTTCTGCGCTTGTAGCAGCTCCGAGACTCTTAGCGTCTTTTTGCTGGTTTCCTGGACATGTACAACTCACTCACGCGAGGATATCGGGGGCTTTTCCAGGTGTACATGCACCTGAAAAAGCTTCAGCACACCTAAGTGTGGGAAGGCCAGGGCTTGGGCTTCGTGCCCCACGCACGAGAGTTTTATATTAGGGTTTGGCTAATATCCGTGGCTGTCTGCAGGCACGGAACAAACCGGGGGATGTTTACAGGGAGACCCTATTCTTTCTTGCATACACCTCTGCTGGTAAGCTTCCAGAATGTAGAATTCAGGGCCATGGGAATGTATAGCTGCCTATGCAGACAAAGACGCAGCAAGGAGGGATATCAAGATTTGCACGCGTTCGAATAGATGTGGCCTTGGGTGTATACACAACTCTCCCTTTGTGGATCGTATATGCTCTTGCTTTATACCTGCTCAGGGTCCTTGAAGGAAGAGCTTAGGATAAAGCTTGCTATGGACATGTGTATCGCGGCCCTCATCTCCCCTGAAGTGAATGATTATGGAGAGCTAGTGAGCGCTTGGGCCAAGCTTACATTCAGTCAAGCTTAAACCTGTAGAAGCGCCCTGTGCATCTATCCTTTTAGGTCTTCCGAAGTCTTCATTAAGGCAGATTGAGCTGCTCGGGGGTGTTGCGCAAAGGGGAGCTTACGAACAGAAGTATTGCATTTCATAGCAGCGCTGCCTTCGTAGAGGGCTCTTGGGTCCAGCATGGGTGGTGTTGCCCGGCTGTCACCTTGCTTATTCAATGTTTCGCCATGTCCAACCCCGTTACCTTGCGTGCATACCAATAACCTTTGCCTCTGTTGCTACTGTGCTGCCACAGCTCCAGCAAGGCTTAGTCCGCTCTGCTCTGAACGACGGGGGCGAGAGGCAATGGCTTTACGATCTCTTAGAGGCTTTCAGTAGGGGATCTCTTGATCTCTTTGACGCAACCATGAAGAAACACAAGGACATGGTCTTGCAATCCGTCAGTTTTACCTTCCATTTCTTTCTCTTGCATGAAACATTCACCATTCTTACGGTTTTTATGCTTTCCTCTGCTTTTTTTCTTAGAGGGTGGCCGTATCCCCTGTACTTTTGGTCTTTCCGGCCATCGGTATCTGCGCTACCCCCTACACCCCTCATTCCTGTGCGCTCTTTCGTGTTGTTGTCTGTCATCAGCCCAGTGCGTTGCCGTGTTCGCACTTTGTGATTTTGCATCCGTGCAAAACAAAGATTGTGCTGCCTGTCTCACCACCGCATCTCACTACCGCAATGCGTCCTTGATTCTGGGCGTTTTCTGTCTCCAGGAGCTAGGCTCGCACTTAAAGGTGCTGGAGAAAAAGGCGGCAACGGCTGCGCTGCTTAGACTGGCATTTGCTAGTAGTGCTGCAGGCGCGGCGTTGCAGCAGGAAATTCAGGGGTCTCCTCTATCATCGGGGGACGGCAGCAGCAATGGCCAATCTGTGGGTGTATCTCTAGGATCACAGGCATCAAGGGCCCTCTCTTTCGCTGCAATCGCCACCGCATGCAGGATCGAACAAGAGGACGTAGAGAGGCTGGTCATGTCTTCCATGGCTCAGAAGCTTCTCAAAGGAAGCATCAACCAAATAAGCAAAACAGTTCATTTGCACTGGGTCAGGCCCGCACTGCTCACGGATGATACGAGGTGGGCAAGCGAAAAGTGGTCTCGATGAAAACGAGACAGGCTGCTTATAGCAGACACTTATGGGCGCATCGCAGGAAGGGGCTGATGTACTAGGTTACAGATTCCCAGGCACCGTGTATAGTCCGCATGCTTGCACGTCTCTAGAATATTGCTCTTTTTGCTTTGGAGGTTTCCAAGTCTTCTTCAGTGGGTACACATTCAGAAAGTATTTCTTGTGGTCCTCTCCTTGATCGAATTTCCCGGCACTTTCTTATCTTGCCGTTGTGCGTTGCGTCTGTTCCCGTGCGTAGTTTACGGGTGTTGCAGGACCGTCTTTGCCGCTGGGCCTCTGCTGCAGAGGAGCTGCACAGGACGCTACAAGTCCAAACAGCTGAACTCCTAGGTGCCTGATGCATGAAGGAAATCAGTCCTTTTTCCGCATGGATGGACTTGCATTGGTCGAGTATGGGTGAAATCGCTGCCGAAGCCTCGACTGTACACGAGGACTGAGCGTGAACTGCAGAGACTGCTTTCTACAGCCGCATATTACAATGCGGTATTTCGATGACCTTTTCAATAAAATCCCTACTGAACATGCTTCGTTGTGTTCTTTCAACTAGCTAAAGACTGCGGCTAGACGCTAAGGCAGAGAAGACGAGAATCGCAATGCGCAGTCAGATGTGGACAAAGAATGTAAAACACAGAAATTACAGAGGTCGGAGTCATTTAAGGGCAATGAGTTTTTGGCATCCCAGATGAGACGCGGTGGCGTAGATGGTATCCTCTAGTATTCCAATAAGCTAATCTAGTATCATTTGTTAGTGCCATCCCCTTCGCTATGAGCCCGACAATTGCCCTTCATTTTATCGCGCCCTGTCAGCCTCCCTCTCACAGATACTTGAAAGGAAGCAAGCAGGAGTGAGTGGATTTGGCATAACGAGTAATCGGCAAAGTAAACCACCGACACGGAAAAGAGATTAAACCTAACCTAACCCATTTCAATGACATAATGTTGAAATATCTTGTAAACTGGCAGCTTCCAAGAGGGCTACAAAAAGAGGGTAGGTTCAGAGTAGGTGACCGTAACAGACGCGCCCTTAACATAGAGCCAACTATTTTTCTTGGCGGTGCTCCCCATATATGTGAACCTCAGTCCACTTCTGCATCCCTCCACTTCTGCCCGTCCCCAACCCCTTTCCCTCCCCCTCCCTCCCGCACGCATCAAGACATATGTTTATGCAAAAGTAAAAGTGTCTATACGTGGACATGCAATACACTTAGCTTTTGGCGGTTTCATCACCCGTCTTCTAAAAACTGGGAATCGGTGGGATGGGAGCAACAAAGGCAAGAAGAAATCGGGTACAGAAAGTGCTCTTTACCCGGGAAATGCTTTGCATCCTCGTTTAAGTTTGCTAGCTCGAGCAAATCACAACTAAATGCAAAAGTATAGTTTAAAATGAAATGTAGCCAAGTGTGGTGTGCAGGAGGAGTAGACGGCCTCCTGAGAACCGATGAACAGATGCCCTCTCCAGTGTCCCCTCTGTTTGCTTATTATCATATCCGTTCCTGCCACAGACCTCATTTGCCACCCCAAAAATGAATAGACATGAAAAAATCAAACTGAAGAGGGCCCGCTCTGTGCGGTTGGCAATGGCACGCCTCCCAATTCGGTTCGTGATTTCCCGAATACCATTTCCAGCCATTGAAGCACACAAAAACAGAAACACATGAGTAATACGCATTCCTATTTCGCTACCGCTAGCAATCCATAATATCTTCCTAGGAGGGTGCAAAAGTATGGAGGAAAATTCGCGAGCACTACTATTCTTCCTTATTGAGGACTGGGAAAGAGTAACATAAGTGTCATCTCCCCAAGACCGGAGGAACAATGTTCGTCGCTGGATTAGCCATTTGTGCATTTTTCTAGGAATAGTAGTGTTTCAATCAATAATCAGAGTTTGCGGTCTACGGCTGCCACTGGAGCACAGGGCTTAGCAGGGTATTTCTACAGCGGTGGGTCTGACGAGGATTTCCGGGAGGCTCTGCAGTGAACCAACGACAGCTTGTGGCTCTCGTCCCTCAGCGATTGCTGCGGCGCTTTTCAGCATCAGCAGCCCACTAGATATCGTGTCCTGACTGAGGAGAAGGCACGAAGGGCGCATTGAAACACAAGGAAGCAGATGTGACACGTGTGGGCAATAAGTGCACAATACTGAGAGAGTAGGTCCGAAAGCAAATGATAAAACACATAGCTAATAAAGGGTTTTTAAAGTAAAAAAGCATGCGAGATATGGATGCAAGGGTAGAAGCCAGAAAAGACCGTTATCCCAGATCGGGGAAATCGATCAGAACATGAAGACGTGGAAACAAAGTCAATGTAAGGAGGGTCATGGGGTTTTGATTCGTTCGCTATCATCTCGTGGTCCTTAGCTCCCTATCAAGGCAAATCTAGGCTGAAGAGAGCAAGCAAACGAAGATGAAGAGGACAGCTTCGAATAGAGCGATCTTATCTCTACCTCCCTTGTTGGCCCTCTAACAGCCCCACGTTATGCACTCTAAGGCCAAACATGAAGAATGTAGAGAAGTTTTACCTCAGGGATTTGGGATACGGAACGATACCGACGAAAAGGAACTGCGAAATAAATCAGAATATATATGCCGACCCGAGGGGTAAGCACAAGACAAGTAAAACTACCAGCTCAAAGAGCCAACTTTACTGGAGACACGGAATTGTGGAGAAACTTACAGCGCTGGCAATGTTCATAGACGCATGCATGCTGGCTTGCAGGAAACCAACAAATTGAGACACTAGCTACCAAGGCAAGATACAAGTTATACAAGGAGACCAACAGCAGCAGACGCACGGCCGCCGCTATTCTGGGCTGCGATTTGCCAGTCCAGTTCAGTTGCGATGATATGCAGTTGCCGCAATATTGGGGAGTGGTACAAGGGATGTTTTCCTGTTGCATCCACTATCAGCAGGATGTAGTGCCTAAAGGGAAAACGAAAAGAAAGACCCAAAGGGCGCACGCGCTAAATGAAAAGCAGAAGATGCAACCAAGAAAAGGATGAACAGGAGAAGCATGGCGGCGCTCGTGGGAGAAAGGCTCTAAGACAAATGGAATTATCAAGGGAAACCAATTCCTTAAGTCTATACAAATACATTAATAAATAGACGGCAAACCAGGGCATTGGTTCCAAAGAGATACACTACTTGAAGTTCGGAAAAAAAGAGAGCGTGTGTCATGTGTTTCACTATCGGTCAATTATTCTGAGTAGAAAGTGCGCACTCGATGTCTGTTGATGTGGTTGGTGCTAAGAGACATTGGAAGGTAACACAACAAGCTTGGCAGCAGCGCAAAGGCGGAGATCCTGTCCTTCCAGCTCCTCAAGAGAGCAACACAATACAGCGCGACAGAACAAAATGCAGTAGTGGGAGAAGCGAGGAGACGGGGAAGCACGGAGGGAGGCAGCACAGTGCAAAATGACAGTAACTGGCACACAAGACGGCATGTAGACAAGATGCGGAAGGATAAATAGAAGGAGATTTGAAGTACACAAGAGAATACATACCAGTTAGAGAGCAAAGAGGCCTAACAAACTAGCCAAAGCCAAAGAAGGCATGGAATTTCCAAGGAAAGATTACCGAAGGTCGGCTGGCCAGGAAATCTCTTTTGCCTTACTCAGCCACACTACCAAATAGAGGGAGCGTCCAAGTAAAAACAAAGTACGGTAAGGGCAAGCGAATATAGGGCTTAGTCGGACGTGGCCTATACCAAAATTCGTTTCTCCTTCAGCATCCTTCAGTGCGCGGATCTACCAGGTAGCGATAAAGCAGTCCGGTGTTCTGAAAAGGCACAACAAGGGAAGGAAATGAAGAGTGCGAAAGAGATCTCGAGAAGTGCCAACGCGCTGCAGATAATAGCACAGCCAGATGGCCATCCGATTTCTCCTCTGCTGTGTGGCCTGTGCCATTAAGGTTTAGACCTTTTAACAGTATTAAGCCAAGTTCTTCTGTACTCCCCAGCCCTTTGAATAATGCATTGCTGCGGCAGCATATGCAACAAAAACAGTCATTCCAATAATCGAATGACGAAAATGATCACACTACTGAAAAGAGACATAGAAGTGAAATTGACGTAAGAAAACACATACACAAAGTAAGGGAACACTGTTTCTGTGTTGATGGCGAAGCACCACGGTCAAATATGAAGTAAACAGATGAACAATCAGGCAGACAAGGGAAAATGAGAGAAAACCACAAAAGGAGAACCCACCCGCAGGGATGTCAAATAATGCTCAACTAAAGACTCGTCCATACTATAATCCAGCCTGAACCACGTGAAATGGGATCTAAAGAAGCACGCAGGTAACAGGGAACAGCAACGAAGGCGTTGTTTGTCAATGAAAATGAGAGAGAAATCTATTGGGCGATAAAGAGAACGGAGGTCAATAGGCCATTGGATAGAGGCACTGAAGAATGGGAAACCGTGAAGCAAGGAAGACGCTTCAACTGGCACCCTTCCATACATTTGATCCATTGCCAATCCCTTGTTTCTGAGAGTTGTTTGGCCTTCAGTGATAACGGCATGCCCAGCCGATTCAAACACACACTCACATTAAATACCGGATGTTGCATTCAATAAAATTTGACCAAGTCAGGCTAGAATGCCAAAATGGGTAGCAGAGAAGCAATTTGAAATGCTAAAGTCTGGCTACCACCCATGGTCTATATGCAAAATCTCAAAGAGAAAATATGGCGGTGCAACAGTTGATTATAAGGCCTTGGGGCTTTGAGATATGCATTGAAGACAACAAGCTACAGCTCAGTGAATGGAAAAAGGGTATGATAACTCTACAATAAAATACAGCGAATGATACAGAAAGGTGCATGAGCTGTCCGTACCAGGTCTAGCCGGCAGCTACAGTCGCCCCAGCAGCAACTGCTTTAGCGTGGGAGACTGCAGCAAGTATACGAGACCTTCGATGGGTAACGAGGCGTGCGAAGACCCTGGATTCGGAGTGCATGAACGCCGAGCAGAGACGAGCGCACGGTGAAGCTCTAGAGCCTGGGAATTCGGAAAGGGAATACCTGATCTACGGGCTTCCAATACATTGAAAAAAAAGGCTAATGATGAAAAATATCGCCGTCGCGCTAACATATACAGCAGGACACCACCGCTCTTGCCTAATCCCTTTACGCGCAATCACTGGCCTTTACAGGACTTTTCGACTGTTAGAGGATGAAGCTGGTGATAAGCCTTCTGCTTTTACATGACGTCGGCGGAATAGAGCTTCTCCTGACCCCAAAAAACAGTCTGAGGAGAGAGAGCGGTAGGCGGTCTCATGCCTCTGTACCTTCCATGGCAAGCTTACTTGGCGTTCTTCCAATGAAGGACGCCCCTGCTCCTTTACTGTATCATTGGAAGATAAGGCCAAGAGCGAAAGTAGCAATGATGACAGAAAAAACACAGCACATGGACGAGAAGTAATAGTGTATGACTTCTGTGGCCGGAGAATCATATTGAACGATAAAGGCAGAAGTAGTGGCATCGGGGAGACCACTAGAAGGAGGAATAAGTCGTTACGGGAGGATGGAAGTACTGATGTCCTTCCTCTTCGTGCTGTCGTAATGCTGGTGCTGCAATGTCGCTTGTTGCTGCCCTGTATGTTCGCGTTGCCGTGAGGTTCATGCATTCGATGTAAGAAAGAAGCATCTTAATCTCCCTAGCTCTATTTGTAGAGCAGGAAGCTCGCAATATGTTCCCCTTTTGCCGCGCCTTACATTCCGCAGTTTCGGTGGTGTCGAAGCTTGATCGAAAGCTTGAAGAAGGCAGAAGCAGAATGCACAGGGGGGGCTGATTCCATGAGAATCAAGTGCCTACAGAGAGGAGAAGGAAGGGAAAACAGGCGACAAAAGGGGGATTTCAGGCACAGTGTCAACATGGAACCGATAGAGGTAGAGAGCCTGGATGGCTAGTCCTTTCCTGGGAGGACGAAGAACAAACGAAAGCCAGAAAGCATAAGCAACAATTTATCAAGGCAACTGTAACTCTTGAAAAGGACAAGTATACATTTGGATATCTGCTGCTGCTTGCGGTAAGGTTCCGCTCGTGTAGGGTGCTGTGACCCGCGTTGGGGTTTTCTCCTATTATTCCCGCGCACCAATATGTCAATGATAATAAATCATTTAACAGAACTCCTTTGTTATGATGCAACTATGGAGGATGATCCAGCCCATGAGTGCACGTTCCCGGAAGCAGCCCGTTCACTTGGAGATGCTTCTTCTCTAAGTTATTGGAAGGGAGTTCTTTTAAATGTCTTCTTTGGTTTGGTAGCTTCAAAGCATACCTACGTAATCATGCGTTTAGCCTCGACCAGGAATGCAGAACAGTTCGATGAGACGTGCTACAAACAGTTTTGCAGAAGCCGACGTATGCACGAAAGCCATACAGTGTATATAGAAGATGCAACGTGTAAGAAAAACTGCTGGGGAAGAATACGTCCTGCGACGCTTCAATGCCTCTGCAACCCACCCGCCTTCGAGAGAGACACGACCTTTATGGAAGAATGCTACCTTAATAGCAGCTACTGTAGCAATGCACAAATTTCCCCTTCTCTACAGCACCAGATGCACTGCACGGGTTCCCGACGCAAATCATAACTACAGGTTTTATTCAATAACCCCTGTACAAAGTAGCACTTGGGCCAAAGGTTCGTCCACGAGGCTCGCTCTCCCTTTGCCCCTCCTCTTCACTCCACCCAAAAGTCGTGCAAGCGACCAGCCCCCACTTATGCGATATCTCTAGGGGTAGGCTACCTAAGAGGCCTTGTGGTAGGGGACTCCGGTGTAAAGTCACCTCATAGAGGCCTTTTGAGGTTCCCCTCAAGTTTCTGCGATATAAGTGTTACCGAGAACGCATTGCAACGCACTATTTAAAATAGGTGACCCGCATACTTCTGCCGAGGACGACGGGCCTTTAGGGTAGGTCGTGACCGTGGGTGTCGATATCCAGTTTCGGAGAAGAGGGGAGCCGCTTGGTCAAGATTTCCACCCCCTCTTCCGTGCAAAGGAGCGTATGCTCGAACTGGGCTGACAGAGAGCCGTCAAGCGTCACTGCCGTCCAATTATCGGGCCAAAGCACATCGGCTGGTTTCCCCAGATTCAACATGGGCTCGATGGTGAAAACGTGACCAGGCTTTAAGATGCCTACCTGCGAGCGCACCACTCCAAGCAGGCAGCGACTCAGAAAAGAGAGAAGAGCAACAGCAGTATCAGCCATAAGCCAACCGCCATGAAGAGAAAGTGGAGGCCGGTGCATCGGAGCACCATTAACAGCAGTCATAAAACGATCCATGAAGCCGCCAGAAACAACATGCGGAACAAGAGGATAAGGTTGAGAAGACGAGGTGAAACGCTTTGAAGCTCTTCCCATCTCATTGCCCGACGCAGCAGGGTCGCGCAAGTAAGACTAATGGCTTTTATAGCGCACCGCCTTGTTGTTTCTGTAATGAGGAATACTGGGAGCAGTGTGGAAGAGTTCCCCAATACCGTGTCCACAATAAGAACGAACGACAGACAGCCTGTGGGCACAACAACACCTAGGGCAAGGCATCCGCTGGCTCCATAAACTGCACAGAGATCAGACTTGGGATTTCGAGCTCAGGCAAAGGGTGTAGTGTTAGGGCTTCCTAGTTTCTCGATAAGGTTTGAGTAACTACCCGTGTTGGTCAGCCACTGAAGAGACAATGCGGCCGATATCACGATACATCATTCCCGGCTTGCACTGTGCACAGTACACAAGCGCCCACGTCCCAAACACACGACCAGCAAAAGGCCTCAATTAAAGCTCGCAAAGCTTACTGAACTCGCACATGAAAAAAGACAGCACAGGACCAATGACAGGGGCCAGAACAACAGCAGTCATTGCATCAGTTGCGCGTTCCACATTGCTGCGGCTCACAGCCTTCACTGCCTCCATTAGGGAAAGGTAGGCGCCCTGCAAGAGCCTTCTGCTGTCCTCTGAAGCGGATGAGGATGAAGAAGGCGGGGAAGCAGCAGCGGACGGAACAGAAGATGTAGAAGAAGCGGGAGAGGAACCAGTGCATATATACGTTTCATTGAGGTCCCCATGCATCCCTTGATAAAAAACCGTGATGTCCACATTGACAACGTCTCCTTCCTGCAAAGGCCTGTATAACAAAGCCAGACCACGCACCCCCAGAGCTATGAAGAGATACAGGCTCACATTAAGGAATTTGATTGCATGACTTCTGGGCCGTGAGCAACGCTCCCGTTCGCCGGCCTGATAGGGGATGTGGCGGTTGTACATACACTTTATCCTACATGGAAATCCCGTGGGAGACTACCTCACCACGGCAAGGACCCCCAAATATAGAATTTTGCTGGATATCTAATCTAAATCTACCTGTGGTCAGGAATTCCGTGGCAGATGACCTCATTGACGCTGATGCAGCAAGATTTAGGAAACCCTTGGTAATTTAGGGGAGAAGGATAGGCGCCTCTAGAGCAAATAAACTCATGGACTGCCTTGTCAATTTCTTCTGCTGTAACCCCTGGTCGGATCAACGAATGCGCCAAGTCCAATGCTTCTCGTCCCAGCAAGCATGAAGCCCTTAACCGCTACAGAGGACCAACAATAGCGCAGAGTCGGACGACATTCAGATTGCAACCTGAAAAGTATCCATTATTTAGGGGAAAAAAGACGAATTTCGGGGTTCGTGAGCAGCTCGCTTCAAATACCTCGATCTCCTCAGGCGTATGAACCCGAATGGCATTGGACCTCATAGCCTGCTCGCCTAAAGGAACCCCAGTGGCGGCATAATCCGGCAACGGCACGCAAGAAGGAACAGTGCGACGCGGCGATATAGGCCACGGACGAAGGGGGCCGGTGAACTTGTAGGAGATGAATGCGCTGCAGAGAGGTCGAGCAGGCACAAACCGAAAGGAAGCCTCGGATTCCCCCCTTTCACCGAGCTCCTTTACGCCAGGTTCAGTCTTTCGAATCCTTACCGTAAGTGTGGGTCCCTTTTCCACGGAATTTGGTCGTGTGGATCGTAATTACTTGGACTGAGATGACTGAGGTTGCCTTCTTTATCCCTCTCTCTTTCAGCGAGCAGCAGCCTCATCACCTCATGAATTCTTTTGTGGCTCGACCAGTTCGCTTTGAAACACTCTTGGGAGCAAAAGACATTAGGCGAAATATTGAGATCTACACATTTTGGGCAGCTCAAAAAACGCGATCCTTCACCAGCAGATACGCCGCAACCCTGACATCTTTGAGCGGCTGCGCATGCCGCTGAACAGACCTCAGTTGAAGAGGCGCCGGAGGCCCCAGAGGAGGAGGAAGAGGCCTCTTGGGTGGAGGGCGATGGCGCAGACTGCATCTTGGTAAGCAGGATACGAATCGAATAAGATTGAGAGGTAAGGTGCCGTCTAGGGGCCCTGACTAAGGCGCCCAGTGGGACCTCTGGGGTCCGTTGGCGCTCGCAGTATTGATGAGCCAAGTCAAGACTGCGTGGAAAGGCGTTCGCTACAGATTTCGTGGCCTTCAGAAATGGGAAACCCGCGCGCGCAAATGCCAGCAGGCGACGATGAAAAAGAAGGCAGAGGGTTGAACCTTTATTATAAGTACAGCTAGAGCTTTTTTTTGCATCATATGAACCCGTAATGAGAATGTGGGAAAGGTTGAATTCAAAGACAGACGTTGAGAAAACGCCTCTTTCCTCTTTAGCAGTCCTGGCATCGCGCGGGTTCCAGGTTGAGGGCCCACGACTCTCAGGGCCCCTCCTCTTCTACCTTGGATATTCTATGCACTTTTCTTCATGGGCTTCTCTTGATATGCATTTTCAATCCTTTTATATTGAATTCGACGCAGAAGAGGCCTTTTTTGCTGCTGCTGCACCAGGCAGATTGTAGTTGGACCACGGCTCCTGCCCCACACTCGTTAACCCCCTTTTCGCTTTCAGCGCTTCTCAGTTTTTTTCTTGTATTAAACCTTGTAAGTACTGCAGAGAGCCTTGACCTTCATAACGCGCGTCGCTTGATGTTTTGCCATTACTTTTACTTTTAACGAAGCATCACGCACAGAATCCAGGCACAGGGGCAACGGGCTGTACCGATCCAGGAAGATCCCTGATTGCGTAGCAGCTTACTTGCAATAAAGAAGAAAACGAGGCAGCAGCAACAAAGAGCGAAGGCGTAAACAGGCAGTGCAAGAAGGCTTTCTTCCTTGCATTTTCCTGGGCCAGCTGGCGCCCTCGCCTTTCTGCACGCTGCGTGCTCACGGGCAATACCGGTGCCGATCCGCTTCGCCCTTCGCACATTTCGTGTGATTCCTGCACGACCACTCGCGCGGGCCAGGCTTTTAATTCCAACCGCGAGAATGGTGGCGACGGAGAGAACCCGCAAACGGCGCGAGCCCTCCGCAAATGCCGTTATGGACGCGCCTGCAGACATGGAGGAGGCCCTCCGAACAACCGCCAAAGGGAACAAGGAGGACGAAAAACGAAAGTCCACTGCAACCAAGTGCATCAAGGCAGACGGAAATCAAGACCCAGAAGAAGGAGGAAATGAGGAATTCGCGCGAGGACAGTTTGACCGCTTTCCTATCTGCAAGGTCACCCTAGATCAACTGAAGACTCTCGGCTTCCAACGCCTTCTCCCCGTGCAATTCCTCTCCTTTCATTTGGTCCATCAAGGTCCGTGTCAGCTCCAAAACATCCGCCTCTGGGCGCCCCTAGCAGTTCGGTACACAGTCTTGAGGTTCCTTGTATCCCACTTGGAAGCCCTGCACGTCTATGGGGAAACACCCTCTACCTCTATCGCCTTCTGTGTGTGCAAGGCTCCTGAGCTGCGCTTTTCTTGCTCTTTGCGGCTTTTTCTGCCGGCTCGCTCCCAAAGCACCCACTCCTAGCCTCTTCGCCAATAATGCGATCGATCACGCCCGCCTCTTAGGCTTTCGGCTGCATGAGGCCGTAACCCCCCTTTTCAATGTTCGCCGTGTTGCGTGTTGCTTTCCTCTACAGGCAAAGACGTTGTATGCAAGGCTCGTACAGGCACTGGCAAGACGTTGGCCTTTGCTCTCCCCCTGATTGAACGCTTCTTTTCTAATTTGGCGAAGGACTCTTTCAAGCCGAAGCCGCCCTTACGGGGGCTTGTCAAGAAGCAGCCCGGAACGCCGGAGCTCAAGGTCCGTCAAGAAAGCGAACTTACACTGACAGAGAGTTTTACTGATATACATTAACAAGTGGAGACTCTAAACTGGCTCCCCAAAACCGTCCAGAGATACAGTCCTCCTGGGGATCCCCTCGCTGGTCTTTTTTCATCGTGTTTTATGCGCCAACCTAAAACCGTAAGCCTGGACGTTAAACGCAACATACTGCGAAAAACTACGTCTGTGCGTTCTGTGTTCAGGTGGTAGCCGTTCTGCCCACCCGCGAGCTGGCGCAACAGGTGCACGCGGATTTCCAGCGCTTAGCGGTTGGGCGTTTTTCTTCGATTTGCATCTTTGGGGGTGCCCCCGAGGGTCCTCAGATAACTTCGATTCGGTCGGGTTGCAACGTGCTGGTGGCCACACCGGGGAGGCTTTTGGACTTCCTTGGCAGAGGCATTCTGACGTTGGAGGGCACGGAGGCGGTTGTCTTGGACGAAGCAGATAAGCTCTTGGAAATGGGATTCAGGGAAGATATTGAGCAGCTACTTAAGCTCTTGGGAGAACAGAAAAAAGGGAAGGACGGCGACAGCAAGCGAGGCACGGCGGTAGACGAGAGCGAAGACGATCGCAAGAAAGGCAGTCACCAATTGTTGCTGTTTACTGCCACCTTTCCCAAGTGGGCTAAGGGTATTGCCGAGGCTTTCATGAGGCACGATCGAGCCTTTGTAGACGGGACTGCCTATCAGCAGCAACAGGAAGGAAAGGAATCTGGCGTGACTAAGCATATGCCCGGAGGTTCGGGTTCAGGATCAGGTCTTATTAGGCACCTGGCCCTGCAGTGTCACTGGAAGGGTCGTGTGGACGCCTTGCCTCTGCTTCTATCCCTTTACTGCCAAGATGAGGCGTCTTCTGCTGGCGCTGGAGAAGGGGCCGGTAACGCGCCGGCAGGGCCGCAGGGGGTGGCGGCACCCGTTTCTTCGTTGTGTGCCATCTTCTGCGAGACAAAGCAGGAAGTCAATGAAGTCGCTCTGAATTCGTGCATCAGCGGTTCTGCTTGTGCGCTGCATGGTGACATTCCACAGCAACAGCGCGAAGCGACGCTGAAATCGTTCAGACAGGGCAAATTTAAATGTCTTGTTGCCACAGATGTCGCCGCCCGAGGCCTCGACATCGCAGGTATTCGTCTGGTGGTACAGATGAGTCCACCGAAGGATATCGACACGTATGTGCACCGTGCGGGCCGGACGGGGAGAGCTGGCAGAAGAGGAACGGCGCTGCTCTTCTACGGCAAGGGCGATACAGACTTTCTTGCCCAGATCGAGATAGAGGGTGCCTTTCAGTTCATGCGCGTCGGATTTCCGCAAGGAGAAGCGCTGAAGAGGCAGCGCTTCCTAGCCACCGCCCAATCTCTTTTCCCCTCACTCAAAGTCGGATCTCTTTCTGGAGAAGGAGAGAGAATGGGGGAGGAGGAATTGTTGCAGAAGCTTTCTAAAAAGGTCTTGAAGAAAACCGCACCCGAGGACGCCATCGCTCAACTGTTGGGAAGGCTCCTACAGGATGAAGCTGCAGCGGGGGCGGCCACCACACCCCAGGTGTCCCCTTTAACGGGCCGCCAAGAATTTGTGTCTTTTCACCTCGTCTTCGATCCCGCTCCGTCGCCGCCTCTTCAAGGTTCTTGCGCGTACGTCTGGCGTGCCTTGAAGAACCGCTTCACGGAAGAAAAAGCGACCTCTCTGATAGAGAAGATCGAGTACATGACGCTTACCGCCGATGGATGTGGGGCTGTCTTCGATCTCCCAGCAGCAGAAGAGGAGCTATGGGAAGCCCTTGTCCTAAGGCCTCTGCCCACCATGCTCGACAGCAGAGGAAGGAAAGCAGGTTTCACTATCAAGAGTATGATTGAACTTCCGCCACTGCAAGACGGCCTCTACCTTGCGCGGCAAAGCGCGGCACAACAGTCACAAGGAGGTGCCCGAGCTACGCAAGCAGCACGCTATAATCCGAACCACGTATCTAGCCGTAGGGGGGGCAGGGGTGGAGCGCCTGGAGGCAATCGGTTCGACAGGCCTGGCACTCACGGGGGCAGGCCAAGTACCCATGCAAGAGGAGGATTGAGAGCACCGGGCCATAGGGGGACAAACATGAGCAGGGGTGGAGGAAGGTTGGGCGGACACGGACCTGCCAAACGGCAGCGTGTCGTATAGGGCAGACGGGTGATAGAAACCGATGATGAAACTTGGCGAGATAGCTCAAACATCTGTGTGGCACTATTTTCACTTCCCACCATTCCGTTGCTGGGTCCCTTTCTAAGTCCGTGACGTGTCTTGTCGCCATTTCTTTTTGTTTTGCCTGCTTCCCCCTCCATGCAATTCGTTTACTTTTCTGTATCGCATGTTTCTGCAAAGGAGGCAGGTTTTCAATCTCTGTATCTTTTCAGAAGAAGCAGAGAGGAGGGACATAGGGGCTGGCATAGGTCAGCACCTGGAAGACAGGAGAGGGAAACGGGGGAGGGCGTGTGCCGCCTCGCCTTCGCTTTTTTCTCAGTCTTCTCTGGTCTCACGCCGGTTTGGCGTTGCTTTGATTTTCGGTGAAACCTTTGGTGGGGGCTTTGTAATGGATTGTGAGCCCCTTGGATGCTGCCATCCGCATCTATTCTTTCTTTTCTCTGTTTTCCTCGCATTGTACATGCACTACGCACTACATAGGTTTTTTCTTTGCCTCTATCTCCAAAAGCCCTAGGGTGTTCGCAGTTATCTGTGATGCCCACGCTGTACATCATAGCCAGCTACCCCCATCAATAGTTCCGTTATGTCAAGAGCCGGCGAGGAGCTTGCACTACTGGTTCGATAGCCATTTGGGTATGCACTTGGAAAGGAAAAAGTGAGAAACCGGAAGTACGGAAATATCAAAGCAACTTAAATGACATGGGCTTTTGCAGGGTTATTCTTTATGATAGCGGACTGTGCAAAGGCTTCGCCTAGAGCAAAATGTGGCAAGTTACCCGAGCACGTGCCTGCAACTCCTTGGCGGTTTGCTTGCTGCTATCGGCTTTAAAGGATTTTTGCCTTGCTGGACGGCCGATATCCAATTTTCTGGGCACGGAAAGGCAGACATATATCAGATAGCTCAAGTCCTACATCGCAACGTGTAATGAATACTGTCAAGGAGTAACAGTGCACCTGTAATTCACGCAGGTGTAGCTGCGGGGTCACCCGAGGGGCGTAATGAACAATCTGCAGTCTCATCTGTCTGTCGCTGTTATCTACGGAGAGCGCCGTGCTACTGTGTCGCCACCGGATTGAAGTATTTCAACGCTATTCTCTAAACGCTGTAAAGGCTAAGCATGAGTATCCACGACTAGAAAACCTTGGGACCGAGGTGGGGGAGTGAATGCATTTTAAAATCTGCAGGCGAAATTAGAAGAACTCTGTTTTTAAGGAAGTACCAAAGTTCTTGGATAGTAAAATCACATTTTGCACAGTGCTTAGATCAACTGCATCCGTCAGACGGGTTTTTCTTCCACGCCTAAACTAGACTTCCAGGATAATGCTTCGTCACTGTCTGGCTTACTGTGCAGTAGGAATTGCTTAAAGGAGTCGTGATAGATACAACAAGAGCTATGGGGCACAAATAAACATGGATTTTCCTATGTGCCACGTCATTTTGCGTTCAACAACTTCGTCCTGCCAACAGCTGTGTGGTTTGTGAACAACGTAGACCTTTTCCAGGTTTGCACATTAAAAGAATGTCACTAAGATGCAATATTCTACAGCAGGATTAACGAAGAAATTTCACGTGTAAGCGGCATTCTTGTCCGTTTAATCTGCTGGAGAAACCATGTTGAGTTTCGCATCGAGCTGCCGCAGTCGGAAATCGCATTCCCCCTGACACTTCAGCTGCGGAACGGCGCATTTTCCACTCAATTGGAGATCATTTTTTGCCATTCTATATGATTTAGTAAAGCTAATTAGCCGTCTGGAATCAGAGTTCGAAAAACTCTTTCCTTTTGCCTCTTTCCTTTTGTCTAGACCTTGAAATTCAGCACCGCGTCCACTACAGCATACCTGCCTGCTGACTAGTAGTTGGTCTTCTACTGCTTATTCGAGATTTACAAAAACCCTATTCACTAAAATGAAAATAACAGTAGAAGCAACAGATATAAGGGATGACAAAAAGTACTACGCCACTGTCGAGTCATGGGAAACACTCGAGACTGTCCGGTCCATTGTAAGGCTCCCCAAACCTCGATTTTTCGCCTCCTTTTGGGTGCACCCCTATTTGCTGTGATTCCTGTTATAACACAAGGCTTTGGACGCAGGTATGATGGACATGATGATGCAATGCTTTCGTGTAGCCGTCTTACTCCGGTATTCTCGAGTACGTAACGCGTTGCTGTTCTCAGCTTCAAGAAAAGGTTCCAAATGCAACAACAACAAACCAGCAGTTTTACGTTCAAGATGAATTCATCAATCCAACCATCCCCGCCGATCAACTACGGAAGAAATCGAGGGCAGCGGGCATGCTGGACGATAACGGTGCGAACTTTCCAACCCAAGACTCCGTGAAGAGCTGGCGCAGAATATTGGCATACACACCCTACATTACTCTATGAAACCATCGAGCCATATATCCCTTGAGCTAGGACGTAACCTGAGAGCGAAAAACACGCCCATCCTTGTATATCTTACCAGCTGCAAGTCCGCATCACCAAAAACTCCACCGAAAACCGTATCTCCAGACAACTACGGGTTCAACGGCCTTGGTGAAGCATATGCGGCCGTGGCTGTGTTTGACGCTCTCTGCTTTACAAGTTTCTTTGGTGCCGGTACACCGATTCTGGTGTTGTTGTTCACTGCGTACGTTCAGAAGATGAAGGAGAACCCAAACTCGCCCGTTGTTTTCTGTATATCAGCCCTACCCCGCTTGACTTCGGTAACATGATGCTAGACGGTAAATGGCAGAAACACCAAGAGGAAAATTACCAGAAGGGGGAGGCTACACTAATTTAGACCATCAATTCCTTGTATGACCTCTACAGGAAAGGGACCTTTTTCTGTGCTTTCGGTCCCACGGTGCCACCTGCTGCCTTCACCCAGTATGTATATTGGTTTTGTTTTCTTTGTGGTGCCTCCATGCAATGCCGCATCATGAGTTCCACATACTTCCTTCTGCACACCGCTTTCTTTGTGTTGCCCTCTCCGCCCATGATGCGTAACGGCGTGCTGCTTTGCATTTGAGGCATGTCTGTGTGTTCGCCCCAGATCTCATCCAAAAATTGAGGGGCAAGAGGAAAGGAGAAGTCAAACAAATTATTTTTCGTATGCAAGTGGCAGGGAGTGAGAACAAATTTTGCATCAACGTCGACTCGGCTTCAGTCACGGTTAGTCCAGTAACTGATTCAAAGTTGTAGGTTGTGTTTTGGCCCCGGTGATATCGACCGTAATGCCATAGCTACATGACTTGGAGTTCAGATTTCGCGGGAATGGTTTACTACGCTACATAATTAGGTGAATGACTTCAAGGCGAGTTTGTTGAAAACGCTGGGGCCGCCTTCGATAACGGGGTTTACGCAAGACAATATCCTGCTCTACGAAAGGGAAAGACAACAAGGAAGGCCGCTACAAGTGAGCAGATCCACGCCCTCAAATCTAGAAACCGCATAAGGGCAGAGCATTGTCTCCAGTGAAGGAGTTTCGCCAGCCTAACCGGCTTGCTCGTAAATACCGCAATGCAGGGAGTTGCGCATCAGCATGTATTATATTAAGCCATGCGCATCTTCGTTCGTACTAATATATGGAGCATACATCTCTTTACGCATACATAGGTGGGATTTGGGGTGTGTTGGATGTGTGTTCACAATACCTAAATGTGCCGATACACGTAGAAATATCGCCGTGTATGAAATAGATCAATGGCAAGGGAGTAGATTCGCTTAGGGACGCACCGATAAAAGCCTGTTTGAATGTATTGCCATACATTTCTAAGCATACGGACGTCCGCTTTATATACATGGAAGTTGATTTCCTTCTTCTGAACGCGTGTCACGTAATCAGGCTGCAGTCAGTGCCCACGGGAGCGCTCAGCATGCAGGTTTTCAAATATCCTACAATGGGCTTGATACTCTTCAGTATCTGTCTCTGCTGAGCTTTTCTTCAGGGAAAAGAGATCCAGCCTCTTTTTGGGACAAGAATAAAAATCGACATCGATGGGTATTTGATGCACGAACCTGTAATCCTGCGCATCGCTGTCAAGAAGTGTGAGCCATCAGAAGAGGGAGTCACGGAGTCGCCAAGAGGGCAGCGTGCAGTTTCCAGTGCCGAGATGCTAGCCGCGCGATTGCGTTAGACCACACTGAGTCGTTCAAATTGGACGGCTGCCATGCAGGCTGCCCCAAAACAGGGGGTACCTAGCTGCTCGGTTATGTGTATGGCCGCTCTTTTTCTTTTTGGTGACTGTTGGGGTGCAGGCATGGGGTTGGCAACGATAGAGAAGTACGACATATCGATGCTCGATCACCTGGTCGTGGCAGATTTGAAGGGTCGTGTGTGCAGCGCTATGAAAAGCTCTTCCAACGCGGCGGTCGCGCAAGCCCCCGTGAATCCCCACAATATTCGCCTCAAAATAAACGTGAGAGGGGGCTCTGTTTTTGTCGGCAGGCCTTTCGCTTGCACTGACGCAAGTATCGTGAATTGGCCCCCTGTTTCATTCTGCTGCTCTTCTCAGCAATATGCTTGACGAGCGCAGGTGTGCGTACACCCCCGCTTCCTCTACAGCGTGTTGTTCGTAAGACGAACATGTTTAGTGCGGTCTTGTGGGACTTGTGAACTGCCTCAGGGCTATTCCGTGTACAAGAATGGTGTAAAGCGCCTCGTGAAGAAATTCGGCATTCCCCCTGATGAGCTCTGGCTGAGGGCATTTAAAGTGAAGAACTACTCGCCAGTGAACGTTTATATCTAGATGTAAAATGTAGCAAGAAGAATTCATTGCATAAACAGAGCTGAGGCACGGTGAGCAGTCCACTGTCTGCCGTATTTCTGCCCTTTCTGCTCCGTCAAGACCGGACAGCACCGCAAACGCAGCTGAGATCCTCCCTCTCTCTCACACCCGTGTAACGGTATCTCATGGATAGGCTAGGTAATGCCCAGTAGTCAGAAATGCAAGAGCTGCTAAGCCATCTGGTTGGCTGGTCTAGCACCCCTGCAGTACCTAGCTAGCTAGCCCCCACCGTCCCCCCCCTTCCCGCACAGGCGCACTTGTGCCCTTTAGCCGCAGAAAAGGCCCTCGATTTGGGGCAACTACCGGCAGCAACACAATTCGAGCCCAAGGGCTCAACCCTCTGGTTTCCTTATTCGAGGCGATGAGGAGACGGAGAACACAGGCAGCCGTTAGTCATCGAGATTGCGGATCGAGACCATGGACTCGTACTGGGGAAGCATCCCAGGCACCTGAGCAAGAGCAGCCCATGAATATAATGGCCTTGTGAAACGACAAAAAGTGGCACTCTTTCACGGGAACGCGCAAAGCATGTGCTGTAGGGTGAACTGCACAACGGCGGTAATGGGATACCCTAAACTGCACAGACACGGGCAAAGAGAGCCCTAGAGAGCCGTGCTACTACGAAGCGCGCATGCAGTGCGTAGACGCAAACACTTCGCCAGTCCAGAGCCGAGTTACTTGCTAGCCAAGCGACGGCGCACAAAGGGAATAGACACATCAAGGGGGAGGAACGCAGTGTGGAGTACCTGGCCTTGTTTCTGCCTCTCCAGTTCTCGAGCTCTCGCTAGGGCCTCCTCCCTTTCCGCCTCGAAGAGCGCATCATTGTCACCAGCGAATTCCTAAGCAGCACACCTCACAAGACGACAGACACGCACAGCCGCTTTTGCGTGGATCTGGCATCTGGCGCAAAGCCTTTACCTTGCACCAAAGCCCTTGGCAGTACGGCTGGTGCACCGCCCCTACTGCCTCAATTACCTTCAAGGAAATAAGGAAGTCACGCATGTGCTGCTGAAAGCGTGCGGGGTTCGCGTCTCTGCAGAAGTTGAATAGGTCAACGACGAAGGCCTCTACTTGCTTCTGGTTTACGGTCTGGAAGCTCCTCCCGAGGAGGTCGATCAGGCTCTTCCTGCATGCCACATACAGGCAGCAGCGGCAGTAAAGTCCAGGCCACAATCGGGGAAGGAGGGGAAATGGAGGGGAGGAGGAAGGGGGAACGGCAGCAAAAATGCTGCAGCGGCTACTGCCGCCTCAAGAGTCATGAGCATCGAACATGTCCCAACACACAGCTTTGTGCGTGGAGGCGCCAAGCGCCGTTGCACAAAAGCACGAAAAGGGGAATACAGCCATCCGGAGGGTCCATAGATGTAAAAGTCAACAAATCAGGCACTGTGATTTAAAATGAGCTTTTCCCAAGCAGCCACCGCTGTACTGCTTCGCGGAGGTGCGAGAGCACACAGTCTCTTCATCCCCTTGCCTACGGGTACAGCTGCGCATGCGCCTACTACTGCCGCAGGCCTCGCTTGCTTTCCACACAGCTCTCGCCTGCTGTTCACAAGCGACAGTGTGGCCAGAACGGCGGTGCTTACGTGACGTTGTCTTGCGTCAAGCCATTTGCCTCGTCGTGCACCAAATCAAAAGCGACAATGCGGAGCAGCGTCATGAATATGAGGGTCTGGTATCTGAACCCTGAGCGGTGCAGCCGGTCCGTCAGGACCATCAGGATTTCCTTCATCAGGCTGAAGTAGTAGGTGCTGCAAAAGTCATTCAGCACCTGAGCAGACCAAACGCATTCCAAAGGCACACGGGCGAAAGGGTGTGGGAGGCCTGAAGGGTCGGTCTTCAGCGCAGAGCGGTGGAAAACGCATCCGCGAAGGCTCAATATTCGCACGAAGGTGGAGAGGAACGAAGCTGGCTGAAGCGGAGGGCAGCATCTAGGCCGCTCAGGCAGCCGTTCGTGTGTCTACACCACGCATTCCTCTGCCCTCAGCAAAGCACACTGCACGCCAGAGTAAGGGCAAACGAAAGAGGACTTGCCTCCCTCTTGCCATCTATCAGCTTCTGCAAAAACTCGTACGTCACTTGCAGCCCCTCCTCCGCGAGACAAGGATGCTCGTGCTTAAAGGCCCAAACTAAAACCACAAACCAAGGCGCAGCACGCCAATAACGAGTTCCTTGAAATTTTTAAAAGGCTTGGCATATAAGCGGCTGGATGGCGGAAAGAAACACGCAAAAGGGGTCATCCACACTGCACGAGGAAGTGCGTGCAGACGAGAACGAAGACAATGGTGGGGGAACGACTGAGGGATGCTTAGAGAGGTGTGAGTAGAGAAGACACAAAGAGAGACAGAGACACAGATAGAGAGACAGAGACACAGATAGAGAGACAGAGACACAGATAGAGAGACAGACAGAATAAGTTTAAGAGAGGGGGAGACAAACATCGAAACAGACAGACATGCACATGCATACATTATGGGCTCGTAACAGCGAGCCGCATGCGTAGAACAGAGAAGGCGATGCAGACGAAAGCGTCCCCGACTAACCTAAGGATTCTACATAGGCTTTGAGCTGAGAAGAGGGGAGCGCAAACAGGCCATCAAAGCAGTGTTGGTTCGACGCCTTCAAGAGTGCGTAAAAACGTTCCCGATGATCAGGATAGCTGAACAAATCGAGCACAGCACCGATACACACGCATACACCCGAAACTTCTACACTGAGGCTTTCAGTCTATGTGCCCTGCAATCTGAAGCCAACAGACCCTAAGGCCTGAACCGCAGACCGTCACAAGCGCACCTCTGGAAATCGGATTTTATCATTTGCAACGTCGAGTCAAAGATATACTCGAATATTACAGGTAGGACCTGCACACAGAGACGCCGATCTGTGTTCCTGTAATGAACCCCCCTGGATGATTTCAGCTCCTAAAGACGACATGAGAGCCAAGATTTCTCTACACTTTCGACGCTGCGAGGCTTCAGCAACCCCGCCTCTAGTCCTCTGCCCTACCGAGGAAATGTGAGTATCCAGTCTGGACATGAGAACGGCTAGAAGGGTCAGCACTTCGCAGTCTCTCGTGTCGGGTGTATTGTCTCTGCAGTTCAAAAGGGCAAATCCGCAGCCGCTGCTGCTGCTCAAAGTGACTCCGACAGGTATGGGTGTATTGCGCCGCGTGTCGCTCTGGCGGGATGTCTGAGGGAGGCTTTAACACAAATTACCCCCGTGCCCTTATCCCCGAAAAGCGGGCCGCTTCCGGTGGAGGTGTCTCCTCCTACCTGTAATCTTGAAGAATCGGCTGAAGAACCTGCCCGACCATCTCCTTGACGATTTCTTTCCTGCCCTGAGAACCTCCGTCTTGCGCTGCCTTGTCCACATAAATCTCGAGGAGGTGCAGCGTCTCCCTCTTGAAAACATGGAGGCACTTTAAATCGGCATGCTTGATTCTGGACGGCCCGCTTCGCTGAACCTCCTGGAGGATGCGCTGTCCATACATTCCGTACAACTGCATCATTTCGGGGTATAAGCGCATGAGCTGAGGCGTGAAGGCGGTACCAGTCGACCTGAGAAGGCGACAGGCACAGAGAGAGAGGCCAAGAAAGGCCGCCATCAAAATGAGAAAAGTGCAACACCGACTGTCTGTACGCGCGACGCGAAAGACGCACACAGGGGAGCCTCTCCAGCGAAGGGGAGGGTTCTGCTATGTGCGAACAAAGCAACTGCGTGAACAAGGCGGGGGGATATCGAGAGACGCAAAGAGAAAGAGAGAGCTAGCTATCTAGCTAGCTAGCTTGCTGTGTCTCTCGGTCTGTCGGGCTTCACACTCAGCTGCTCTGAACAAAAGGCCTTTGGCTCTACTAGCCTTCCGCTCACTTCGCAACTCTTTGATTGATCCTCAGAATATGCACAAGTCGCCTCGCTGCCGTCGGGTCGAAGAGAGCTTCTGCAAAGGACTGTGCTGCCTGTACAGTCTGACTCCAAACTCGCGAGCAGTTCGCCATCAAACCGCTGATGCATTCGCTCTTGGCAGAATCGGCTAAGGCGCAAGCCACGCAACGCACCACACGCCATCAGCCGCAACGATCAGCCTCCAAAGCGAACGGGAAGAGGACCGCACCGAGAACGCATGCACGAGTTTGAGAGACTCAAACATATACATATATACACATACACACATATGGATGCATGCACCTACAAGAACAAAACTGAAATGTAGTGCGTCTGTCTGTCTCTCTCTCTCTGTCTGTCAAGGTTTTGGACGCAACAGAGGCTTCGGGAGAGCTTACGGGTAGCAGAAATTATGTGCCCCACAGCCTCAAAAAAGAGGAGCTGCTGCTTTTCATCCAGCGCATCGGTCTGTTGTGTGTGTCCCTCAATAACGCTAATCACAAAGCTTCGCTGATCCTCTAAAACCCCAACACACATGCACATGTATAGCCACACCATGCACCGCCCTAAGACCACCCCACACTCCAGTAGCACACTACACGCCTCCTAGCCTCAGCAAATCGCCAAAATAATGCTTTACACCGAAAAGAAACAGCTCTGTTTTACCTGGGTGAGTGGCCGCAATAGTGTTCTTGCACTTTTGCGCGACTTTCAGGAATGTTTCACAAGCCATGTCTTGGACCCCCGGAAACGTCTCGTGCATAAACTCAAAAAGCTTGGCGATAACTGTCTTGAGGAACTTCCAATGAGCCTTTAAAAAGCGCGGATATTGGCCGACAACGTACATGATGTTGCTCGCAACAATCTAGAAGCAGACAAGCCCACACCGCAAACACCAAAATATTTCTTTCGACGATATGCGCGCGTTCCTCGGAAGCATTCATGGCCACTCCCTTGATAGAGGGCACCGCCCTCTAGCTAGAGAGTCAGATATGCAAACCCCTCACAGAGTGTGGGCACTGCAGTCTCAAGCTATTCGTCAGACTGTCCGTTAAGAATCTCAGCTGCCCCAACAACCCATGACGACTACAGTCCTGTCGAACGCCCCAGAGCTTCAATATGTATGCAAAAAACCATAGGGGGCAGCACGTTCCGCCAGCCTCACATCACGAGCATGCAGATTGAGACGCACACGTGCACCCCCTCCCTATCTACTACGCTGCTCCTCCCTCCCCCCGCGTGGTGCTGCGCATTTGAAACCCTGCGTGAAACTTACGGCCTTGTTTCCCTTCCCCCGCATCGATTCGCAGAGATTAAGCAGGCTGCGAATGACTTCCACGATGAAGGGCCTCTCGATCGTTTCGCTCATAGCCCCACTAATAGATCCGATGCTATAACAGAGCCTGTTAAGAGACGTGGAGTTCCAACAGTCTCCCTGCACCGGCGCCTGCAAGCACTGCACATGGACGCCACCACACCCGAACCCAAAGCGCAAACAAACATCTCTATGCGCATCTTTTGTAAGGGCCCTTGCTAGCTAGCTCCCGCTACCTAACACGATAGTATGGCTGGCTGGCCCCTGGCGACGCTTAGGAGGACTCTCAGCAAGAAGCAAAAGGGATCTAACCTCGGCATTCAGAATTGTCAGCATGATTCGCTGCATATCAACTTGTCCCAAGTTCGTCAAAAGCACTTGGGTGCACCTCATGGTGTTGTACAAAGACACCTCAGCTGCGCCCCGGCAGCAACAGGAAAGCGCACATCATAAAAACCACAGCGAAAAACAAAGGTGTATTTGGATGTGCGCGCAGCCAGTGTGTTATCACGGGGTCCACATTCCCTATGAGAATGTATCCGCTTCGCTTTGTTTTTGTTTCTGCTACGCATGTGCATCTATAGGTGTTTTTTTCTCTGCCTCTGTTTCTGTTTCTGCCAATGGGTGTATCTTCGCTCGCAGACCCATTGTTCTGCAGTGCCCCACCAATAGATGGATGCAACCGTTCACCCTGTGCTGCCTGTGCCTTTCTCGCCTGGAAAGCGCGCTCACCCGTGTCCACCTCATAGTCTCTCGTCACTTCACCAGTCTCCTGATCAAACTGAATATAAATCTCTTGAGGCTTCGCCATCCTCCGAATAAGCACAGCCCTGACTTCGTTCAATATCCCCTCGTAGTGGCGCACGCGCCATGACAACTCCGCGGGGGTCAGTCCTCCCGGGCTCACCGGCAACCCTAAAAAAACGAACAAAAAAGTGCAAAAAGAAGCATTAAACACCCAAGCGATGCATCATTGCTCGCCTGCAGACGTCAGGTGGTATCAGACGCGAGAAGCAGACCGCCTGCACAACTTATAACAGAGCTTGCAGGTTGAGAAGGGAGGCTCACCTTCACTGCCGGTGCCAAGAAGAAGAGGCGCGTCGGTGCTTCTGGCCTGTGCATTGTTCTGCAAGCACACACTTGCCTTCAGATCCAGGAAATGTATATCACACACGCACACACACGCAAGCCGTAGCCGTACAGTTTCTCCCGCATTTAGGGGCCTCGCCTCAGGGTGTCTGCCACACCTTTGCCTGCTGATTCGCCTCGTGGAGGAGTTTTTCGGCGAACGAAAACCAAAAGTCCAAGCAAATCTGAAAGGTCTCCTCGTGACTTATGTTGCTCATTTCCACCAAGAGCTGCAGAGTAGACACGCAGCTGTTCCTGTTCGTCTCCTTGTCCAAGGGCTCCACGACAGTCTCGCGATGATTTCGTAAGAAGGCTGCACGCCGACACCCAGCGCAACCACCGCAACGAAACACACTGAGACAGCTGAGACGGCCATGAGACGAAAAGACGCCTCTTTGCACCCCCCACCACGTGCTGTCTCTTCCCAGAGCATTTCCTTGCGACCCTTTGAAGCCTCATGCCTTACGCCCCTGCCCCTCCCTTTTTTGTTGCCTCTGGTGTCAGTGCCCTTCAAGAAAACTGCCGTCCCCCCAAGCCTAAGAATTTCGGGAGGACACAGCGCTTCACCACTCTTCTGACCTGTAAGGCAGAGGGCTAGCTGGCAATAAGTCGTCTCCCAGAAAAGCCGCATTTGCGGCGGCACTTTCGCAGAGTCTTCGTATTGCAGCGTCTGCCTTGGTAAACAGACAGCCCTCGCGGTCAGCTCAACCCAAAGGGCAGCTAGACGATGCTTAAACGCCGCGGCCTCCTCCGGAGACAGTTGAAGCGAAGCCATTTCAGTAACGCAGCGGATACACTCCGGGCGATACTGAACGGGTTCCCAGAAGTTCTGGAGGAGGGTTTCTACCAAATCCGTTTCAAAGAGAAATCCCAAAGGAACCCACTTGAGGAAGTGGGACAGACATTTCAGCGTTTGCTGGACCAAGGATTCACGCATACCCGAGGGAGAGGCGATGTAGCTCCTCAGGACAAACATGCATGTGTCATAAACCTCCTGAAACTGAGCTGTCAGTTGATCCATGAGTTTGTCGACTCGCTTAGAGACCATTTCATTGCGACCAAAGTCAAAAACCTCTTCAGATAACATATTCAACAGTCGCATGTTGTTCTCGCACAGAGACTGACTTGAACGGGATGACTGGCACACCTCCGTTATGAATGTCGGCCAGCGTTCAGGCCACTCTCTCTTCACAATCTGCGTATACACCCCAAAATGCATGAAGAATAGAGCGTGAAAACGCGTTTTACTCATGGCGTGCATACAGCGCCCAACAACCCCCATATCCTACGTGGCACACACCCCACCGCTTGCGAAACGCCTTCATCAAACCCAAAACAACAAAACGCAGGCCATACCTGAATAAGGTTTTCGTTCACCTTGTTGATAAAATGTTTTTCTGTATGATACTGCTGCGCATCACTAGCCAACTGAATTGCTAGCGATGTCACGAACGCCTTTATACCGTTCCTCTCTGACTCTGGCAGAATGTTCCATCGAGTCTGCAACAGCGCGCGCCCAATCCCAGCACTCCGACGGCAGCCGAAAGGTAATAATCCTTGCTGCTGTTATGCAGTCTGCTGACCAGACAGAGCCTGGACTCTGTGACACGTGGTGTATACACTAAATCTACGATACACAGGGCTTCTTTGAGATACATAACAATATAGGGCATAGAGCACAGCCAAGATGCTCAAAGTCTTACTGTAATCGCAGATTCGAGAATTTGTAGAGCGAAAAATTTGGTATTTGCATCCTGAGAGACGTTCAGAATGACCGCTACGTGCGTCCACGCATTGGGGAGATTCTTGAATTCACCCAAAACGCGATGAGCCACATCCCTCTGCAGAGGCACCACAAAGCGAGAACTCTGGGGCGTGAGGCGTGAAGGACTGGGCATAAGAGACCTCTCGGAGGAGAAACATCACCAGGTAATAGGAGGACAGTGCAAAAGCGAGTAAGATCACGGAGGGCGAAGTGTGCAGCAAGCTGGAAAAGGGGAGAAGACACTAGAGGTGGCAGAGGAATACGGGGGTTTGGCTGACCGAGTGCTGATCTGTCGAACCGAACATGGCGGCAACAACCCTATCGAGCAGATGGACTGAAGCCTCATTGAAAGGAAGGCTACTGTCTAAGAGAGCCCGTGGATCAGAGAGGGGCTCCATTGCTGCTGTTTCTGCTGCTGCTCTGCCTACTGGTGATACGACTGCTACAGTGCGTTCTGTTGCTTGAAAGCATCTACGATGCAGCTGGACACAGATCCCACTGGTCGTATCGCCTCTCGCATGCACAGAGATGGGCGCAGAGACGATGGGGGAGGTCAGAAGCAACCCCGAAAGGCTGGGGCGGCCAAATACCACCCGCTGGAATTGTAGGCACAGTCTCAGAAGCCTCCGAGGACGTAGAAGGAGGGACTGAGAGAGGCTGCTGCACAGGCGGTGAATCACAGTTGAGGAAATGGGGCTTTACAACTTGGCAGACACACTGTACCTTGAGCACAGAGCCGAAGGGCCCCTAGAAAACTACAGCGTGAGGAGAGGTATACCAGAAAGAGAAGAGGGCTTGGTCGAGGTGTCTGAACACCTCAGCGCCTTCGAGGGATATTCAGGAAGAGCCCGTGTGCAAAGAACTCCAGAGGCTAGGTACTAGTGTCTAGTGTTTAGGGTTTAGGGTTTGCATGCCAGCCGTCGGGGCTGGCTGGGGTTGTTGGGGCCGGAGTTAATGCTCTGTGTGTGCGCCTATTAAGTCATTAGTCTTTGCAGGGTTTGAAATAATACGTTGATCTAGTTGAAGTTGATTCGCTCCTCGGAAACTAGTCTCTTGCGCAGTCGTATGAAGTATATGCGCCCCTCCCCGAAGCCCTATCCCGAAAACATTCACACCCTTAGGGCTGAGTCTGGTTTGGTGGTCTTGGAGCTCGTCGCTGTGCTTGGGGTACAGGTTCTTTATGCTGCCTCTTCTCTCTACTTTGCGATGTTTGTGTTCATATAGAGCCCTCTTAGTTATACTATTTAAGGCCACATTTTTCTGCGCCTGCGGCTAAGGCTATGCTGCAAACCCTGGACTGAGGGAAGCAGCACCCAATTTACACACCCTTCCTCATATTACTTGTCACCTCTGCTGCCTCCCAGTAAAGTACATCTCTAAAGGGTCCTCGGAGGGCTTTTCTGCGCGGTGGTTTATTTCCGAATGTTCGCGAAGCGAGGTCTCCCGACAGGCGTAAGAAAACGCCACAATGCGCAAGATACAGAAGGCGAGGCGCCCTCTGAACGGGCCGTTAGGTTCTCTGACGGGAGTGACGAGGAACACGCAAAGATTGTGAAGAAGAAAACAGGAAGCCGCCTGCCGTGCAAGCATTTCCTAATGGGTCGGGTGAGCAGATGGCGTCTGTTTAATTAGGAGGGGTTTCTGGTGTTCCCAAGGAAACGCAAATATTGAGCCCTAGGGGACTAACACCTGGATGCAGTTAAGCGTGGCTAGGATTTTTTCAAGGGGGGAAAGCGACGGTTGCTGCTGCGGTGAGCACTATAATAGATGTGTGTTGTTTGCGCTATGGGAACAAGCGAGGGGGCAGGAGGCTTGCATGTTTTGCGCCCCGACATATACAGATATAGGTACATATGAATACTCTGGATTTTATCTGGAGGGTTGAGTTGGCTTTTGATCTTGGAACGATTTGACGGCTGAACTTGATGCGCCATGTTGTTTGGGGTGTACAGACAAGCGATGATTCCGTACGAAAAATGAAAGCTACAGAGGCCCTCGCTCAGCAAAGCAATCGACAGTTGGTGCGCTTACGATCATTCCTCTGCTAGCGTATCTTGCCCATCCTTGATCCTCTCTCTTGCGCATTCGGTTGAAATGGACTCCAGCAGCAGTCGACGGTTTGTCTTTTATATGCACACACCGTGACTACTTTTTGCTGTTGGCTGGAAATCCGCGTGGTTGACGTGTATGTCAGGTGTAAGTGCTTTGGGTGTGGTGTTGGTTCGTTCCATCCGAGTGTTTATAGCCGTTGATATTCTTGAGTGTTCATCAGTTTGAGTCCTGTGGTGTTTTGTGCCTGTGTGTGTCTGTGTATGATTATGTGTGTATGTGTCTGGACGTGTGTGTGTAGCTATGTATGCATGCTCCTGTGTATGTGTATATGCATGCACGTATAAATACATGTTTTTTTGTGGATGTATCTGTGTAGGTATGTGTGTATGTGTGTGCACATGTGTGTCTGTATTTTGTGCATATGTATGCGTGCTCTGTAGAATTTGGAGGATGACGGTCGGGCGACTGCAGTTTTGGACGTGGACCCAGACAAGTCAACGGATCACCGCGCGATTTTGGAAAGAAATTTCAAGATTGGGGAGATGATAGAAAAGGGGGAGCTGGAAAGCGGCATCTACAGAGGTATGGGGGCGTACAGACACTACGTGAAGCCCAGCGAGGGAGCCCTCTCCCGGGCAAAAAGCACAGGTCTCTACGGCCCAGTCCGGGGGTCTAACAATGTGCGCTTGACGATGTATGTGGACTATAAACCGGAGATATGTAAAGACTATAAGGAAACCGGGTACTGCGGATATGGCGACTGCTGCAAGTTTCTGCACGATAGGACGGACTATAAGGAGGGATGGCAGGTCGAAAAAGAATGGGAGGAGCTGCAAAAGAAGAGATTGGTAGGGCACGCCTACGCAGGAAAAAAATAAAGAGAGGTGGTGGAAGGGGCAGACTAAGTGGGGGAAGGGGGGGCGGGGGACTAAGGGATGGCAGCATAATCGTCCTCCTTGTGGTAGGCGCCACATCGGCGGCATTTGTGCCATTCCGTGTTGTCTTCCGCTGCTTCTCTTCTTGTGATTTCAAAATATGAGCGGTGGTATACATATATATATATGTATACATGTATATGAATTTATGCCGAATGCATAGTGCGTGGCTTTTTCCTGCTGGGCTGTTAGCCCCTCGCCATATTGTATGACCCGAAAGGATACTGTGTGCGAATTTAGGAAAAGCTGCGCCGCCAAGCAGAGGGTAAGGAGGTGGAAAGTTCGTCTTCCTCGTCAAGCAGCAGCGAGGAGAGTGAAGACGAGGACGGGCTTCCTTTCGCCTGTTTGAAGTGCAGGGAGAGGTGGAGGCTTGACATGGCCCCCGTAGTAACTCGCTGTGGGCACTATTACTGTGAGAAGTGCGCTGTGGAAGAATACAAGACGACCAGCAAATGTAGTCAGTGCGGCAAAGAAACTCACGGCATTCTGAATATCGCAACCCGGATTATCGACAAATTGGAGCGTAGGCAGAAGGAAGAAGAAAACAAAGAGGCTGAGGGCGCTGAGGAGGAACAGAACGCGTCTCTTACGAAACAACTTACCGCGAAAGCAGAGAGCAGCGAGGAGGAAGAGGGGGAGGACGAGGAAGAGGAAGAGGAAGAGGAAGAGGAAGAGGCAAAGCATGGGGAGTCGTAGACGCGACTTCTAATTGCATAACAAAAAGTTCTGATTATTCCTAAAGGATTGCTCATAGCTAGCCCTCCTGCTTCTAATTTGCAAGGCCATCTCAACGGAGGGATGCGCAATCCACTGCAGCAAGAAAAAAGTGTCCACCACGTTGTATGCGTAGAGGATTTCCTGTGTAACCTGTTAAGGGCAGGGAAGCAGCTGCTTTGCCTGGCTTCTCTGCTTCTACTTTTAGCCATAAACTTTTCTGTTTTATTAAATGCATAGACGGCTAGTTGCCCGAGATCCGTATCAGCTTGTCGCGTACTCTTCCAGCGGTTACATAAATCTGGCGAGTGATAAACTCGAGCTTAAGAGCTTTGTTATTGCATTGAAGAGGACGGCCACTGAGCTAGGACACTCGGTGAAATGGCTTCCTCAGCTGGGTGCTTGCAGGAGATTTAGGCAAGCGAGTTTGCTGATGCCTTGTTACAAGAGTGTGGGTACGATAGGTAATTTGTATGCATATTCATGAATTCTACTGAGGCTTATATCAAAGTTTTCAGCTTTTGTATACTTCACTCCTTGAGCTAGATTGAGTGATCGGCGCATATGTGTTGAGGACACGTTCTCAAGTGACCTTCGCAGCAATACGCCTACTCCGCGTGTAAAACCGTAGATGTAAAACAATTTCGATATTAAATAAGGCATTGTGTCGATAGGAAATAATCTAATATGTGCGTTGGCTTTTCTCTTTTCTTGACTGTTCCCTCATACCCGTGCCTCCACATGCTGTGCATACCACTTCCAGGAGGAGTGAGAGTACTCTTCTCACATTAAGCGTTGCAAAGAGCCTGATTAAAATTGTTCTAATGATGCTATGTACCGTATGGAAAGGTGAATATGGCATTCTATGCTCTCCAGGAGGCGGTGAAATCGGGAAGGAGGGACCTGGTGCTCTACCAGCTCCTGAAAGCGCCTGCAGCAGCTAAGGAAGCTGACTGCAACGGAACAACATGTGTTATTTTGGCGGCCAAATTAAACAATGAGGCAATTCTTAGAGAACTGCTTTCACACGGCGGAGACCCTGAAGCGGCTGAAGCCTTCCAAATTGGGGCAAACACTGCATTGCACTTTGCTGCGCGAAACAAAAATGAGTGAGTGACAAAACAAATGGATACAGATTCCAGAATAAGTGCACTAATAAGCCGCAATACGGATGCAGAAGGACACTAGGGTGCACTTATATAATTTTATGCCTGCAAGCTCCTGCTCGTTCATAATGCATTTTGAACCAGATGCAATAAGACTTCCCTCCTCTCTGTCTGTTTTCCCAAAACACGTGACGCTTTAGTCATGTATACGGATGAAGTTAGCGCACATTTTTGACTCAGGGAAATGATTGCGTGCCTCTTGTCCTTCGGGGCGTCTCCCAACCGACAAAACGCAGTTGGACAAACCCCTCTACATATTGCGGCTCGGTTCGGGTGCAAAGGAGCAGTTGAACAGATGATGGCTGTGGGAGCCAATCCAGAAATTCTCGACCAGGGTGGTAAGGCTTGCGATTCTAAACCATAGAGGCGACTCTTTGTTTCTCGTAATGAATGAAAAAAAGAGGGAATTCATGGAGCTTGGAAGCATAAGAGGCAGCTAATCACGCGGACAGGATATGTTTCAAGTACTTGCATTGACTTCAAACTAGAGAGCACGTAGCAAAAATTGTATGCGTCTCTGTCCCTAGTATCAGTTGTTTTAGAAACTTTTTTGCCACCTACCTCCATCGAGCCACCTTTCTGGCTCTTTTGTATCATGATATTCGTTGATCGCACTCCATGGTGTAGTAAACTCACAACAACCCTTATTTAAAAGCATGAGCCAGGCGCCTTCACCACTTTGCATATTTCTAAAAGCTTGATGCAAAGAATTCAGAGCCTTTGCCAATCAGCTCGCAACCCTGTTTCTACCGATACAGGATTGGATGCGGCATACTGGGCAGAACACGGGAAATACAGCGACCTCGCACAATTGCTACCACCATCCAAAAGTTTGTCAAGTAAGGAATTGGCAATATTTCAGCTGCTGTGCATGGAACAACTTAACCTCACCATGAAGATGCCCCCAAAGAAAAAAGCCAAGGGAAAAGGAAAGAGGCGCTGTAAGTGGCACACAAATATGGGGATACGTTTCACATGAAGTCTAAAGTAAGTAGATCCAATTTTTTATTGCTTTCCAGCTGTTAAAGGATCCTTCTGTATTTGTTTTTCTGAAGGCCACAAAAAGGTGGAGAGCATTAACTCGTTAGTACACCTCACGCGTTTCTATCAATTGCTGCAGATATCTGCATGTTTTCTCTATAAAGTTTCATGTTCGCTTTTGTCATTTTGAGCAGAAACCACGGAGATATTCTGGAACGACGCACAAAATGCTTTTTAAAATAAGGAAAAGGCGATTGATCTCTTCCTGCGTCCTTTTTTCTTTGTTTGCCCCTTCACATGCGGCATTGGAGCTTTCAAGTTTCGGTACGGAATCTCTGAAGCAAAAAAACAGCTACAGTGTAACAGCCATGGAATCCGGAGGTGTGATTTTAGACTTTGGTGCTTCCAGCTGCTCCAGTGAGGACAAAAAGAGCTCGCTTCCGGATAAAAACTTTGGCGCGGCATGCGGCGACAGAAACTTGACCCCCGAGGTGTCATGGACCAGTCAGTGTGATTAAAGTGAAAACAATCATTGGTTATCAAATCAATCATTTAATGTTCCACCATAGGCGCCCCATATGAAACTGGTTCTTTTATCCTTACGATCACCGATGTTTCACGCGAAGATGGTGTGGTGAGTCGCGCCAGCACCAAACTCTTATGACCGTGTAGCACATGCTTCATGAATCCCGTCCAAACTCATGAATAAAACGGCTCAGCACCCTCATTTGCTTGTCTGGGACATACCAGAAAACGTCAGCAAGGTGAGTTTAACATACTTCATCGTCTTCAAAACGACTTACTCAGGAAAACAACAGCTGAGTTCCTCTATGGACTGGAGGGCCATTGGGGCCCAACTGGGAAGCACAGGTCCCTATTCTGGACCTTGCCCCACCTCACAGGAGGCTTGCATTCGCCTTTCACTCTATGCCATAGGTATAGTATTCTTGACTCACGTACAAGTGCACCATGAGGCGTGACATGAACAGCGCAGCTGACAGGAGCCTTGGGCTACCTGAAGGTGCAACGTACGAAGTGCTGCACCGAAAGCTAGAAGAAATAGCTGAAGTTAACGGTAGGTCTCTTGACTCTATGTGGCCTTTGAGATGCATGACATTCTGACGTAACCACCACCCCCCCTCCCACACAAAAAAATCTCAGGAGTGCTGGATGCCGCAGTGCTTTATGCGGTCGCCATGCCACACCAACCCGATAAACTCAGGACTGGTTCATAAGAGCCTCCTTCCATCAATGAATTGAATGACGGATTTATCATCCTTGAACTGGTGTACACACTCTCCATCGAATGATGCAGTTCACCTTGATACTGATTCAAAAATCAAACTCAGCTGATACAACGAGCTACGCAAAAAAGCAGACATACACGAAGCAAAGCGAATGAAGCCCTTCGTGTTTCTCAAAGGAATTGAGGCGCCTCGTGGCCTATGATGCTTCCCTGTTTTTCGTACATCATGAAAATCGATCAATGAGATTCTGCACGTCTGTGTGCCTAAGGAGATATGCAAAACACCTGTATTTCCAAATAAAACAGAACCATTTCCTGTCCCTCCTCTTCGCCCGCCGGCTTCTTCCTTGGTGCCAGAGAGCGTGGCACTATGCCACAGATGATGCATACGCTTTTATGTAGATGGTTTCAAGTGAAAGCATCAGATTCATTCGCGAAAGTGTTTTTCCTTGTAATAAAAAGCCATCAGCGGCTTAGCAAGCGCCAGTGTGTGCATTTGGCCCTAGGCCTTCGCATGCTGAGAGAGAGAGCCCTGGTTTGACTCCCGTCCCTGGGAAGCCGTCTGCCCCCGTGCTCTATCCATTAAACCACTATTTGTGCAATATGTTTTGTCTTGTTTCTGACCTTTCCGACATTGCTTTCCTGTCCGTTCCTTTTTATCGTCATGAGAACTCCATGCGCGGGTCGGCTCCCGTGGCGCTGCCTTTCGTTTTCCGCTGTGTAGAAGAAGCAGCAGCAGCTGCAGTGTACCTGCATTTGTGGCGGCAGCTCTGAATGAAGCATCGTGACACGAAGTACAGAAGGCAATGTCGAGACCTCACACACACAGCGCAGACATTGCCCCTGAAGACCTACCGCGGGTTAAAGGGGGCTCCTGGCTCTCTTCCGGAAATCCCGTCAGGCGCTCTAAGAGCTCCAAGTTTTCACTCCAAGGCAGCCAAGGGCCTGGCCCCCCCCGCGCTCCAAAGGGCACTGCCCTGCAATCCTCTGTGGGAGCTGAGGAACGCGTGCGCGCTCACTGCGACGGCAGCCGATCCTCGAGTCGGCAAGCCACAGCATCCGACGCTCTCCGGGCTGCTGCTTCTCTTTGGGAAACTTCCTGTGAGGAACTCTCCTTTCGCCTTTCTCAGGAGGCACTCGACTGCCTGTCCCTCCCTCTGGCCTCGGACTGGACCGTCAGTCGGGTTGTCTCCCATTGCTTGAGTTTTGCTGAATTCCTCAGGAGGGGCTTGGACGCCTCCTGCGTGGCTCCTGGCGAGCACCGCCAGCCGCTGTATGCGTCTCTTGCGCACTGGCTGCACTTCAATGCGACTCTCGCCGCGGCCCCCTCCAGTGCTCCCCCCCCCGTTCCGCGGAGCAGCGCCAGTCCCCAGCTGCAACAGAAGCCTCAAGGAATTCCAGCCTTGAAAGAGGCAGAGGCTGTTGCTCTCTGGGGTGTTGCAGCGGCTCTGGCTTCCTTGCATACCAGGAGACATGCTCGGTGGATGAACTGGCCTCCAAGGCAGCAGCCTCAGCGTCCGTGCCCGCGAGAACACAGTGCCAATCTAGAAGACTTCCCTTCTCTGTATTACTGCTCTGCCGCTGAAGCTGCTGCCTCTGCAGCGGGCAGCATAGCGATACTCCCTAGCGCTAAGGGCGTTTCGGGGAAGTCTTTCCAGTCCCCAGACGCAGCACTCGCTGGAGCTGGCGCCTTGCTGGATGCGCAGAAAGAAGTTGTGGAAATACGGACTCTCTCGCTGCTGCTGCTTCTCTACGCTGCGAGGCACCAGCAGCGGCAGCAACCCCTTTCCCTACCCGAAGACCACTGGCACGCGCCAGGCACTCATTCTCCCAGGCGAAGCAGCTGGGCAGGGGGAGCAGGGGCCCCCTCCTGCAACGAGGAGGCCACGCGTGGTGTTTCCCTGCCCCTTTCAGGCAGACAGCACTCTGGCAGCAGGTGGGCGAATAAAACCTTCTTTTCCCGCATGCGTTTGCCGTTGTGTGGCGGCGTTCATGTGCGGGATCCTGAGTCTTCAAAAAATCCCCCCTTGCTCGTGTTATTTTGCTGCTGCCGTTGCTGCCGTTGCTGTGGCAGCAGGAGTGGCCTCGTGGACTCCTCAAAGGCGCGCTCGTACCTGTTGCAGCACTTGCCGCAGCTGCTGCAGCTGCTGCGCTGCGAGGTTCGTCCTCCCGCGGGGGAGCAGCTGCCCCAGGCAGAAGGGAACGGATGTCTCGAGGCGTGGGAGGTGCAAGCTCTCGAGGCCTTTTTAGAGTAAGTGGACAGTAAACCTGATGCTGCTGCTGAGAGTTGAACCTGATGCTGCTGCTGAGGGTTAAACCTGATGCTGCTGCTGAGAGTTGAACCTGATGCTGCTGCTGAGAGTTAAACCTGATGCTGCTGCTGAGAGTTAAACCTGATGCTGCTGCTGAGAGTTAAACCTGATGCTGCTGCTGAGGGATGCTGCTGCCCTTCAGATGCATCTTTCTGGATAGTTTGTGTGGTTGTATAGACCGATTTTATAGACACTATCGCCGCGATAAAACGCACACAGCTCCTGAGGCCTCTAAACCTCCTCCAGGAGCTGTGCTTACCTCTAGGGTGTTGCTGAATAGAGGCCTCTGCGGCTGCTGCCTGAGAGCTGTTTTGCGGCTGCAGTGTCATCCCCGGGAGCCTTGCGCTTGCGCTCGCGAAGAACGCTGCCTTGCAGCTGTCTCCCCACAGTCCGCTGCCGCACGAAGCTCTTCGAGTGAGCGCAAACTAGAGAGCGACTGTGGGAATGTGGAAGGAAGCGTTCCAAAGAGCCATGCTGGCGCTCACGGCGGGGCCTTTGGGAGGCGGACGCAGCAGTTCCCGCAGAAATGCGGGAACTGCTGAAGGGGTAATGGGGGGGAGAAAAAGGAAGAAGAAGGAGGCTGTTCTTTGCGTCTTCCCTCGAAAGTGTCTGCCGATCAGCAGTCGAGGATTTTTTAAAAATGCATTTGTGGGTGTCTGTCCGCCAATGTTTGCGCAGCACTTCTTGGATTGTTCAGAATTCGCCGGGAGCGACAGCGCATCGGAACGCTCGGAGGCGCAGCAGCATGCAGTGGCGGTAGGGTGCAGAGGCCGTTCGCCACGTCTGGGGGGGCTTAATAGGGCTGCAGGGAAAGGCGATGGTTTTTGAGGCTTTGGGTGGGGATGGGAGGCCGCGTATTGGAGGAAGGAGAATGTTTAAGGAAGGCTCGAGGGCCTCCGTGTATGGTTATGTGTGTGTATGGGGGTGTATGGTTATGTGTGTGTACGGGGGTGTATGGTTATGTGTGTGTGCGGGGGTGTATGGTTATGTGTGTGTACGGGGGTGTATGGTTATGTGTGTGTATGGGGGTGTATGGTTATGTGTGTGTACGGGGGTGTATGGTTATTTGTGTGTATGGGGGTGTGTGATGTCTTGGGTGTATGCGCATGTGTGTGCGCATAAATGGTTGTGTGTATTTGTGTGTGTGTATGTATGTATGCATGTGTATGGGCAGCGAGACTTCCACAGGCCTCCACGCGAGTGCTGCCTAATTAGGGGCCTGAGGGGGGCTCTGCGGTGTGTAAACTCGGTGAGCGCATGGATTCAGGAGCACTAAGGACGGGCGGCAGTCAGTGAACGCGTGGGGACGGCTGCAACCTCCCGTCGAACGCTTATGGAGGCATGCAGTGTGTGGTGGACTTAGGTATTGGCGGCTGTTAGGGGGGGCTGGTTGGAATTTGGGTGTGCGCCTCGCTCAGGCTACACTGGATCAAGCAAGCATCCTGAGGCTCTCCTCTTGCAGCAAGTCGGATATTGTGATATCGGCACCGTAAGAAGGGCTTTATTAGAGTCGGGAGCGATCGAGATGCGTAGTATTCTTGTTTGTTTGTGAATGCATGCAACAAGCATTCCCTCGTCTTCTTAGTCCTCTCATATTCGGACTCACTTTGCCGTTTGGGGCCTTTTCATATTTTTTGGAAACGTGCGCAGTTAATCGGGTTGAATGTTGGCGTCTCTGTCAGGCCGATTCTTTTCTGAGGCGCTGCAGTTTGAGGTCCAGGATATATGGAGATCTATGAATACGTGTATATATGTATGTATGGTTGTTGTTTGCGCAGCGTGGAGAATCTCTTCCTGGATCGCCTCTCGGGATGCACAGTCGTGGCACCTGCAGTCTTAGGAACGCTTTTAATTCGCGGCTGCTCCCGGCTGGTGATGCATGCGAGAGCTAAGCGCATTTTGTGAGCAGCTGTGTTCGGCTGACAGGGGGGAGGGAGGGGAGGGGTGGGATTCGGCATAGCTTTTGGAGGTTTGCCCTTTCTCTCTCGCTTTTTCTTTGCCAGGGGAGGGTGCTAGTACGCACAACCTGCACGCATACAAATATCCTCACCTTGCACGCGGCGAGGGTTGGGCGAGTTTCTTGGAGGGGGAGGTGTGCTTTTTGCAGCGTGGACAACACCTTGGAGGCAGATATCTTTGTGGCTTCTTGCTTCCCGCCTATCATACTCGGAGACAGTAGGGCTCTGTCTCTGGGTCCTTACAACGTCATTTCGCGGCCCTTACAGCAACAAAGGCAGCAGCAGCAGCAGCAGCAACAGCAGCAGCAGCAGCAGCAGCAACAGCAGCAGCAGCAGCAGCAACAGCAGCAGCAGCAGCAACAGCAGCAGCAGCAGCAGCAACAGCAGCAGCAGCAGCAACAGCAGGACGCAACAGAAGAGGCGGCACCGACCGATGCCCTCTTTAACGTCGGTAACATCGCTTCCCAGCACGACCCCACGAAGGGCATGCCGTAAGAAGCGAAGTGCTTGTGATTAAACACTACAGACAAAGTGTTTTCTTTAGTGCCTAAGCCGCATGAGCCATCAAGAAGGCCGAATGCTGGCTCGTGCCTGAAGAGAAGCGCAGGAGCAACATTTTTTCCCCTGCTTATATGCACTTGCACCTGTTTGCTTTAGCGCTTATACGCATTTGCACTTGTTTGCTTTAGCGCTTATATGCACTTGCACCTGTTTGCTTTACCGCTTATACGCATTTGCACTTGTTTGCTTTAGCGCTTATATGCATTTGCACTTGTTTGCTTTACCGCTTATATGCATTTGCACTTGTTTGCTTTAGCGCTTATATGCACTTGCACCTGTTTGCTTTACCGCTTGCGCGCACCCTTTACCAGTAGAAGAATGACGTCTGGACCGTGGAGCAACGCTGGTGTGCTGCTTGCAGGGCTTTGCCTTTGATCATTTCCTCGTTCGCGTATCCCATCTGCCTCTGCGCAACTCCGGGAGAAGGCGAGGGTCCTGAAGATTCGCTTCTTTCCCGTTTAGCCTTTCGGCTGGTTCATCCTAGCCGCGTGCACGTGCGTGGGGATCCGTGGCTGTTTGCTAGGCTGCGGAGAAAGTGCAGCAGCGTCGGGGGCATTCCGAGGGCGGGGGGAAAAAAAAGACACGGCTCGGCAGCGACAGAGACTGAGGAAAAACGCCTCCTTCGGGGTGGGGTTGTTTGCGTTCAGATGGTCCCTACTGTCTTCGAAGAGGAAGGCCACAACAACAAGGATTTGGGGTTCTTGGGCTGGAGGGCTTTGCCCTTACCCCAGCAGTATCATGAGGCCGTTCAGAGGCTCACCACGAAGGTACAGAAAAAAGCGGATGCAGCGACGGGAGAAGACGCTGTGGGATTGGGGCACAGGCAACACAGAGACTCGTTCGAAGGAGGTTCGAGAAATGGGTTTTCTAATGCGGGGGGAGAAGACGAGGCTTCGGAGACGCGGCCTCTTTTTGCGTCGTTGCGAGAGAGAGAGGGTCGAGGAAGGGGAAGCAGGCTCCTACGAATGAGAAAAGGGGCAGGGGGAGGGAGGGCGCGCGTCTACAATCTATCTGTCCATTCAATTACCCATCCTAGGGTCTGGTGAAGGCCTTGTTCTCCGAAGGGAATTTTGTCGCATATGGCATTCCATCTCCTTGCGTTGCGCGTGTTGTTGCCGCCTCGTGGCTGCAGGTTTGCTCAGCCAGGCAGATGCTGCAGCAGAGTGTGGGGGTGGCTAAGCACCAGCACGCTGTATCTCATTTGCTGTGTCTCATGCTGCTGTAAGCGAGCCGCTGCCGCCTCTTTCCCCCCCGTTACCCTAAAACCATGCGTGTAGAGTAATGCACATACATATAGATAAATGCACATGTATGAATGTGCAGTCCGTAAGCCTTCCTTGCTCGCATCTTAGAGCGCATGCATATCGATACTTTTCGGCTGCTCCAACGTGTGCACACAGTGATTTCTGCCGGCGACACTCTCCCAAGACCCGTCGCTTCTTGCAGCATCTGAGCAAGCGCACAACAGAGGATGCGGTGAGGACTAACTTTAGCTTTGCCATGGCGGTCCTACAAAGCGCAATGCACTTGCTCTTGGCTGCTCTGTGTCACTCTTTCTCTCTTAGCCTTTAGCTCTTTCCCTGTCTCTTTCAGCTCTCTCTGTCTCTCTTTGTCTCTCTCTGTCTCTCTCTCTATCTGTCTCCTTCGCTCGATCTCGCTCTCTAGGCTACCCACTTCATATGCGCAAAGGTTTTTAGCTCTGCTGCGACTGACTGTGTGGTCGGTGCTGTTGCAGGACGTAGCGGCGCTCAAAGAGCATCCGCAGTAACGCGCTTCTAAAGCTCGGTGTTTAATGCGGCCCTTGTTTGTGTTGGGCTGCGTTTGCCTCGCACTTTTTTCCGTTCGGGCTGACTACTCCCTAAGTTACAAGAACACGTGTATGTTCGCTTGAGGCTGTAGTTGGCAGAGCCACAAAAAGCAGTATGCCGCCTTTAAGATTGCAGAACTAAAACTAGCTTTTTTGTTTTAAACCCTCGTCAGAGGCTCGAACTTGCGAGCAGGCGTGAGAGGGTCGCGTATGTGGCCGCTAAAGGGGGCCCCTCCGCGTAGTATACACCGTGACTGTAGATGGTGTCGAGGGCGTAACCCCCTCAAAGAGCGAGATTGGCTAACAGCACATCCTGAGCCTTTGATATCTCTCACCCTTCAAAGGCCCTTTGCTGCTAGATTGGTGAATTGCAAGGCACGCATTGTGCTTGTGCAGCGCTGCCTTGCTTCGGGTTGCCCCCCCTTCGCGAGCCACCTCAGCAGCACTTACCTCCCGCAGCAGCAGCTGCTGCTGCGGGAGGTAAGTCTAGTTCTGCCATACTTCCTGCACGGTCCTAGGAAATCGCGTTATCACTTTAAAAGGCCCGGCATACTGCTCTGTCTCCTAGGAGGCTGCAGCGCTCCAGCACTCTTCAAAAAGTACACAAAAATGTGACGGCCATGCGAGGGCTGCCAGAAAGCTGTACGCACACTCCGCACACAGAGAAAGAGAGAGAGAATAGCAACTTGATTCTTCCTTGCTGGTACTGTCCTGTCGCGTGTGGCCGTCTCGGCTGCAGCCGAGACGGCAACAGCAACAAGGGCACGAAGCATGACATAGCGAAAATGACAGACGAGCTGAACCTCCGCACTTTTTCGAATGCAAGCAGGGCGCGTTCACCAAACCGCATAAAAGCATCTCGCTCTCAAAAGAAGCACGACGATTCCCCGTTCGCCACCCTTTACCCTGTCCTACGATACTTTTATCACGTTGCCCATGGAGTAATTCGTGTGCTCGCAAGCACGGCTCGCTTTAAAAGGAACAGGGCTGAGGGGATGATAGGGAAAAACGACTTACGGATATACCGGTGAAGGGTTTCCTCCTTCGTCACTTCGTCTCCCTCCCTCTTTCCCTCCTCTGTCCGCCTCGGGGGCAGTCTCCCCTGAAGGCTTTTTGCCTAGGGCCCCCTGCTAGAGAGGGCCCCCCTTCGAAGGAGCCCCCCGGCCCCACTTGACGTCCCCTTTGAAGGGGGCCCCTTCACCGGCTGCTACTCGCCTACGGTCCACCTCCTTTCACGTCGTGTCAAATGCCCTTCAGAGTATGCAGTGAGGCCCCCCTTTCCCCCACCCCCGCCCCCGCTTGGCGTTAGACTGGCTTGGGAGGTTCCTGTCTTTGTCGAAGTGTTCCGCGTATCCCGGAGACACCCCCCCGCCCGGAGAGCGCTTCCCATAGGAGAAAGAGGGGGCCCCCTCGTGATCTCTGCTGACTTCAGCAGGGGAAAGAGGCACGTAGGCCCCCTGAATCGGCTTCCTCACAATCCAGCCCTCAAGGCAATATCGAGAGGGCCGTGCCGTGTCGATACAGAAGCTGATGCCGCCGCATCTACTGCTGGTGACGCACGTGGGTGGTTCAACGCCTCTCCTCCGCGAGGATAAGGGCCCCCTTATCCGCTGGGGGCCCCTGCACACAACTGCCATCCTTGGAAGGACCCTCCTCCTTTCCGGGCCTGCCACACGGAAGATCCCTCGCTCGCGTACCTGCGTCTTTTTCAACATTTAGCTGCCTAGCTCTGGAGCACGCAATGCGCTAACTCCTGCTGCTGCTTACCTCGTCTGACGGGCAATGGAAAACTCCGATGTCTGTTTCGCTGCCTGGAAAAGTTCAGACTTCACGGCAGGAGCCAGCCTCCTTACAGGCCTGAGGAGGACGATATCGTGAACTATCGAATTGCGGATGCAAAGTCACATCCGGGCAGGAGCCTGAAGCTCTGTCCTCCTGCGCCACGTTTTTCTGCTGCCGCTCGTAGTGCTGCTCCGACTTCTGCTGCTGTGCAGCGGATAAGGCATCGCTGCATGCGGACAGTCGCCGCCCCTGCGGAAAACCCTTGTTGAATTCCAGTCTTGATTGAGCTTCTCGCCTGGGAGACCTCACCGTGCTCAACAGGCCAAGAAGAGCCTCCCAGTGAGGGTTTTTTTCCCTTTTGTGGAACGCGCAGGAGTCGCGAGCGCCTCACTCCACAAGTGCACTCAATCGTGTGCGGCTCTCGCATCGACAGATCCCGCGGAGGGCCCCTGCTGCTCATTGACTCGAAAAAAACGCCCCCGCAGCCGTCGAAGTGGAGGGGGAGAAGAGGGAATGGCAGAAAGCCCCTGCACCCCGTCTCCGGCAGTATTATTTCCCGCATGACACGGCCCCTTTTGCTCCTCCTGCCGTGCATCCTTCTCCCCAGCTGGGCGTCTCTCAGCTGGCGGCAGAAAAGAAGACGATCTTTCGGCATCCTGTTCCGCCTCTGCAGCAGCAACAGTAGGTGGTGCTGCCTCTCTCGACGCAGCCTTGCTAATGTGTGTTCGACGCTTTGACGTTTGTTGCCATGAGGGATGCAGGAGAGCCTGCGCCCGGCAGGGTAAAGTGGAATGTATCGGCTAGCGCTGTTGCGGTCGTTGCATGGGTGCTGCATTCGCTGCCTCTGTGTAGCTCTTTGCGTCTCTCCCTTGCCCACAGCCACTGCAACTGCGCCTCATCCTGCTGCTGCTGCTGCCTTGTGCAGCGGGCCGCGAAGCACGCTCTTCAAAGCCTCTTCGCAAAGCCTCTTCGCAAAGCCTCTTCGCAGAACCTCTTCGCAAAGCCTCTTTGCAAAGCCTCTTCGCAAAGCCTCTTCGCAAAGCATCTTCGCCTCGTCACGAGACAGAGAAAGCTGCTGCCTCCAGCAGCAGCTCAACGAGGAGGCCCCTCAAGGAGTGCTGCCTTTCTTCGAGTCCCACAGCCTTCCTTCGTGGCTCAGGCCTTGCAACTTCCCCTCTTCTTCTTCATGCCTTTCCCTGTAAGATGCATCATGCTGATTCTGCTTCTCCTGAGGTTACTGCTGCTGCCCCCGTTGCTGCTCGTGCTTCCGGTCCTCTTGCTCTTGCTCCTAACGCTGATGCTGCTTCTAATGCAGATGCTGCTCCTAGCGCTGATGCTGCTCCTAATGCTGATGCTGCTCCTAATGCTGATACTGCTCCTAATGCTGCTGATAATGATAATGATGATCATGACACCCCTCCTCCTCGCGTTGCAGCAGCTCGTGGTGCAGCTTAGCAAGATCCTGGCGCCGTTGCCGCTGCCGGAGGCATCGACATGCATGCGAGGTGCTGGGGGAAGGAGCCTTTTGCAGGTTGAGGCAGCGGCCTTTGCGATTTGCCTCTTGAAGACTTCCTCGTTCTCAGCAGCATCCGCAAGGCCGTGTCTGCTTTCATCGCTGCACTCCACTGCCAATCCAGCAGTCCCCACCATCACTTGCCCTGAGGCTCGCGCAGACGCATGCAGGCAGCACTGCAAGGGCCGTAAGGACGCCGAAGATACAGCGTCTTCCGAGGCAGAGGATATTCGACAGGCTCGACAGCCAGCTGCAGGTAAGTTCACCCCGCCGCTGCTGCTCCTCCTCATACTCCCCCCTCTCCTGTGGCAGATTTCTGCATCGCGAGGGGCCTCCGCGTCGAGCGCTTGATGCCAGGAACGGCGTCCTAAGACTCAATTTCCCGATGTGACTGCTGTCTCTCCTGCCCGCATCACGCCCATTAACTCAGGTGTCCAAATTCGCATGCACCTTTCCAGAACGTGAATACGCCTTACATGCGTGCCGTCCCAAGACTTCCATCGGAAGCAGGCAGCTGCGACACGAAGTTTCAAGGCCTGCTGCTTCGCAGCCTCGACAGCCTGCAGCGCAGCGCACCACACCCCCGCAGACATCCACAAGCGCTGGGGCAGAAAGAAGGCTCGCTACGAGAAACAAATGGCCACGCGTCCTTCCAGAGCTGGTGGCAGCCTGAGCAACGCTTCTCGAAGAGAGCATCTGAGCAACCGAAGCAGATCCTATTGGCGGGAGAAGCTCTGACGTGATCGGAGACGGCGCTGCAGCGAGTATCCCTCCAAGCAGCAGGGGCCCCCTGGGGGATCCGGAGAGTGCAGGGCCGCATCTTTGCATGTCTCTGCCCACCTCTGTTGTTGCCGCTGCCGTGAGAAAAAGGGGGGAAGAAGAAAAAAAGGCACCCGCCGTCTTCTTGGATCCACGCGATTTCCTAGAACAGCCTCGCCTTCTCAATTACCGCGCCGCTGCTGCAATATTTCCGCCGCTGCAACGGCTTGGTGAGAGCGAGAGCAGCTGCTGCTGCTGCTCTCACCAAGCCTCGGATCCCCAAAAGAACAAACAAGAAGAATTTCCTCCCTACAGGCGAACCAACACACACGCCTCATAGTCATCCTCTGTCCAGAGGGAGGTAGGAGTGCATGTGCGTTTCTGCTGGAATGCCGCATTGTCCTCTGCCGTCAACTCCTTCACTTAAAAACATCGCAGCACGTTCTGAGGGTAATGCTGCTGCTGCTGCTATTACTGCTGCTGCTGCTGCTGCTGCTGCTGCTTCCGCTGTTGGCCCCAAAGCCGCCGATGCGGCACCTTTTGCACGCGTAAAGCGGCAGCTGCACCCTCATCAGAACACACTTTGTGTATGTCGCATGCTGCAACAGCATACCCACACCTGAAGGACCTGATGCGGCCGCATCCTCCACTTCTGAAGGCTTCCCTGCAGCTGTCAACGTGGAAAGTGCTGTTGCTACTTCGGAAGCGCGAGGTGATATGGCAGCCGCAGGGACTGCAGCCTCAGGAGCTGCAGTATCAGCCTTCAGAGATGTGAGCATCGCGAGGAAAAAGACAGACCAAAGGGTCGCAAACAAGAAGCCTTGCCCTGTACGTGGCAGAGCAACGGCATGCGTCTGTTACAGTAGCGCTCGATAATGGAGGTAATGCCATTTGTGACTCTTCATCACAAACGGCCCCAGCTTCAGCCGTGAACAAACATCAGTGCCTGCAGCACTCTGCGGTCTGGGGGGAGACGCTTTAGACTGTGGGCCTTAAGAAGAAGAGCGTGCGATGTTGAATGCTGTAACCGTGTTTCCTGCCACAGCGGCGCATGCACAAGAGATAGAAGAAGTATTTTCACCAGACGCCACTACGGGGGGAGCAGAGGAAGGGGGGCGGGTGAGGGGGGAAATTGTTCGGTTATGGTGAAATCGCCATGACCGATAGCTGCAGCACTGCTGAGGACGTCTCGGAACGCCTTGCTGCTCTCGAAGCCTCAGTTGTGCATGACTCTTCTGAAGGGGCCCCGCCGCCTTCGGGGCCCCCTGCAGGCTTTTGACGCTGTTGTTGGAGGTGCTTCAGTTGACAGCCTTCCACATTCTGCGAAGATACAGGCATCTGGATCGGTATCTGCTGCTGTATCTGTATCTGCTGTATCTGCTGCATCTGTATCTGCTGTATCTGCTGTATCTGTATCTGCATCTTGCCATTCGAGGCTCCGGGCAAAACGGCGTGTGGTCTTTTGCTGCTGCTGCTGATGCTCCAAGACTCGTTGGAACTGCCCTTCTATTGTGGAATGCTCTCTTGTTTGCGGGAGGGGGGGACGCCTTCGGTTGCTGGAGTTGTTTCTGCTGTTTTTGGTGGAGAAGGTAGGCGGCTTCCGGCTTGTTGAGCGTCTTTAAGGACAAGCCGAGGAAGGGAACTTGCTGGGGGCCCCTTTAGAGGAAACCGACTTCTGGATTCCTCCGCCTAGGGGGCCCCCAGGTGTGGGTGTGACGGCGCATGGAGGGACTCTCTTTAAGGACCCTTGGGGGGGCCCCCCGGGGGGCCCCGGTCTGCCGGGGGGCTCTTCCACCGCAGCTGCGAAAACGCCAGTTCATCGCCGGTTGGTCGAGCGGCGTCCAAGGGGCCCTCTTTTGCAGAGGGCAAGGGGGGGCCCCCTGCTGCCTCGCCAACGGGCCGTCCCCCATCACTCCCCCCGGCAACACCCCCCTTGAGGGGGCATCGTGGACGGCTGACTGAACGCTTTGGGGCCCTCCAGGGGGTTGTCTTCGAGAGTATGCGTTTCGAGGTTGGTTTACAAATCCTCCCCCGATGGTGGCCATGAAGTGGGAGGGAGGAAACTCCCGCACGTTGCCTCTCCTCGACGACACGAAGGCTGCCCCCAACAGCCGTAGGGGCCGGAAGGGAAGCCTTTGAAGGTCTTATTATGACCATCACAGCCTAACACGCCCTAAAACGCAAACGCTAATCCCGGGATACGAGGCCCCCCTGTGAGAGGCAGAAGAAGGGTGCTGAGCCACACGCGCGGGGGGTACCTGCGGTCAATCGATTCTGAATGTATGGCTACTGGTGCGCCGCTGGCATGCCTTCTGCCACTGCTTCTGCAGGGACTGCAAGTCTAGCATGAGTAGCTGCGGTGGGATCGGACGGCGCTGCCCGTCGGTCTAGCGTTGAGAGGGCCCCGGGAATACTTGAACTATTCAGTCGCGATTCTCAGGGGGAAAAGCCACAGGAAGCACCCCCTCCCCATCCCCCATACACCTCCCGTCCGAAAAAAAGAGCTTCGAGGGGCTGTTCACGGTGCAAAGTTAATTGGAGGACCACCTTTGCCCTCGAGCTGCCTCACCTGCCGTCGGCTGCGCACAGCTAAAAAACAAGAAGGCACGGTACTTGCCGCCCTAGGACCCCTAAAAGGACTCCTGAAATGACAGCGATTTCTTTGCTTGCTTACGCGCTGCTTGCGGTGGAAACTCAGAAGTAAGAGAAGACTTGGGCAGAATGGGCGTGGGGGGACTCCCGGATGCACGGGGGGTCGAGCAGCGACAGCCAGCAGCAGCACCATCTGCTCTACCGAAGCCTTTAGCTCTTCAAAGAGGCATTAATTTTGTCTCGTGCTGCATTTTACGCCCGAAAGACCCCCGAACATCGCCTGTTTCCGGGATATATGCGTTCATCAGCTCATCACGTCGAGCTTTGGACTTCCTAGCGCGTATGGGAATGCGCGAGGAAATGAGCATACTCATACTTAGGCTGCTCCCATTTGTCGTGACTGCTAGCCTTTGCTTTGCCTGGGAAAGCCGTGTCGGCGGCTGCTCACCAATTAGCGCAGAGGCGCTTCCTGACGCTCTAGGGAGTCGCAGATCTGCATGACCCTCTAGTGGGCTGTGTGAAAGCCCCCACCGAGGGCCTACATACGGAGAGCCTCTAGCAGCTCCAATCCGCCAAGCGTAGTTGAAAGCAAATAAAGGAAACGCGGTATCGTCTTAAAGAGCTCTCCCCCTCGCTGTGCCATCCGCATCCTTTATAGCTCCGATGTAACGGGCTATGCTACTTTTTGGTACCTTCCACCATACTACTTGATAGGAATTTGAAGGCTCTAACAAATGGGGCTGCCTGTCATTGCGAAGTCCTCGTATTTCTGCACAAAAAGACGCGATGCGCTGTGGATGCGCGCTCCATGCTGTTTGTGCTAGTACCTGGGTATACTTAAAGTGCTTCAGGGGTGCAGCAGCTATGTGCACATTAGCTTTCCCTCTCCCCTCATGTCACGAACTCTAAGGGACGCGGACAGAAGTAAGCGGCACTACCTTCAGGATGCAACATTCTATATTTTATGGTGCCTGGCACCAAGTGTCTCTGTACGAAGACCTAAAATAGAGGGTTACCGTTGTTTGCACTGCAAGGTTTGTTGCTGCGATTCTCCGCTCCCCCATCGGCTCTAAGCCCAAAGCGCTGTGCAATTTACATATGACAAGTGTCTAATTCCAATAATGTTACTTGTTAATTCAAGAATTGAAGCTATTTTTGGCAGCAGTCTACAAAACGCACCCTCTGGAGTGGGTTTAGTGGCACATCGCCTCTGCAGGAGGGCGGCAGAAGCCAGCGTGCAACCTTATGTGAATGCAGTAGCTTCACGACTGGTAGAAACGCGTGATATGCGATAGCGTTAAGGGTGGCCGGCCAGCGCTCGAAGAAGTCATCAGCCATTTAGAAGGGTACCTCGGTATGTAGCCCGAGATAAAGAAAAACCGGTGCTCCCTATGGCGTGTTTAGTGGAAAGAGAGCATTTCAGTATTGGCTGTATTCAGCCTTCAGGGATTACTACAGTTCCTGGCCTACATGCAAGCCTGACCCTTCGGTCTATGCCGAGATCAGCTCAGTGGTACGCGCTAAGAGGATTGAGAAGCATTCTGCACAGGATACTGTTAACAGGTCGGTTTATCGCAAAATAGGACGCTGAAGCGATAGCGCAGGCAAGGGGATGCTTTATCAGTGGGTTATCTGAGATCTATCCGTCGCGCTACTTGGACGCAGGATAAGTGGCAACCCAGCGGTTTATAGTCGGCCAACATGTTGGGCTTTTACAATTGGACTACTTTTATTTTTAAAGATAAAGAGCGCAACTCCTGCGTCTGGGTATGAATAGTGAGGTCAGGATTTGGAAACTACGTATGTTGGGTGCATGTCATCCGGTCGTAGCCTCTAGTCGAAAGTGAACGAAAGAAAAACAGGACAGATTTGCACATCGTCGCAGCCCCAGACAACCCCCCAAAATCGGTTACTTGCCTCAATTGTGAGAAATTAAGTCATTTTATCCCGAAGTGCAAGCGAACACAGAAGCGGAAGTTCCTAATGCCTCATATTAAGGAATCACTTGCACTAGGTGGATCAGCACTCTACTCGACATTAGAATTCACAGACAGTTTCTTCCGATCCCCGAATTCGCTCTGATTGCAACCGCAAAACAACGCTCGGCATTCCCACTCGCAAGCTTGGGTGCGGTTATGTGCCGTTTAAGCTTGTTAATATTCTAGCTGAGAGGCAACGGCAAGCGTATGGGGACTTTTATGATCCCATCCAGGTGGGCTGGATGCCTAACTACATGGACGACGTCATATTCTTCAACAGCAACTTTGAAGAGCAGTACGACACCTATGACATGCGCTTCAGCTGGTACGGGATAAGCAGTGGTCTGCGAAGATATGCAAGTGTTCGGTTTACAAAAGAACAACTGCGTTTCCGGAAGCCCATCTTTCGGCTACAGACATGCAGCCAAACTCAGCAAAAACTGAAGCAGTCAAGTAGTGGTCTTAACCTGTTCGCGCTCCGAGGGCGGCTGCAAAGTTCAAAGGGCTTGCACTCTATACCGATAATTCATTCCTGGATTGGCTCCTCCGTTCGTCAATTCTTTGACTGACGGCCTTCAAAAAGCCTAGTGTGTGAACTAGACAGAGGATGCTGGTGCAGAAGCAATACGCTTAGCGCGCGCCTTAAAAATTACCCGTTACTTGTGCTGTCCACCTATGCATGTCATATCCTCCTTATAAGCGATGCTAATGGCGTGGCGGTGGGTATTCGTGTCAGTAAACACGCTGCGCACCTCCCCAAGCACCAAATTATTCCTAGTTATCCTCGTCTCTTCGCCGTCAACGAGTAGCGGTATCCAGTTAGGGAGGAAGGTTTATGATTGTACAGCGTGAAATTCGCCGTCAGTAATGCTTCGTGCTCCATTTTACTGCCAGCACCGTGTTTCAGTCTTAAAAATACCTAGCAAAGAGCTTTCAGGCCTGTGGAAATCCAAGAGATATTCTGGCTTGGGCCCCCCATACAGGATTACTTGGCAGTGGAGCTTGATAAAAGTAGTAAGACTAGCGGGATCGCGTGCGCGCTCTCGAGCCGCCCCACCAGGTCACTAATGTACAGTGTGGTCGCTCTTGGTCGTGGTGAGGAGCGACTATTTCTATCGACGTTGGACGAGCGTTGTTGAGACTCATGTATTTGGTATCATGAAAGAATCCAGAATGGCAAGTAAGTGAAACTCCATGACGTTCAGGATATTTCGCTGTCATTCTAATTAAAGCGGGCGCTCCGTCGCTTGTTCATCTTGCCTACCTTCCGCAGTTCCATGTTGCGCAGTGTACAAGATCATCCACTCTTCGGCCATGCTGCAATTTGCGCTACAGTAGAGAGGCTTTTGCGATCTTTGCTGTGGCATGAAATATACCCGACGGCAAAGTTTATTCACGGTCATGCGCAGATTGACAAAGGTGTAGAATTCTCCTAAAGTTGGCTCTTTGCAAAGGCTTCCAGTCCCTAAAAGGCTTGGACATTTCTGAGTATGGACATCACTGTGGTACTACAGGAGGCTGGGAGTCGAAAGTAGCAGCTACGTTGCTATCAACAGACTCAAAAAATGTGCCCCCCTCATGCCTTGTTGCGGCCCTCTTGCGGCTCGGGATGTCGCTCAATTATTTGCTCATGCTTGGAAGCTCCACGAGCGCCTGATGTATTACCTCATAGAAAGGCATCCCCGATCCATTAGTGCGTTGTGGCATGCCATATTCAAGTGCCTTACACTTGAAGCAAATACGACCACTGTGAATTACTCGTCGGTAGGTAAATAATTCCACCCGCCGTAGTCTTCTTCAACATATGCGATGTTATGCTCGGGAACATCCAATTGCTTGGATCGAGATACTTCCAGATGATGAGTCTTCATGGAACGAATGCACAAGGCTCTACGCCTTGCTCCCCCGCATCCCTGTGGAGCCCCTCTTTGATCCGGGCCCGCACCTGGTAATCCGGGATCAAAGGCCAGACTTTGCGATGAAAGACTCTGGAGCAAGGCTGGATAGTGCAGGCGATGATTTGCGTAATTCTCACGGAAGACAAGCAGGTGGCTAGGGCCATTTGCAATTTTCCCACAAAATAATGTATTTCGTAGTGCATTTACTTCCCTTCAGTTTATGACGCCACAGAATTATCGCTGTGGGTATCCCAGGGAAGCTTTCGAAGGACCAATTATTTGTAGGCTTCGCCGCGCAGTCCAATTAACTGTAAGAATGCGGAGGATCCACAGGGAGCCGTAGAAGTGCTTAATTTGAGGACTGTTGCGCATTGAGGACACACCAGACGGGAGTTTCCAATAAAAGGAAGTGACCACTGCCATCCTCACTGACTGACCGACGAGTAGGGGCGGGCTTCTTTGTTCTTGCAGAAGAAGTTGAGACTCTGCTCAACGACGCTAGCCGTCAAGGACGGGGTTTCTTAGAACTTGTCCTTCTACGCTGCTTGTTCTACAAAAAGTGCTCCCTTTACATGTGTGTATTGCCTGGAAAGTTCTTGCTAATTACTTTGAAGACGATATCTACACTCAGATTTTATGGGTAGGCACTCTCAGGTATGCAGTCCCTACATTCTTCCTTCTGCGTCTTTTGGGGCTGGAAAGTTAGCTAGACTGCTTGCATCGTCTGTATTTGCATGCATGTAATGCTTATTGAGGAGTGGATGCACTGCTGAAGTCATTTTTTCTACTGTTCGATGCACACACATGCTTTTCCTCATCTGCGCGGCGTTCACGCTTCTACCTGCCTGGAAAGTGGCGACAGGGCGCGAACTCCTCGGTCGCCGTGCATGCTGTTGGTATGAATGCACAGGTGCGGGATACGAGGGCGTCTTTGAAGTGAGGGGGAAGGCGTGGAGGGCTATGCTACACTGGAACGCTTCATACTGCACTAGTTTATATTTATCCACAAATTCGTGAAGGATTGCATGATAAATTTGCGTGTTTAAGATTCCTTTTTCAGGCCGAGTATTAGGGCCTCGTTACAAAGTCAAGTAATGCAGTGCGCATGTGCGCTAGATGCTATCTGCATCTAACGTTGAACTCTCGGAGTCCTTCGAAGGTGCAGCGCAGCTACGCGCAACTGGGCTCTCCCTCTCTCCTCCTGTTGAGAACTCATAAATGGCGCGAACGGAAGAAGGCAGTATTTTTTAGGATAAACGCTATCACTCTCCATTACGTTGGTATTAAATTTGTAGTTAGGTGTCTCCTAACGGAGACACCTTGGATAAAACTTTGCATTGGAAATGAAAGGAGAGAGAGAGAGAGAGACAGAGAGCGGCACATGCCAAGGGTGCGCAGGCGCTACAGCACTGGCCACAGGTGTTTCGCTCCAACCAGCGATGCACCGCTGGTTGCAGCGAAGAGCTAGCTCTAGAGCAAGGCACACATTTTTCATTATTATCGACCAGAGCTACTTGACTCTACCATGCAAACAAAAAATTATTCTGCAAGCGCTCACTGTCAAACTCAACTGGTCAGGTAGAAAGTGCCCAAGCGTAGCTTTAGACTGCTTCATTGTACCTCCTTAAAATGCTCAAACCGCGAGACCCAGTACTCTAATTGTATGCAAATGGACCCCTGTGTATAGAGCGTCAGAGCAGATACTTGCGGGCTCTTAAGGGCGTAACCCTGACAGGAGTTCTTTATAGCCAATGCGCCAGAGAAAAAACAGTTAGCCATCCGAACAACGTGCCCAGTATTCTGCTGTGTTTAGCATACACTTTCACGTCTTGAATCATTTAGACACGTGCACTCCAATACACACACACACACTTCTCACGATAAAGCATCCATTGTCTCGCATGTAAGAGCCTCTATTTCTGAGCTGCCGTTCATGCTAGATCGATAGCCCTGTTGGCTGTACGCACCACTCTTTGCCTCGAAAAGGAAATCCTTACCTTCAAAGTCCTATAATCAAACTGGAAGCATGGTCGTCCTCCCTTTCCCCATGGCACCGGCCAGAGGAGACCGGGGTGCGTGGGTTGGAGTGCGAAGAGTGGCTGCCTCCCCAGGTTCCTTCAGAGTATTTTTACACCCATGTACACAGTAATGGAGAGCACCGATATGCAGCAAGTGTTTTCACCGCCTGTTCGCCTCCTCTGCTTCCGAATAAATGCAGTGTACGACAGGCCGAATTACGCAAACAGGATTACGCACGCAACGCTTGTAACAAAGGAGTAGGGTGATGAAAAAGATGCTCACGTGTTTCACAGCCGGACGCGAAGAAGGTCGCTGTCATTCATCGAAATTCCGATCGTCGAAAGGGATACGTTAAACGGCTCACGCTGCACAAGGATTCCATTGAAGCCCCTTGGAACCTCACGACCTCCACACGGGGGGTGAGAGCAGCTGAGGGAAGTGAATTCTAGAGGGTTAACTTGCCTCCGCCAAACACTCTTCTCCGCCCATCAAGTCCTCAATTCTGCAAAACCAACAGGTTTTTCTGTGAACTGGCAGGGGTGGTGCGAAAGCCCTCTCCTAGCTCTAAGGATGGTTTTCTGCTTTCTCCCCACTGCGGAACGAGCGGCTACGAGTGACGAGGCAGGTCTGTTTTCAACGCTGTATGAGGGGGGTGTGCCGTGTGAGCCTCCAACACACTTTCCCAGAGCGCCGAGCCAAAGCTGCCCCAGACCCCATTCAAGCAGCGCTCATGCCTCCTATCCAGCACACTGCCACATCCCGCAGAGAGGTAGGATAATCCCCCTTGCTGGCACCTCCACTCCGCCGTATTTTGCCGTTAGCAGCATGCTAGAAGCCGCGGCTCAGCAGAGAGGTGCGTTCACGCCAACGGATTCCGTATTGTCACGCTGTGCCCCCGCGAGCCCTCCAGACGCTTCTCTTTTCGAGGTGCCACTCCTTCCAAGCGCGATTCTCTAGCCGTTTCGACGCTTTTCTGGATGGTGCTGCTTAGACGTGCCAACCTCAACGGACAGAAGGCGCATGCTGGGGTCGTGGAAAAGCCCAGTCAGGCAAAGAGCACGGTGAGACTTAGCGGAAAATTGCGCCATGCAAAGGGCTCGATTGAAGCAGACGGACCCTGCACCGCCAGTCGCCCTCCAAGATCTCGACTCTTAAAGGGTTCTACATGCGCGGGGTGGCCAACTGCCCGTAGCCTGCTTCCCCAAACCAGGTGCACCATCCCCAAACTCCCTCCCTGGTCGCAAAGCTGCAGCTGCGTTGCGTTGCGTTGGCTGTTTTGTGGAGAGCCCTAGATGCGAAATAGTGAAGCAAATGTGGCAACCGTAGTGCCACCATGCTAGAGGCTTTCTGATTGAGGGGCCCAGGGATGCTGGGAGGTGTGGGTGCACTCTAGAGTTCCAAACAGTTAACAATTTCCAGCTGCCTGCTGCCAGTGTTCACCCCCAAACGGCGCCGGCTACCCCTTGCCCCCATATATGTTTTCAGCTCTACCGCAGCTAGAGGCTGGACACGTGGCTTGAGCACAGGGCGCTATCCCCCTGATTTTGCTTCGCTTGGTGCCCATTTGAATATGGGTGGAGTGAAGGCCACACGCAGCCCATATATATGAGGGCTCATGACGCCATCGCGGAACTCATTTTTCATTTGCGTTCCCCTTGTCACCGCGAGAATCCTTCGTCAGACCCGTCCCCACTAGCGCACGCACGGCTGTAAATAGAAATGCGAGGGCTCTAAGAACCTGCATACCATGGCAGATCTGAAGGCTGTATTCTTGCTGTGCCTCCGACACGTTTTCCCGACCAGTGCCAAAAGGAAAGGGGCGCACTGGCAGCACACATCTCACAAAGGAAGGAAGACGCCGCGCTGCCCTGGAGACTAAGTGTTGCTGAAGATGCTATGAAAGATTAGGTTGCATTTGTTTTAGCAAACATATTGCCGCTCCTGCACACCTATATGTCTGTAAATACCAAATATAGCTAGCCGGCTAGCCAGCTAGCCAGCGAGCTAGCTGCCTCAGTGTACGCTGCTGCGTCTGCTGCCTCCACAGGAAAAAAAGCAAGCCACAAGCTCTTTCTCTAGAGATGCAGCAGCACCTACCTTGCCACAAGATGGCTAAGAGGGGGGGACGCTGTGGGGGCGGGGGGGAGGGGGCTTTTTGGGCGAAGAGGGCTTGAGGCATGCCAGTTTTACGAGAGGAGAGTAAAGACAGAAAGCATGCGAATTCGGAGTGCCGGTGCAAGCTCACGAAAGTCGCAGCACCTTGCGCGTAGAACCACCCTCCCACCACTGTGTGGTGGAGCAGCTGCAGACTCGCCTGTCCACGGTGCCTCAGGACGTCTCACTCGGCGAGAAACGGATGCATCAAAGCCTCCTCACAGCTCATCCTGCGCTGCTTAGGAGCGAGCAGGCCTAACACGAATTCACGTGCCTCCGTGCCTCCCGCCAGAGACCCCCTGATGGCCTCTGCGTCATCACTCGAGGGCTGAGATTCCTCGGAGTCGAAGGAAATCTCGATTCTAGTGATGCGTCTGCGAAGCAAGTGCCGCACCAGCCGAGCTGGGAGCTTGGTCGCTTTTTCTCTACTAAGAGTCGGGTGGGCCCCACTACGCGGAGCGTCCAGTATTGCACGCGCCTTCTCCCGTGCTTACTGTTTGATTTCTTGAGGTGTTTTTCCCGTGAAGGGAAGACGGCCGCTCGTGAGGAGTTCGAAGGCAAGAACTCCGAGGCTCCAGAGATCGGCGGAGTAGTCATAGGAATCTCCCAAGACGACCTATGAAAAAATGCGCGCACGTAGCGCGAAGCGTCAGCAAGGCAATGGAGGTGGAAGGGGAGGGGGGGAGCGGGGTTTAGGACCTGGGTTTAGGATTTGCTCGCCGCAGGCTGCGTCTCTGAAGCGCCGCTGAGGGGCTGCTGACAGCCTCTGTCTTTCTGCCAACGATCGTCTCCCTCGTTGTTCAACGGGAGCCAGAGGAACAGCGCAGGAGTAGGGGGTGGCGAGCAGAGAGGAGCTCGGAAGGGAGACAGCCAAGCGCGCCGCAGAGTGGGAGGAAATGGAGGAAGAGAGGACGTTCAAGCATAGAGAAGCGTCACGAGAATTCGCAGTGTCGAGAATGCAGCAGCAAACGCAAAACGGCCACAGAAAAAGCTGCACACCTCGGGAGCTGCGTATGCCAACGTTCCCGTGACTTCAGTTGTACCGCAGTTAGGGCCTGCGAAGTAAAATGCGCAGGAAAAAGGCTTTGCTAACAAGGGGGGCAGGCAGGCAGCAGACGAGGGGGCAAATGCTTGCGAAAGGAGCAAAGCAACAGAAGCACACGCGGCAGAGGTAGGCCCCAGTATGCATGCGTCGCTGGCTAAGTAGGAGTGGAAGATCTCTCTTGGAGGCAGGAGTCTAAGAAACAGGCGGCACAGGATTCGGCGTGGCAGGCTCGATCAAAGCAGGCGGTAAAGAAGCAAGCCTTAGGAGAAGGCCGGCAATCGCTTTTCCTGGCTCGAGAGATAGAGAGAGGGCACGAGAGAAGAAAGTTCAAGCACGGGCGGAAAGTGAGCAAATGCGATCCGCTGGCGGGAGCCTCAAGGCTCGCTCAAAGCAGAAGGCGGAAAGGCAGGCAACAGGCAGGCAACAGGCAGGCAACAGGCAGGCAGGCAGTCTCAAACGAGATGCAATGGAGAGAGCGCCTTAGCGATTTCTCGCTCGCTCGCTTGCTCGCTCATAAGGTGTGCGCAAGCAGAGGGCAGACACTAAGGGGCAGGTGCCCGAACACGTGGAAGGCGAGAAAAGGAGCGAATGTGGCGACTGGTTCTGCGCGGTGGGAGAAAAAATAACCGATGCGCCTAACACGACTAAAAAGCAGACAGTTGTCAGCGCAGCAAGCAAAGCTCTACCTAAGAACCTGGCTAGGCCGAAATCCGCGATCTTTACGCCTTGAAGGCTTTTGCATGCGCATGTGAAGACGTGCTGCATATCCAGAGCTTCTGCAGCGGCTGCACCTGTCCCTGTGCCTGCTGGAGCTGGAGCTGAAGCGGCTGCACTGGCGGCAGCCTCGGCAGCCGTGCCGAGCGCTGTTGCTGTTGCTCGTGAAGATGTTGCCTCGGTGGCTGTCGCATCATTCTGTGCAACCGGAGCCTCGGGCAGAGCATTCCAGGAGTCTCCGCGTGAAGGCGGGAGCGGGTCCGACCAGGGAAGCCGCGAACTACCAGTGCGTGCATCTTCTTCTTGCTGGGCGCCTTCTTCCCGCTGCTGCTGCTGAGGAGGAACCTCCTGCCGCTGCTGGTGACAAGGACGAATGCACGCAACAACCTTCTGGGAAGGAGAGAATACTTGGATTTGAGGGGCTGCACGCAGCGGCGGCAACACAGGCAGAAGAAGGCCTTTTCAGCTCTGCGCAGATCCTGCTTGGTGCCCTTCCGTGGCTGCTACATGCATATGCATGAATATGTGCATGTGTACGTATGCATACATGCACATACGTGCAGGGGAAGCAGTACAGAGAGAGGAAGAAACCACACTAAGCCGCTGCAGCAAAATGCAAAAACGGTTGTGGCTTGGGCTAGAAGCGGATTTGACTTACTGATGAGGACAGACGCTTGAGCCTGGGGAAGCTTGGCATTTCGTTTTCGGCTACCCCTGCTATTCTTGCTGCTCTCACTATGGCAGCTGCACCCGTCGCTGCTGCTTCTGCCGCTGCTGCTCTTGCTGCTGCTGCTCTTGCTGCTGTTGCTCTTGCTGCTGTTGCCATGCTGAGTGTCGATGCAGACGCTGCCATGGACCCCTCCACTCGGTCGACGCCTCACCCTGCCAGCACTGCCGTTGGCATTCGCAGTCGCATTGGCATGAGCAGCAGAGCCTTGTCTCCCCGTCGCTCCTGCCGAAGAGAAGAGCGCTTGAGAAGCGTTCTGAGGCTTTGGCCTTCTGCCTCCCTTCGCTTTCAGCAGTGGGGGAGTCTGAGGCTGCAGCAGCTGCGGTTGCTGCTGCTGCTGCTCAAAACACAACAAGAGGTTGCTCGGCTTTATGTCTCTATGGACCACACCTTTTGCATGGATGTGCTGCAGCCCGAGCAGAACGGAGCGCAGTATGCGCTTGGTGGTGTCTACAGGAATCAACGCTTGCTGCTCCTGCTGCTGCTGCTCCTGCTGCTGCTGCTCCTGCTGCTGCTGCTCTTGCTGCTGCTCTCGCTGCTGCTGCTCCTGCTGCTGCTGCTCTTGCTGCTGCTGCTCTTCCTTGCGCTTACCAAAGGGAGAAGGGGGGCTTCTTGTAGAAGCCAAGGCTGCCACAAAGGCAGCCGCGGCACTCCAAAGCTTCCTGCCCTCCCCATGCTGCTGCGAGTAGAGGGGCTCATGCTGCCGCTGCTGCTGCTCTTGTTGCGACTTTTCGCCCTGGAGACGCTGCTGCTGCACCATAATTGAGAGGTCGATGAGGCCCCTAAGATCTCCGCGCTCCTTGAACTCTGTTACCAAATAAAAGTACTCGGGTGTTTCGTGGGAACCAAAGAATGACACTACAAAGGGGCTATCCAAGAGAGAGAGGATCTGCAACTCCGTGCGTAGAGCATCCCTAAAACAAGGCCCGCATGCCACATCGTCGCAAACGCAGCCAGCTTTGAAAAGAAGGCAAGCGACCCTTTTGAGCAGGCTGCCGACACCTCCCTTGAGCATCCAGCAAGCCTCCTGTGCTCCCCCTCCCCCCGTGAGAGGTGTTTTTGCTTCTGGGCGCGGCCCTTTTAGGGAGGCTTCTGGCGAGCGTGTGCAGCGACGCTCGCAAGAGCACGAGGAACGCCGCAAACTGCTCTGACTGCAAAAACCGAGACGTACCGCTTGGTTCGATTATTCAAAGCCTGCTTGCTTACGATCTTCACAGCCACTTTCTGCTGCGTCTTTCTTTCAATCGCAAGCCGCACCGAGCCAAAGCGGCCAACCCCCAGCGGGGGGCCCCCTACCAGCGAGAATGCGTCATGAAAGCTGGGTGCACTATTTTGCTGCTTCAGAGCCTCCAGCCATCTGCGCGGCACAACACATGGGTGACACTGGAGGACGCCAGTAGAGAGGCTCTGCAACAAGGCCGCTGCAGGTGCCCTCTGTGCGTCTGCAAGGCGCAGAAAAATGCCTCATCCGCCTTCCTGAAGCTCCAAACGCATGCAAGACGCCTAACGCCACGGTAGCAGCAGCAAGAGCAGCAGCAAGAGCAGACGCAACTCCTGAGATGCCCCCTGTGTGTCTAACCTCTGGCGGTCTTCAGCAGTTTCTGCGTAAAGCGTCTTTATCAGCTTGTTGTCGTTCGCCTTGATCGAGAATCCAAACAAAACGGCGCCTGGCTTGTTGCTTGCCCTAAGTCCACGGAGAGTCGGAGTTTCTGTGCACCAGCAGAAACACAGGCATTCCCCTAAGATACACATCTACAGATATATATATATATGTATATATATATATATGTATATAAACACCTGAAAGGAGACAGACGCATGCATCTCTCGGAGAGGCAGCGCATTCCGTGCAAGTGGAGGGACGTCTGCGAACAAGGCAGGCAATCCCCTTGAAAAGCCTCAAGAACCTGCCGCATGCGGCTCCTCACGCCAACCCCTCGAAGTCAAGAAGTGGCTTCGCCTGTGGGGCGGGTGTAAGTCCTCACTGTGGGCCGACACAAAGCAGTCGCGCAGCAGAATCGTGCTTGTCGAGCTCTCGTGGGAAAGCGATCGGAACGCTGAAGGCGCACGAGACACACCCAACCCACGCATGCTCGAGCAGCAGCAGAGGGCGACCAAGCTGAACATTTGGCGCCTCCAAAAAAAATCCCAGAAACACCTTTGGACGGCTGCCCAGCACTCGGAGAGCCGTGACTCAAGAAAGCCCTTACAGTAAAGAACGCGTTCTTTCAGTACGAAGTATCTTTTTGTCCAGAGGCTGAAGTGGCGTCCCTCTGGCAGCAAGGCGCATGCATGCGGATGCATGGAAAGCGTAAAGCAGGGGGGAGAGGGCATGCACGGAGGCTGGGAGCGAGAAGGGGGCTCGCCAAGTGCAGGGGTGTGATTTCGCTCGTGACACGATTGAAGAGCTAGCATTCGGGGTGCAGGCGGGTGTGGCGAGCGCACGCTTCCAAAGCCATCCGGCGCAGCAGGCGTGATTCGAGAGAATCGACGCAACAGCCGCGCAGACAGAGTTCGCAGACGAAGGGGGTGCCGTGGTAGCAACGCTGCTCCCGGGGAGGCGGGGGGAGACGCTGCTGCTGGGGTCAAGTGCTGTGGGGTTGCTGGAAAGAGCTGTCGGACAGATCCTTCCCCCGCTGCCGCGCTTGCTGCTGCTGCTGGGGGAGTGACACCCCTCAGGCTGGGAAGTTTGCAGCACGAGGGCAGTCGGTGTGCAGATTTCCTCCGCTTGAGCTTCTGCCGAGGCTGCCGAGGCTGCTGCTCCTGGGAGCTTTCGCTGGGCAGAAGAGGGATGCAGCAGCTGGGGACTGCGCACGGCAGCAGGAGAGGGCTGATGAGTGGCATCGAAAGCGCCTTGTTGATTCCTCACGCAGCTGACATTGCTGCTGCTGGTGCGGCTGCCTGCACGCTTAGCCGCTCCACTGGTGCTGCCTGCAGCTGTGGGGAAGCCGCTCGACGCAGCGAGCGGCGAAGAGGCGGGAGAGACAGCGTTGGAAGACCCCTGGCGGGCAGCAGCAACAGCGGCACAAACGCGCACGCAGACTTTTAAGCGCCGCATGCACGTAGAAGACGTGTGGGGCCCTATATGTCTCCACACAGGAAAAAAGCTACAAAATAATCCCGCCGTTGCTGCTGCTGCTGGAAAACGCAACACCCCAGTGCGAGGGAGGGGGGAGGGGGGGGAAAAATCCCTCTCGTCTGCAGCCAGCGGCTCTCAGACTCGTCGTTTCAGGCACAATAAACGCCTTTTCAAAGTGCTAAAACCGGGCTAAAATGTGTAGCATCATGTGCGTGCTTGCGTTAAGACCAACCGGGAGCGTCTGCTTGTGCGCGCTACTTGTGTTGGTGCAGCTGTTGGTACAGCACAGCGAACTCTCCGGAGCTGTAAAAAGGGCACAGCACAAACAGCAGCAGCAGATGCAGGCGCAGAAGCAGACGCAGAAGCAGCATCAGAAGCTGCTGCTGCTGCCGCACTCGCACGCGATTTAAAAGAGAACACGCCTTCCGGGAACGCCTGACAGCCCACTGCACTGCATGCAGGGGTCAGCAGCACTACTGTCAGTGCTTGCTGCTGCGAGAGTGAGAGACTCCTGAGTCAACGCCCAGGGAGACACACGCACATGGAGTCGCACGCGAAGGGCTGATGCTATCCTCCAGGCCCGTGTAATGCGCTAACAAGGGACGCAGCGCATGATTATCGAAGAGCTGCAGCAGCTGCAGAAGCAGAAACAGCAAAGTGCGCAGAAAGGAGACACGGCGAATGCATGCAGCTGGAGGAAGATGAAGAGCTCTCGGGAGCCTCGCCAATCATCGTGTGATGCCCCCGTATGCTGCAGCCGGCCGCAAATTAGGAGGCGCAGCAGAAAGCAGCAGCAACAACAGCAGCAACAACAGTAACAACAGCAACAACAAGAGCAACAACAACAGCAACAACAACCTTTAACAACAGCAACAGCAGCAGCAACAGCAACAGTAACCTTCAACAGCAACAACAGCAGCAACAACAACCTTTAACAACAGCAACAACAACAGCAACAACAGCAACAACAACCTTCAACAGCAACAACAGCAACAACAACCTTCAACAGCAACAACAGCAACAAGAACAGCAACAACAACAGCAACAACAACAGCAACAACAACCTTTGACAACCTTTAACAACAGCAACAACAACAGCAACAAGAACAGCAACAACAGCAGCAACTACAGCAGCAACAACAACAACAGCAACCTTCGACACCAACAACAGGCAGAACCCCATATATATATATATATATATATATATATATATATATATATATATATATATATATCCCCTGGGCAGGCAGGCAGGCAGCCAAGGGGGCCTATTTAACAACGCAGCTCGGTAGAGAGGGGTCCACAGTGGCGCACCGCTGTCAGCTCCGGCACAGTGGCAGCTACTCCAAGAAAATCCTCGAAAGTGAGTCCTCCTGCTGCCGAAGCTGCTGCCGCTGCTGCGGCTCTCGCCGTCGCAGAAGACGCTGGAGCCGTCCTTCTCTCTTGGGAGCTCCGAGGACTCAAAAAGCTGCCATAGAAAGCGTCGCTTTTCCTCCGCCTCGAGACACATGGCCATGGGTGATCTTCTTCACACGCTGAGGGATGTCGCTCCGGCTGCTGCGTCTGCCCCTGCTGCTCGCAAGCGTCTTCCTTGGCTGCAAACGCGAGGCTCACGATATCGTGCACTCTGCGTATCTTTTCTGCATCCGTCATTCTCCACGAGCTCCCCGAGAGAAGCGCCGAGGTGTCTTCAGACGGAGCCCAGGCAGCAGGAGGCTCCCTGGGAGCCGCCCTACCGTCAGGAGGACGCAGCCACAAGTGTGCAGGGATATTGTACAGCATGGCGAAGAGCTCTGGCCTTTCAATGACGCCGTTGCCGTCTAGATCGTATCTACAGAAGCGAAAACACACAGTGACAGCCGGCCGGCAAACGCGCTGCAGAAATTCCGGAGGCTAAGACAGCCACCAACACCCAAGGCAGCAGCCCCTCCTGCTGCACGGCGCCGCTAGGGCGTTCTAGTGCTAACTGCACGGCAGAAAGGGGAGGACGCTTTCGGGGAAAGTCTGTAGCCCTATATGGCTAGCCGCTCGACCACTCAGCCTGGCACTATTTACAGATTGAAGAGAAACTTCATGCGCATTTCCGTGTCTGGAGAATAGACGGCCTGAAGGCCGCCAACAAATTCGTCAAATGATATTTTATCGTCGCCGTTAGAGTCGAACAGCTGGAAAAGGCGCTCCCCCAAAAGACCAGGAACGTTTGACACGAATTCCTGCAGAGCCGTCCTGTCCAGACACCCCAACGACCAGGGGCGGAGAGAGCCCTCACTATCACGAGCCAGCTCCCTGAGGCGCACGACACGCAAGATAGGGGAGATCGGATGGACTGCCGCGACGCAGTGACGCTGCCGCTGCACCCAGAGCCTTCGCAGCTCACTTGAAAATAGCCTTCATCTGGGCTCTCATATCCTTGAGCCGTCGCTTGTCTAAATTCGTTGTTCTGCGCTGCATGCCTCTCTCTCCCTCTTGCGCCTGTTGCAGTTGCTGCTGCTGGTGGCGTCCTGAGCTCCCCCTGTCCGTCCCCGCGGCTCCGTTTTCTGAGAGTGAGACGCTCACCTGCTCATGCTGGCTGCTTCCTTCGGTGGCTGGTGCGTCT